ACCCCTTATCAAATATATGATTTACAAATATTTTTGGTACTTAGACTTTTCATATCATTGATGTTACGCTGGTCAGAAGCTTTAGTTTGATGTAATCCCACTTTTTTAAAACATTTTTAAAAACTTGATTTCAGAGAGGAAGGGAGAGGGAAACATCAATGATGAAAAATCATTGATTGGGTGCCTCCTGCATGTCACCCACTGGGGATCGAGCCCACAACTCAGGCATATGTCCTGATCAGGAATCAAACCAACAACCTCCTGGTACATGGAGTGCTGTTTAACCAACCAAGCCACAACTTCTGGTGTTTTCTTTTCACTCATCTCAAAATATTTTCAGAAATCCTTTTGATTTTCTCTATAACCCATTGGTTATCTAGGAGTGTATATCTAGGAGTGTTTAATTTCCAAGTATTTGTGTTTCCCAATGTCCCCATTATTTTAAACTTCATTGCATTGTGACCAGAGAACCTATTCTGTATATTTGTCCTTTTAAATTTTTTGTTTTATAGCCTAGCCTATGGTCTATTTTGGTGAATGTTCTGCATGTGCTTAAGAATGCATAAGGTTGTTGTTGGGTGAAATATCCTATGTGTTTCTTTAATCTAGTTGGCTTAGAGTGTTCTTTAAGTCTTCCATTGTGTTGTTGGTTTTATCTATTAGTTGGCCTAACTGTTCTACCTATTATTGAGAATGGGGTATATCTGACAACAAAACCAAAGAGACTAAAACCCCCCAAAATTATAGGCCAACATTCCTGATGAACATAGATGCAAAAATCCTCAACAAAATCCAGTATTAGCAAAGTGAATTCAGCAATACATTAAAAAGATCATATACCGTGATCAAGTGGAATTTATTCCTGGCATGCAAAGTTGGTCCAATATCCACAAATCAATGAACAAGATATACCACATAAACAAAATGAAGACTAAACTTTGTATGATCATATAGATGCAGGAAAGCATTTGACAAACAAAATAAAAGGTCCATTTCTGATAAAAAGTCTCAGTAAAATGGTGATAGAGCATCCCATAACATAATAAAGGCCATATATGACCAACCCAAAGTTAACATCATACTTAATGGTGAAAAGCTGAAAAAAAAACTTTAAAAAAAATGTTTTTACTGATTTGACAGAGAAAGGGAGAGGGAGAAAGACTGATGAGAGAGAAACATCAATATAGATCAGCTGCCTCCTGCACCATCCCCTACTGAAGAATGAGCCCGCGACCCGGACATGTGCTGGGAATCAATACGGTGGCCTCTCACTGCCTCTGTTGACACTCAGCCTCATGGACCAGGCTGAAAATTTTTTGCTTAAGATCAGAAACAAGACTAGGATGTCCATTTTCACCACCTTTATTCAACACAGAATTGGAAGTCCTAGCCATAGCAATCAGACAAGAAACAGAAAGCATCCAAACAGGACAGGAAGAAATCAAACTGTCATTATTTACAGATGAACATGATACTTTACAGAGAGAACCCTAAAAATTCCACCAAAAAACTATTAAAATAGATGAGTCAGTAAAGTAGGAGACAAAATTAATATTCAGAAATCAATTGCATTTTTATTTACTTTTGTTAATCCTCACCTGAGGATACTTAAACTATTTATGTTTTTAGAGTTATGTGGGAGGGGGAGAGACAGAGAGAAACATTGATGTGAGAGAGATACATCGACTAGGTTGCTTCCTGCATGCACCTGAACTGGGACCAGGAATCGACCCTGCATCCAAGATACATGCCCTTGATCAAAAATGAACCTGAGACCATTTAGTCTGAGGGCCAACATGCTAACCACTTAGCCAAACGGAGCAGAAAGATATCAGTTGCATTAAAAAAAAAAATGTATTTTTATAGATTTCAGAGAGGAAGGGAGAGGGAAAGATAGAAACATCAATGATGAGAATCACTGATCAGCTGCCTCCTGCATGCCCCTTACTAGGGGTCAAGCCCAAAACTCAGGCATGTGCCCTGACTGGGAATTGAACCTCCTGGTCCACAGGTCAATGCTCAACCACTGAGCCACACCAGCTGGACTAAGCTGCATTTTTATACATCAATAACAAACTACCAGAAAGAGAAATTAAAAAAGCAATTTCATTTACAATTGCATAAAAAATAATAAAATACCTAGAAATAAATTTAACCAAGGAAGTAAAAGACCTGGACTCAGAAAACTATTAAACACTGAATCAAGAATCTGAAGATATAAATGGAAATACAGTGCTCATAAATAGGAGGAACTGGTATCATTAAAATGTCCATACTACCCAAAGCAATCTACATATTTAATGTAATACCTATCAAAATACCAATAACATTTTCACGGAGCTAGAAAAAAAATCCTAAAATTTATGTGAAAGGTAAAGAGACCCTGAATAGTCAAAGTAATCTTGAGAAAGATTAAAGTTGGAGGTATCACTGATGTGAAACTATAGTACAAAGCTATAGTAATTAAAACAGCATGGTACTGGCACAAAAACTGATACACAGATCAATGGATCAGAATAGAGAGTCCAAAAATAAACCAATATTCTACATAATCAATTAATCTATGACAAAGGAAGCAAAAATATACAATGAGCAAAGAAGGTATCTTCAAAAACAGTTGGGAAAACTGGATAAATACATGTAAAAAATGAAAATGGATCATTTTACAAGTTATAAATGTCTAATTACTATGTTGTACATCTAACACTAATATAGCATTGTATCATAATAAATAAAAAATAAAAATAAAGCAAAACGTCCTTGCCAGTGTGGCACAGAGGTTATAGAGTGTCGTCCTCTGCACCAAGGGTTGTTTTAGTTTGATTTCCGGCCAGGGCACATACCAAGGTTTTGTGTTCAATCCTGGTTGGGGTGCATAATAGGAGGCAATCAGTTTATGTTTCTCACATCAATGTTTCTCTCTCTCTCTTGCTTCCTCCATATCTAGAATCAATAATAATAATAAAAAAACACCCAAAAACAAATCCTCAGGTAAGAATTAAAAAGAAAAAAATAAAGGAAAATGGGGCACAGTCTCTATTATTGGTTTTCTTACTTTCTGTCAGTTTGTGCTTCATGTATTTTGGTTCTCTGTTATTAGGTGCACATGTTTATGTTTATATTATGATGGACTCACCCATTTATGATTATAAAACGTCCCCTCTTTATTTTAACATTTTTTTAAAGTCTATTTATAAAGTTATGTTTTTGTTGACATGCATCTGTATTGAACATATACAAACATTTTTTCTTGTCATTATTCACTAACAACATAGTATAAAAACTATTTACATAGCATTAAGTATTTTAATATAATCTAGAGATTTAAAGTTTAAGGTAGGATGTGTTTATGTTATATACAAATACTACACCATTTATATAAAGAACTTGAGTGGTCCTGGCTTATGGTATCAGCAGGGAGTCTTGTAACCAATTCTCCGTGGATACCAAGGAATGACTGTATCCTCTTTTTTAAGTCAAAACAGGTATTATGTTCAACAGGCATGCAAAATAAAGCATCTTAATTAACATGTATGAAAATAATTTTATAAATATAATTCCATAACAGAGAAGGGGAAAAGATGATTCCATGAAAATGTTTATCAGATATAACTGAAAAGTCATTTTAACAACATAAAAATGACAAAAACTTTTTACTAAAAAATATTTGAAAATTTATACTAAAAATATAACTGAATTAAATCTCACCCATTTAAAATAACTGTAAATAACCAAGTCAGAGAAGCAAAAGTATAACATGGGACTTTGATGTTTTTAGCACTAATATTTAAGAACAAATAAGAACAAGTTTCACTTAAAAGGAATCCAATCTTTCCTTTAGCTAATTCTATTATTGCCATTTTATTTGTCTGGTAAGCAAAACAGTTAAATGACTTCCAATTATAAAGACAGGTTAACATTGTAATAACTTTTACTAAGGTAATAACTTTTAGAAAGCTTTCAATTAAAAAAAAAAATCTATTCAATAGGAAAACCACCAGTTATTAACCTCACTGTGTATTTAGAAAGGATTAAAAATACACATTTCCAGGGACACAAAACTGTACCAAAAGTATTTCTTTACAAAATAACTTTACAGAACAATACAACTTGACTTATACAAAGACATATATATTGAGATGTTAGCTTTAATACACAATTCAGATGTGTTGGAAGCAACTTTCTAGCAGGTCCTTATTGCATTGATATGGAAGTGTACAACTTCTTTAAATCTTTAAAAATAGTAATAAAAAATTACAAAATAATGCAAATGTAGAATTAAGGCTGAGACTATATAATCTAGTATTAATAGAATTAAACAATACTTATAAAAATGGATGCTGTGGCCTATTTTATATATACAAGGGTAAAGTCTTTAGAAATTTAAAATGCTACTGCTGTCACAAGTTCACTCATGTAGTTACTATTTTTTTTCATGTATTTTAACATTTGAATTCCCAGATACCTGGTGCTTTTTCTTTTCTCTTTTGAATTCTTCATTAAGAGTTTCTTCACATATTTAAATTAAATACCTAACCTCTGGAACTTTACTTAGGCACAACCAACAAGAGTTTTGTTAAATAAATTTACACAAAAGTAATAAAAAAATTTGTTTCCAAGAAATAGTTCTAACAAATTCATAGTAATCATATTGAAAATAATTCATAAACTTTCCTTCAGGATTTATCAATGCCATGTGCCAATTTTACAGTCACTGCTATATTTGCACATTTTCCTCTGACACATTTGCAAGATAATGACAACCAAAGGGCATGTGGACTGGAATAATTACAGAAAATGCATATCATCCAGTAAGAGTCATAAAATTGAATGGTTGCTTCCAGTCCCATCTGGACAGACATGGAAATGAATGCCCAGATGCTTGTACTGTCCCCATATAGGTATTTAGTCTGGTAAATCACCTCCTTAGTTTTCCAAAACAGAGCTCCCGAAGGCAGGGCATTCAACTGAGACCAAGGTCCCCTCTTCTCTGTCACCTTTCACACATTTGTTTTGGTTCCATTTCTGGTCATAATGGAAAAAGAAAAAAAACATAATAAATTATATAAGTCAAAGTTTTCCTTTCCCAAACTCCCTCATTAGACCTGTATGGTTAAATATCCATACAGGATATTTGGGCTATTATGATAATTCTTTGTATAAACATATTTAATTAAGTCTTTGTACATAATCACTTCTTTGACATGTATGGGGGGGAAAAAAGTAAAAAAGCCTTAAAATAAAAGCAGCAAACATATATAGAAGGGGTAATTTGTACCAGTTTTTTACAATGGTGTACCTCAGACACCAAATCTGAAGATTTTCACTTACTTATCCCCCTTTTCCTTAAATGAAATTATAATTTAAAAAATTAACAATTATAATGCTTATTACAAAAGTTATAAAGACAAGGAAAAAGAAAAAAAACACGAACAAATACTTATATTTCTATTTACATAGAGATGAACGTAGTGAATACCTTGCATATAAATCTATGCAGATGTTTTTTATTCAGGTATATCTAAATAATTTATTTTTTAATGATAGTTCCTTAAACTTCTATTTCCAAAAAGATACACATTTTTTATAAAGCTAATTTTTTATCTTTATGAGTAGAAAATGAATTAGAAAACTTAAGTCTCTATTAAAGAAAATGAGTCTACTATGTAGTAGTATTCCATAGTGCTAAGTATATTTTGTCAACTGTGAAGTCCACTAAAATCCATCTTGGAATGTCATGAGTTAATATGCAGTGTTTTTCTTTGATGTTCACAAAAGTTTCTATGTTTCTCTTATAATGAATTAAAATAAATAACATCTTAAAGTTGATGAAATATGGTAATAACTATAAAAGCTTATAATAAATATATAACTATGTAATACACATATGTAAATATAAATAAAAACATACACACACATTTTGTTGCTATTTCCTACTGTTTAATTTGTTCCTGACTGTATGGATGAAATATACCATTATTTCAATAGTAAGACGCTGCTCAAATGTTTTAATGTTTTTGAGATGGTGTGAGATTAGTCCAAAATTTATGGAGTATATGATTGTGTATGAGAAAATTACTAAACACTAATTTATGTTTTATATAGAAACTTATGAAATTTAAATTTTAAATGAAAATTTAGAGTGATTTTAAATTTCCCAAAGATAAACCAGATGCAAAAGGGAGAAAGCCATAGGCTAGAATATACCAAATTTTCAACCTAAAACTTCTAACACTGTCAACACAAAGCTAAACAATAATGGCGACCTTTTGATGTCTGCACTGATAATAATGGTTCTCCCTTTCACTCTCTGAGAAAATTTATACTCTTCCACCTTTCCTTGACAGTGAGGGGTGACCAGGCCATTGGGAGGGGCAGTTGGGGGCGGCCAGGCTGGCAGGGAAGCAGTTAGGGACAACCAGGCCAGCAGAGGGAGGAAGTTGGGGGCGACCAGGCTCGCAGAGGGGCAGTTGGTGGTGACCAGGCCAGCAGGGGGGGCAGTTAGGGGTGATCAGGATGGTGATCAGCAGGGGGGACAGTTAGGGGTGATCAGGATGGTTAAGTGTGATCAGGCTGACAGGGGGCAGTTAGGGGCGATCAGGCAGGCAGGCAACTGTACAGTTAGGAGCCAATGGTTCTGGATTGTGAGAGGGACGTCAGGTTGAAACCAGCAGTTGGACATCCTCCGAGGCATCCTGGATTGGAGAGGGACCTGGTTGGGCTGAGAGGACTCCACCCCTGTGCACAAATTCATGCATCGGGCCTCTAGTGTAAATAAAGGGGCTTGGATACAAATTCCAAATACCACAGTCTCAAAGGAACTCCTTCTCTAAGGTTAATATGAGACATGTTTACAGGAAAAGGCTATATTTAAACTTTTTAAAATAATATACAAGAAACCCTTATACCATGGTATCCTTCTGTGTGAGGGCCTCACTAATATCTAATCTAAAAAGGATAATTTTCTTACTATTGAGTTAGGTTACAGATGGCTTTGTTGTTTTTTTTGGTGAGCTATCTAAATGGTATATGATTTTCTAAACCAAACATGATATGCAATTTTAAAATAAGTAATGTAAAATGGTTTTGTATATTCTATACTTATCAAGTTGCTGATACTATGAAGCAGAATGCAGTTTTTTTAAAGTTAAGCCAAACAACAGAAGAGCAATTTAAGTATTAACTTTTAACATATGAAAATAAACTATTAAACTTTCCAAATAATTAGCAAACATTATGTAGAAAACGGGAGTATCCTAGAAGAATTTAATGATTATGTTTTCTTTCATTATATATCACTTGGTTCAATTAAAAAAATGCTAATTTCAGATCAAGGGGGAAATTAGAAATAAACTCACAATATTTTTTAAAGCATAATGAGACAAGATTTTTGATAAACTAATCAATGTTAAGTCTCAGATCATAAATAGACTCACCTATTTTGTCTTGTAATTTCTCTTCTCATTCTTTTAGGAGGATTTGGACAATCTGCCATTTCAACTTTTGCTGGATGAAATAAGGAGTCACTGCACTTACGCATGGGAGTTATACCTATAACGATAGAAAATTAACTTTTAGAAGACTGAAATTGTAAGCAAGAAAAGCAAATAGAGTGCTAACTGGTTTGGTTCAGTGTCGGCCTGCGGACTGAAGGGTCCCGGGTTCAATTCCAATCAAGGACACATGCCCAGGTTGCAGGCTTGATCCCCAGTAGGGGGGAGTGCAGAAGGCAGTAAATCAATGATTCTCATCATTGATGGTTTTTGTCTCTCTCCTTCTCTCTTCCTCTCTGAAATTAATATATATATTAAAAGCAAATACATCTTAATTTATAGACGAAGAATAAATAATACTGAGAATGATTCTTACTACTCCTGCTGAGAGAATAGTTTAAACCACTTGTCAGATGACTCAGAGGTCAAGAGTCTGTAGATTTAAGTTCTGGATCATTCGCATTCTTTCTTATGGTTGGACCTCTTTAATCATTAATATTCATCTTCATGCTAACAAAATAGACGTTAACAAAAAGTAAGCACATACCTAGAAGCTGTTGCTCCATTAGTTTCAGAGTTTTCTCTCGTTCATCAAGTTCTTGTTTTTTCTTCTTCATTTCTGGAGATTGCAGGTACTCTAATTCACTGTTAAGTTCCTTGGTCAAACTGTTCAACTTGTCCAGAGCATTACGATACTGTTGAAGAAGATCTGCAAAGAAACCAAAGGCATTTGATTTAAAACTACTGATATATGAAATTAGGGTTTTAGGAAATAAGAATTAGCAACGTTGGGTACTACCATGTTTCCCCAAAAACAAGACATCCTCTGAAAATAAGACCTACTTACAGGTTTCCTTCTGAGTGAAATATAAGGTATCCCCCCGAAAATAAGGCCCCCCCCCAGGCTAAACATGAGAAATTTGGTTCACTGATTCTAAAAGAAATGGAGTCACAAGAAATTCACCAGGAAATTCAGGAATTGGATTGTTATGATGATGTTCCAGAAGATGATGACATGATTGTTATTGAATAAATGAGTAAATTCTTGATACTGTAGGATTCACGGTTTGTCTGATTTGTGTTGACAACTACCATACTACTGTACTGTATATAGGTAATAAATTTCCTTTATTTTCATTTAACAATAAATGTGTACCGTATTCTTCTTCATGGAAAAATAAGACATCCCCTGAAAATAAGACCTAGCGCATCGTTGGGAGCAAAAATTAATATAAGACACTGTCTTATTTCCGGGGAAATAGGGTAAGTTACAGTAACATGTGGGAACTGTTCTTAAAGCCACAAAGCATTCGATGTAGATAAATGAAATAAAAAAGCACACTTTAGACCTGAGCACAAAACTATTAACCTGCTAAATTTTAATTTTCTTCAATTGCTTGGCTTTAATAAATTCATTTCTGTGTAAGGAGTTTTCTACATCAAAGTGCTCTGTAACGTGTCTGATCTAACTCCATAGACACACTGAGGAGGGATGCTAATGCATTAAAGGAAGACTGTCAGAAAACCCCTCTTCCTAACAGACGTAACTGTTACCTTAGACACAGCTTTCAAAGATGCACTTTTGATAGAATACTTTAAAAAAAAATAATTTAACTTTCCTTATATTACTTTTCTTAAAATGTAGTGCAACATAGACAATAGTGTGGTGATAGCCAAAGGAGAGGGGGGTGAGGCTAGGTGGAGGGGGCAAAGGCAGAGGAGGGGAAGAGGGGTGGAAAGAGTTTTTGTTGAGGGCAATGGGCGTACGATGCAGTCTGTAAATGATGTTTCATTGAGTTGTATACTTAAAACCGGTATTGTTTTGTGAACCAATGTCACCCAAAAAAATTCAATTAAAAAAAGTAAAAGTAAATATTAAATTATTCAAATTTGAGACTATTGTCTGTCTGTATAATTTACTTGATACTAAATATTAAATACAGTGACTACACTCTAGTCCAGGGGCCAAGAATGCTTTATACAATTATAAATGGTTGTATTCTAAATGGTTATATAAATACCTTAATACTACCCTGGATTTTACCTCTTGGCTCACAAACCTTAAAATATTTAATGTCTGGAACAAAAATGACCAATATTCATGAGAATAAAGTGTAGTTTACATATAAAACCGTGAAAGGTATTATTTAAGAGTCGGGTGATAGTCTTTTTACTTTTTCAAATTGATTTTAGAGAGGAAGGGGAAGGGGGAAAGATGGGGGAAGAAGAAGGCAGGGAGGGAGGGAGGGGGAGAGAATGAATGAATGAGAAACATTGACAGGCTGGCCTTCTGAACATGCCAGGATGGGGGATGGGACCAGCAATGTGGGTGTGCCCTAACCAGGAATCAAACGCCACCTTTTGGTGCACACAACGCTACAAACATCTGAGCCACATGGGCCAGGGTTAAGTGTCTGCTTTTAAATTAAAGAATTTAATGTATTTACATGTTACTCGAGGACTTATTTCTAATCATCTTATTTTGTAACATGTAAATATTCATTTCTTCTATTTTTTACTCTGATTTGCTGTTACCTCATATTAAATATTACAATGCAAAACACTATGTAGGCAAAATTATTTGAAGACACTCTGCTTGTAATTGTGTTAGTACAATTTTTGTGGAGGTAGTGTAATTGAAAATTGTTTTTTCTCTGCAAACATCCCATGATACACTAGGAGGAGGATCCTCAAAGCTCTGTTTTATCTGGTCTTTACTATGCTGGTTGATTCATGGGGGAAAATCTCACTCCTAGGAGTTGTAGAATCTGAGTAGTGTTAAAAGATGCACTCCAGGGTGAAGGTGAAAGAAACTCAAAGCTGCTGAAAGTCTCAGAGCCATTTCTAATTTTGTCCTTGTCTGTTGCCAATCTTCTTTGAATCTGTGATTGCTTCCAGTTTCCTTCTAATACATTTCCTTCTTGCTTAAAGTGGCCAGGGCTGGCTGCTATTGCTTACAACCAAAAGTACTTTGTACACATCAGTAATCTTAAACTGTCTTGTTTGATTTTTAAAAACTTATTTATCAAATATTTGAATTTTTATGATTGAATCATTAGTCTGTATATGGACTGTATCTTTGAAATATATATCCAAAGGATTAAGTATCTGTTATATTTCTGAAGTCCTTGTATTATCTGTCAACCTTACATATACAAACAATGGGCTCAATAGAGCACACAAATCTTTAATTACAATATTTTCTTCTCTAAAGTCTACAGATAATGCTTTATGGTTATATTGATATCCAGGTACCCAGGTAAACTGGAAATTCTGTTTGTGTGGCACTTGTGTATGGAACACTGCATAAACTGTAGTGCTAGAGTGATTAAGGGTTGAGACTTTTTTTATGTCGATTTACTGCTTTCCCCCCCTAACTTCTTACCATTTATTTAGATGTTCATTTACTGTCTACAAAGAAGATTTTTGTAAGCATTCAAGCCATCATAAACCGAAGTAATGGGCCTCTGTATTGTGTATCATTTTAATTTTCTACATACTGTGATATTTTGACATCTTTAAAAACCTTTCTGGCTGGGAAGCAGACTGTCCCTCCCAGAGTTAGCCAATACTTGAAGATAGCTAAGGACCCGGTGTACCTTTGATATGTAACTAATCCAGAGCCAAACCTCCTCTATCTGGCCTGTGCACACCAAGATCCAATATTCTTCTGCCTTATCATCTCAGGGCCAGTTACCAGACAACTAGCTAGACCATGCCTATAACCCAAAACCCATTGGAATGGCTCATCCTGTAGTATGTGGCTCTCCCTCAGAAACTCCTATAAAGGCTGGGGCCTCAGCATTCTCCTTCCAGTCTTCTGCCTCTTAAGCACATGGGTGTTTTTCCATGTGGCCCTGCACGGTGGGTGGTAACTTCTGTCTCTAGGACGTGTGAGTGTCATAAACTCTGTTTTCCAGTCTTCCCTTTCTCCTGTTACAGCCTCATCTGACTAACCATCTCATAAAAGAATATAAAATAACTTTTTCCCACTACATTTCTCACCTATTCTAAAATCGCTGGGGGCTGAAGTAACAACAAAAAACTGAATACTATCCAAATTCCTCAACAGTGGAATAAAGAAATAAACTATGGTATATTTACACAATGGAATACAATCCTGCAATGTAAATGAACTACAATTATACACACAGTACTGAGTGAACAAAACCAGACACACAAAAAAATATGCAATGCATGATTCCACTCACATAAGGCAGTGTTTCCCAAAGTGTGGTATGCGTACCCCCAGGGGCACAGGAAGAGTTTGGCGGGGGTACGCGTTGCACCAGAGTTTGGTGGGGATATACACTGCACCATGCTTAGCTGCGCCTAATTCTACATTCTCATTGAGTATGAGGGGTACTCAGTGTTACAAAAATTATAGAAGGGGTACGCATATGTCAAAAGTTTGGGAAACACTGACATAAGATACAAAAATGAACAAGCTAATCTATGCTATTTTAAGTTAAGAAAGTTATTTTCTGAAGAGGGAAGTTGTTTATCTTGTGAAAATTTATCAAGCAGTACGTCATGAAATGTACATTTTTCTGTATGTTTGTCATGCTTTAATACAATTTAAGAACAAAATATGGTACATATACACAACAGAATATTACTCAATCCTAAAAAGAAAGGGTTTTCTGATAACGTGGATGCACCCGGAAGGCATTAAGCTAAGTGAAATAAATAAGCTAGTCACAAAAGGACAAATTCTGTATGACTCCACTTATAATGGGCCTAGAATACTCGAATTCACAGAAAAGATACCCTAGTAGCTGTCAGGACACCAGAGTAAGGGGTCAAGAGGAACAGCTGTTTAATGGGTACAGAGTTTCAGTTTCAAGGTTTGAAGACTGGTTGCACAACAATGTGAATGTACTTAACACTACTGAACTACACACATTTAAAAATGGTTAAGATGATCAATTTTATGTGATTTACCACATTTTTATAAAATATTAATAACAACAAACTACTTTTTTGCCGAAAAAGTAGATACCCAAGTATATTAAAGCTATATAAAATTAAGAGCAAATAGGCTCTAAGGCTCTAAAGCAGGCTTCCTAAGAAAGTACAGGTGACCTTTAGATAACAAAGGTTAGGGGTGCTGACCACTTCTCCCCCCTCTTCTGAATCCCAAAATTCACAGATGCCCAAGTCCCTTACAAAACATGGCGTAGAACAAGGAATAGAGTCAGCCCTCCACATCTGTGAAATCCCAACTGCAGATGGAAAATATTGTTTTCAATCTGCTGTTGGTTGGCTCCAAGGATGCAAAACCTGGAGATATAAAGGGACAACTGTATATTTAGTGGGGAAAAAAAATCCTCATGTAAGTAGACATACAATTCAAACCTGTATTGTTCAAGTGTCATCTGTATATACACTTCAGAGCACAGATATAAAAACAATTACATGGCTAACTAAAAAGAGCTCATAGAAGGGAAAATGGGGGAGGTCACATGTCATGAACAAAAACATCTTATTCATATTTGTTTTTTTGTTTTAAATATATTTTATTGATTTTTTATAGAGAGGAAGGGAGAGGGATAGAGAGTTAGAAACATCGATGAGAGAATCATCAATCAGCCGCCTCTTGCACACCTCCTACTGGGGATGTGCTCGCAACCAAGGTACCTGCCCTTGACCGGAATCAAACCTGGGACCTTTCGGTCCTCAGGCCGATGCTCTATCCACTGAGTCAAACTGGTTTCGGCTTATTCATATTTGTTACTAGATTATTTTTCATGTTAGAATATCAATACACAAGCCCCAGATAAAGAATTAAAATTAAATGGGAAATTGTTATTTAGGAACTTATCCAACTTACCTATTTGTTGCCCTAAGACCAGGCACTGCTTTGGTACTGGAGCTCCAAATACCATTCCCCGAAGTTTGTCCATTGGGGGAGCTTTATTCTGAAGGCCCCCAAACTTTCCATTACTTCGAATGCGATCTCCATCTCTTGTGAGCAGTGTAGGGCAATGTGTGATTTTAACAACCTATTTTAAATAAACAGATATTAATTAGTGAATCCATAAAACTTATTTCAATTGGCCAGCCATGCACCCCGCTCCCCCTCCCCCGGCAACCCAAGTGGAGGCTCTGGTATCTGGGATTTATTTATTTTATATAATTGAAACTTTGTAGCCTTGAGCGGAGGCCAAGGCTGGCCAGGGCTGGGGAAGCTTGACTTCCTCCATTGCGAGGCACAACTTAAGCCTCCTGTTCTCTCCAGCTCCATGGCTGCTGACATTTTTGTTGGAATTTATTTATCTTCTATAATTGAAACTTTGTAGCCTTGAGCGGAGGCCTGGGCCAGCCAGGATGTACAAAAAGCTTGGCTTCCTTCATTGCTGGGGAAACCCAAGCCTCCTGCTCACTTCATGGCCACAGCCATCTTGGTTGGATTAATTTGCATATTCGCTCCTGATTGGCTGATGGGCATGGGTTGGGGTATAGCAGAGTGATGATTACTTTGCATATTACTCTTTTATTAGAATGTTTTTTTCTCTCTCTCTCCCTCTCTCTCTTCCTCTCTGAAATCAATACAAAAAGAAAAAAAAATTAAATGTTCAAAGTTAATCAGAGAAGCAGAATCCATGAGCTATAGTCACTATTCAAAATGTTAACACATGCATACTGCACTGCACACCATAATGAGCTATGGAGAAAGGGTCTTCTTGTACTAAACTGCTTTGAGGCAGCCCTTCTAAAAGGAAATGTGAAAATATTAAATAGCTTAACACTCTGCAAGACCCAGCAATTCTATTTCTAAAAATTTACACTGAAGAAATAATCAAATATATGAACTATATGAAACTGAATGAAAAATATGAAACTCACATTTCAAGAAGTTACAGAAATAATGGTAAATCCACACAATAGAATGTGTACATTTAAAAAAAAATGACTGAAGAACATTATAAGTTAACATGTAAAACCTACTCCAATCTAATAGTGAGGGTAGAGTAGTCTCTGATTTATAAAAATAAAACTTTATATTTTAAAAATAAAAAAGTAGTAGATCATGTAATAAAAAATCATGACCAGTATTTACTCTTCTATTATAATTTCAGGGTACTTTACAAACGTTTTCTCAACAAATTGGATCTTAAAAAAAGAAAATTTTTAATGCAGCAAAATGCTTACTTGAAGAAAATGTGTGAATTCTTTGATAAAATGAATCTTTCAATAAAACACCACCTCACTTTCTTAGTTTTGGTTTGGATTTTTGTGTTTTCTAAAAGCAAACATTAAAATACAAACTGGATTCGTATATTATCCATTTTTTAGGAGTCAATGTTTTTAAGGATATGATATCCACTTAAATAATATTACACTCAAACAGGCTTGTTCATTTTGTTAATAGACTGACACGGATATAAGATATAAGCCTCAGGTAGAACATTTTGGCTCCCCTTTGGAACAATTTTGCTAATATTATGTTCATAGTTAGTTTTGTAATGTGCAAAGTATCCTTCAATCTTATAATTCTACTTCACTAAGCACTCTAGTAGGACAAAAACAAACAAACAAAAGAAATGACTGCATGTATAAATCCAGTGAGTGAACACTAGCCCTACCACTCTGGGAAATACCTACTCACAACCCCTGCAGGGACTAGCAAGAGGTGAAATAAACAAGAGGTTGAATATAAATGGCATGAAAAAAAATTAGGAATAAAAACAGTAACAAAAACTACTGAAACCTAACAATGTAACCAAGGGGTGCACAAAAGTCTTTTCTCAGAAGAGCTTTCAAACAATATTTAGCCATTGAAATTACATATGACTTACTTCAAAACTTGGGAAGCAAAGAAATCAATACATGCTACACCAATTATGAGGAGCATATACTGTACCTGCTTTTGTCACATATACCCTTATTTCGTTTTGTAAAGCTAAGAATTGGTGCCTTTCATTAGGTCTAAAAAATTTTCACCCATTAGTTCAAATACTGCTATGATCCTCATCTTGGTATTATGATTAGACTTTTTTTGTTCTTTGAGATTTTTCTCATTCTATTTTCCATGATCAACCTTTCTCTTATATTCCTTCTTTCTGAGCTGCAGTCTGGATAATTTTTCTTACCTATTTCCCAATTCACTATTCTCTCTTAAGCTGTTAAACTTGTCCAGCATTTATTATATTTTTTTATTTTTTAAGAAGCTCCATTTGATTTTTAAGTTGATTTGTTCTCTCCTATTAAAAAATATATATATATATGTATCTGTGTGTGTATATTAATATATATATATATATATATATATATATATAAAATTGATTTCAGAGAGGAAAGGAGGGAGAGGGAGAGAGAGAGAGAAACTTCAATGATGAGAGAGCATCACTGATCTGCTGCCTCCTGCACAACCTCCACTGGGGATTGAGCCGCAATCTGAACATGTGCTGACTGAGAATCAAACCATATCCTACCATTCATAGGTCGACACCCAAACACTGAGCCATGCCAGCTGGGCTGCTTTCCTAATTTTTAACACTTTTATTTCTTGAATTATATTAAACATATTTTTTAAGCCTGCTCTATGTTCAATGTGGAAATTATTTCAGTTCAAAGATAAAGATGAATTCCTCCAGAGAGAATCTGTGTTTCCTCTGATCACATATCTAAGGACACTATCAGTTCAGCACCATATAAAACCAAATATTTACCTTCAGATTTTTTAGACCATCCAAATATTATGAATGCAGGCTACAGACAGACATAGGGCAAACCTGTTATACTTTGATAGGGCAACCTATTAAATTCTCCAGGAAAACAATTTAATCTTTTTTTTCTTTTCTTCTTAAAACCAAAGGTTCAAGACAGGCAATTTGCTTGCAGTCTCCAGGGGCACTTGGAGTTGAGACCAAAGTAGCAGGTATATTTCTTTATTTACCTTACACTAAGGGTTAGCCCTTTGGGAGTTCCAGTTGATTGGGAAAGGGTCATCTATCACTACTTGGAGAAACTCACAAATATATGGGAATAATATGTGTTACTGTTTAAAGCAACTTTTGGAATGTTTGTTATATAGTAATAAATGACTGAAACATGTATACTGCCCAACTGTGCCTTCTAAGATGTTATGGGTTGAATTATATGTCAAAATTCTTAGGTTCAAGTCCTAACCCATATCCCTCAGGATGTGATCTTATCTAAAGGTAAGGTCTTTACAGAAGCAAGCAAGTTAAAGTGTGGTAATTAGCCCTGGCCAGTGTTGCTCATTGGTCAGAGCATCAACCAGCATACTCAAGGGTCGTGGGTTCTATTCCCAGTCAGGGCACATACCTGGGTTGCAGGTTTGATCCCTGGCCCGTCAGGGCATGTCTGGGAGGCAATCAATCTTTGTACCTCTCTCACATCAATGTTTCTCTCTCTCTTTTCTTCATCTCCTTCCATCCCTCTCTTCTACTCTCTCTCTTAAAAAAAAGAGAAAAAAACCAGCCCTAATTCAATGAATGGTGCCTTTACGAAAAGGAGATATAGTTATGCACAGATATAAATAGAAGCCGACAAAACAAGGACAGAGGCCTAAAGATATTCTTCCCTCACAGCCCTCAGAAAGAATCAACCCTGTTCAGACCTTGAATATGGATTTCAAACCTCCAGTACTGAGACACAATAAATTTCTGTAGTTTAAGCTACCCAGTCTGTGGTACTTTGTTACAGTAGCCCTAACAACTAATAAAAGAGAAATACATTAAATTACATTTCTACCAACATTAATGATAGCACTCTTTTCCAATTTCCAATACCATCATCAATAATAGATATTAGTTTTTGAATCTTCGATAATTTCATAGCCCCCAAGCATGCATGATTTTAACTTGTATGATGGCCCATTCATTATTTTACTCAATTTTATGTTGCTTATTGATATGTAGGATTTAAATGGGTTTTCACAAGGTTATTTAATCATTTTCACAATTATCATAAAATAACTTTTTTCCCCATATAGGTCTACAATATATTAAATTTAAAAAATACATAATTAGAGCTACAAGTTAAAAATGAATTCAATACATACCTCTCTTCTATAATGATTGGCAGCATCCAAATTATCCAAAATAATGGTGTCTCCTAATAGCATACCAAACACTAAAAAATTCAATAAACAAAATTTAAACTTATAACATATTCTTTTATTATATTAAAATATTAACACACACTGAACATTTTTTAAACAAAGACTGCTAGTTTAGAATTTTATTCAACACTTTCCTATAATTGGAAAAAATTAGAGAATTAAATATTAATAAAATTGTTACTTATAAATGAAATAAGAACATAAATTCCATAATCAGTAATTTATAGTCTGGATCACATATAAATTAAAAAATAAAGTCACCATAATTTCCTTCACCTGTTTCACAATGTTCTACGTTATCTGGAAAGGTTAACAAATCTCGGGCAAAGACTGGATCTCCAATGGGTCTAAAATATAATTTTCCATTTCGGTAATGAGGCAAAGGTCTGAATGAAAAGAAAAATTTAAAAAGTATTAAACAAAACTCATAACTTTTAAATTAAAAAATATAAAATATGAAAAACATGAAGATATTGCATATTACTGTAATCATTAAATCAACTCTCCATCCACGAGTAAAACTCCTAAATGATTATGCCCTTAGAAATGAGTTTATGTGGTCTATGGCCATACCACCCTGAATGTGCCCGATCTCATCTGATATCGGAAGCTAAGCAGGGTCGGGCCTGGTTAGTACTTGGATAGGAGAAATGAGTTTATGTGTGTGTGTGCTTGTGTGTATGTTTCATATATATAAATTACATTTAATTAGTAAATTAAACATGGTCAGCATATATAATTCATCTTAATGAAGTATATACATTTGTGATGAAGATAGAATAATGTTGATGAGTCACTTCTCTGTTTTAGGCATCTTTTTGAGAAATCATTTTAAAATTCCATGCTTAGTTTAAATATGTATATTACTGCAGAAAAAAATAATTACTTCCACTTTTTTCTAACCTTCTCCAATCTGGAAGAGTCTTTCTATAAATAGAATCAAGTGGCAACACTTGCTGACGACCTTGGGTTTCATCATAGATACGACGCGCAGCATCAGTGGTCAAGGTGACAACACAATCCATATCACTTGCCAGATGCCAAGAAATAACCATTGCAGCTCTATCATCTTCAATTTGTGCCAGGTGTGCAATCTATAATCCATTAAAAAAAAAAAAAACAACTATAAAACTCTAAATATATAAAAATTTGAGAATAAATATTTATAAAGTCCAAGTCTAAGGAGTAAAAACACTTCTCTGGTACACTCACATAATTTTCACAAAAAATTATCAAACTTTAAAAACTTACTGGTTTGAATATCAAACTATTCTGTTGTTAATTTTGGAAAGAATTGTTGTACAAATTAAACTCCAATAAATTTTACAAATGAGCAAATAAAAAATTTTTTGTACTATTACCTGATAATTAATGATATACACTTTTCACATTTACCATCTCCACAATTGGGAATGTGTTTTAATTAAGTAACCTTAAAATACATTTAAGTAATATGCATCTACAATAAATGGACTTTAAGATTCAATTAAACATAAATATAGTTACATACCATACCCTTCTAAGTAGATATTTTACTCCACTACTAGAGAGTTTTGTTCAGAAAACTAGTCTAAATGTCACAAATAAAAAGAATTTCTTCTGCTTAAAAGAACACTTTGGAGTTTAGGCTAAATAAGCACCCTCCTATTTACTAATACCTTAGTCACAAGCATTCTTGCTCAAAATACAACAGGGTTAAAATTTTGAGAACAATTTAAAAATTTCATTCACTGCACTGGAATGGTGGAATGGTCACATCTAACCTTTATTCATACCTGCCCTAGCAATGAGAAAGTAGTCTGTCATTCTTAGAAATATCATGATGTACTCCAATTCTCTTGAAGTTAGTGGAAAACAGACATGCAGAGAAACTAGCAAATGTAAATGAAGATAAAAAACATGTCCTAGCAAACAAAGGAATGATTGGAAGTGGCAAATCAAATTAGGTGATCTCATTCTATTTTTGACTGCAAGTGCTAGGACAAAATCTACTTTGTGATTATTCAAAAGTTACCCTAATCTTATAACTGCAATAATTAATTCTATCGATAAATGAAGATATGATTGGGAGCTTTCAGTAGACTCCTTAAACTATATACTATCTCCGTGAGTTTTCAGGTAATATAAAATATATAATATTTATTTATCAATTAATATATATTAATAATATATATTTAATATATATTATTAATTAATTAATAATATAATAAATATATTTAATATATATTTAAATTGAATGCTTTCTAAGATGTACACTTGCTATTTTTAAGTTGTATAACACGATGTTCTGTTCAAGCCTTAACTACTTCTTAACTACTTTTTTAGTTTTAAGTGTACCCTACCTATTTTCATGGATGCTACTAATTCTTTCTTAGGGGAAGACATAAATGGCACTTAAAAAAATAAAAAGGAGCTCTGCGATGTGGCTCAGTGGTTGAATATTGTAGACCTATGAACCAACAAGTCATCAGTTCAATTCCTGGTTGGGGCACATGCCGGGGTTGCAGGTTCAATTCCCAGCAGCAGGAAGCAGCTGATGAGTGTTTTTCTCTTATCAATGTTTCCATCTCTCTACCCCTCTGCCTTACCCTCTCTCTAAAATCAATAAAAACATATTTTAAACAACAGAAATATAGATGGAATCTCAAGATATTTGCAATTTAAAAAAAAAGAAAAAGAAAAAAAGATACTTGCAATTAAGAGGGCAACATTAAAATATCCAAGATAATGGAAGTATTTCACCATGTTAAAATATAAATTGTAAATCTCTGTCTCCTACTATATTTCACACTTACTTATTCTAGTTCTAGGATAAATGCCAGAAAAAAACAAACATTTTTTTAAAAAGGAATCAAGGAAAGGAGAATAAGCATGATTTGGGAAAAAATATCCTCTTGCTGGATAGGAAAGGGCTTCTGAGATGACAGAAGAAACTATATAAAACAAAATTTCAAAGGCTTCCTCTCTGATTTTTAAGAGATGTGAGAAAAACGCCTGATTGGAAGACTTAAAAATATATTCTGCTACATTTTATTTTATACTTTGATAAAAATCTTAGATTGAGCAAGAATTTTGTATTAAATGAACCACTGAATGTGGAATGTTAGTACCTGAAAACAGGCTATTACAAGTATCAATATGCTTAGAATCATAGGACTGCTTTTTTCTATAAAGACTGATTCTTACTATCAATTCTATATATTGGCCAAAAGGAATAACAATTAAAAAATTTTAATTATAAACTGTTTTCGGTTTATAAATTTACATTCTTTTTAAAAATGTGTTTTTATTAATTTCAGAGAGGAAAGGAGAGGGAGAAAGAGAAACATCAATGATGAGAGGGAATCATGGATTGGCTGCCTCTTGCACACCCCTCATTGGGGATCCAGCCTGCAAACCGGACATGTGCCCTTGACTGAAATTGAAACTGGGACCCTTCAGTCTGCAAGCCAATGCTCTAACCACAGAGCCAAAAACGACTAGGGCACAAATTTACATTCTTAACTTTTCAATCATATTTGGGGTTTGGAATATAAGGTAACTTGGTTTCAGTAGTAAACACTACCACTCCCTTTGAGAGTAACCACTACCCCTATTTTCAGAGTGCAGTTTGTGATGTTAAGGAACCATTTATAGATTTTTTATAGAAAGGAAGGGAGAGAGATAGAGAGCTAGAAACGTCGATGAGAGAGAAACATCGACCAGCTGCCTCTTGCACACCCCCCACTGGGGATGTGCCCACAACCAATGTACATGCCCTTGACTGGAATCGAACCTGGGACCTTTCAGTCCACAGACCGACGCTCTACCACTGAGCCAAACCAGCTTCAGCTAAGGAACCATTTATAAAGAAACTGCCATGGACTCTGGAGTTAGACTTAGGTTTATGTCTAAGTTCTGCTTCTTAACAACTATATATTGACAAGTTATTTAAGTTTTCTGAACTTTAATTTCCTCGTGTAAAAGTAGAAATATAAACAATCATAGTGGCTGTAAAAGAATAATGTATAAAGGCAATTAAAAACAGTAATAGCCCTGTCCAGTGTGGTTCAGTGGTTAGAGTGCCACAGGGTAGTTTCCTGGTCAAGGGCAAGTACCTAGGTTGCAGGTTTGATCCCCAGGCCCAATCCAGGCACATTTGGGAGGCAACCAATAGATGTGTCTCAAATTGATGTTTCTAGATCTCTCTCCCTGTCCCTTCTACTCTTTCTAAAAATCAATGGGGAAAAAAATACTCTGGTGAAGATTAAAAAATACACACCAAACCGTAATAAACAGCACTGACTTTGAAGTTAAGACTGGCTGGGCTTGAGTTCAGGCTCTGACTCTTGCTATGTAACTTTGAGCTAGTTTTTAAATCTCTCTGTGTCTCAGTTTCAGTTTCCTCAGTTTTAAAGCAGAGGTAAAAGCAGAAAGCTAAGTTTAACAAGTGATACACACATACATATACCATAAACCTTAACACCATTAAAAACTTCTATAAGAAATACTTTTATTGAAAAGTATTTAGGATTAAATAATGGCAGGATAAAAATAAAAATAAAATTCTGACAAAAGGATAACCAAAAAGAGAACAAAAGAAAGGGAAAATTGGCACTATTTTGGCAGCAAACATATATAAGAGTTCTGTTGTTACTATTGTTTTTCCTTAAGTTCTAAGAAAATCTAAGAATTCATTCTCTAACAATATTAGACTCAGATAAATTAGATAAATTCTGATCTTTCTCTTTCTCCTGTTGTCTCACTAAAGTCTGAGTCACAGAGAAAGGTCTTGGATCTATAAAGCCATGTGACATGAAAGCATTTCTAAGTAGGTAATAAGCCTTGAATTAAGATATGTTAACAATTTCTACCACAGCAGAAAGAATTATGGAATTAAGAATGCATTTCAAGATTTAAATTCTTCCAAATCCCTATTATGATGAGAACTAATTTATTGGGGGGGAAATACAAAGAAACACTATCTTATTATCATGTAATTTTAAAACACATTTTGAACAAAACAAGATAATAAAATGTGCTGCCTCTTAAACACATACCTTTCCCAAAACATTTCCACTGCTTTTAGTATAGTTTGGAAGGGTACATGATCTTCTTGGCTTTTTCTTTAGTTCTTCTTGTTCTAATATCTTTCTTTTTAAAACTGCTTCAATGTATGGCACCTGTAATTTATAAAGGAAAATTAACTACAAGGCCAATTACTCTTGTACCAGGCAGTCTATAATGAGAACAAAGAAAAATCAATAATTTGGACAACTCAATAACAAAGTTACTAAGCAGACAGTACTTTAAACCAGGGGTAGCGAACCTTTTTTTCTGCCAAGTGCCATTTAAATATTTACAATATCATTCGAGGGCCATACAAAACTATCAGCTTAAAAATTAGCCTGCTATATTTGGTCAAACATTTAATTACCTAACCCTCTCTGTCTTGACAGGGTCAGAACAAGTGGGCCATATAAGGGCCAGATGTTCCCCTCACTCCCGCTTTAAAAGAATATGGTTATAGAATGTAAAACTTTCATTCACCTCACTGATTTCTTTTTTATCTTAAGAAATACACAGCCTATAATAGTACTTCTTTTTGCAAGTGAGTTATCCTATCGAATAAAAGAATAATATGCAGATTGACCATCACTCCTACACACAAGATGGCTGTCCCATGGGGTCAAAGATCCTGCCCCCATGTGAATACAAGATGGCCACCACAAGATGGCCAGCAGGGGAGGGTAGTTGGGAGGGAACAAGCCTTCAAGGGAGGGCAGTTGTGAGTGATCAGGCAAGCAGAGGAGGGCAGTTGAGAGGGACCAGGACTGCAAGGGAGGGCAGTTGGGGGCTATCAACCCTACAGGGGAGGGCAGTTAGGGGTGACAAGACCAGCAGAGAAGGGAAGTTGGGGGCAAACAGGCTGGTGGGGGGGTAAGCAATTAGATATCAATCAGGCTGGCATGGGAGTGGTTAGGGGGTGATCAGGCTGGCTGGCAGGCAGAAGCAGTTAGGGGCAATCAGGAAGGCAGGCAGGTGAGCAACTGGGAGCCAGCAGTCCTGGATTGTGAAAGGGATATCTGATGGGCAGTCAGACATCCCTTGAGGGGTCCCAGATTGGAGAGGGTGCAGGCTGGGCTGAGGGACCCCCCCAATGCATGAATTTCGTGCACTGGGCCTCTAGTATAGTACATAAAAGAACACAATTTTAAAATACTCTGTCTTTTATTACTTTATTGTCTTTGCCACCACACATATTGGTTATAACTTACATAGTCTCTTCAGTGCAGTTATCAAGTTGTTGTATTATTAATTTTACTTATTGGTGTTATTACATTAGAAATACCAACTGCAGCCTGGTTGATGTGGCTCAGTGGTTGAGCATTGACCTATGAATCAGGAAGTTGTAATACCTAGTCAGGGCAAATGCCCAAGTTAGATTCCCAGTTGGGGGTGTCCAGGATGCAGCTGATAAAAGATTCTCTCTCATCATTGATTTTTCTTATCTCTCTCTCCCTTCTCTGAAATCAGTAAAATTAAAAATAAAAGCAAAAAACAAAAAACACACATAAAAAAATCAGTAATCCCACTTCTAGGAATATATCCCAAGAAACTAGAAACACCAATCAGAAAGGATATATGCACCCCTATGGTCATAGCAGCACAATCTACAATAGCCAGAATTTGGAAACAGCCTAGGTGCCCATCAGCAGATGATTGGATCCAAAAACTATGGTACATCTACACAATGGAATACTATGCTGCCATAAAAAAGAAGAATTCTCATCATTTGCAGCAACCTGGATGGAATTGGAGAACATCATGCTGGGTGAAAAAGCCAATCAATGAAAGAGAAACACCACATGTCCTCACTCATTTATGGATAATAAACATTATAAACTGATGAACCAAAAGATAGATATAATGACAGTAAAGCAACAAGCAGACTGTCAAATTACAGTGGGGAGGGGAGGAAGATCTGGGGGAGATAATAGATCAACCGAAGGACTTGTATACATGCATATAAGTACAACCAATGGACATAAAACTCTGGGGAGGGAGGGTATGTATGAGAGGAAGGGAGGGGGGCAAAAAAAAATTTTTTTTTTAAATCAATAAAATAAAAAAAACAAAAAAAAATCAAACCTGAAATTTATTTGAAAGAGAACTCTATCATTTTGCTAGCCTCTTTTTATTGTCTAGTACAGTGGTTGGCAAACTGCAGCTTGCGAGCCACATGTGGCTCATGAGCCGGGGTTTGCCGCTCTGTTGACTACCACTGCTAGGGAAAAACACTTAAAAAACATTTTAATAACTAATATCTTTAACCTGAAGTTAAAACTTCTGGGTAAGGATAATAGGCAGTGGTCGGTAAACTCATTAGTCAACAGTTTGCCAACCACTGGTCTAGTAACTAGACTACAATCCACATGTGTCTTAGTACCTAAAAGTAATAGTGCCCATAAAATTCCTAATATGAATTGCAAAAAAAATAAACTAGAATAAAAAAAATTCACATACACTGGAAAACTGTACCTGTTGTGTTGTAGGAATGTCAATATTATTTGTTTTTAGTTCATTTCGCAACTGGGCCTCTTTTGATTTTGCTACTTCAACTTGGCCTAAAATTAAAAAGAAACAAAAAATCCCCTGCATTAATGTGTAAAATAAAAATACTTTAAAAAATATTTTCAGTCTCTTTTACTGTCTTCCTTTTAATGAATGACCTAAAATAAAATCTAAAATTAAGATTCCGCTCTAATATACAAAAAAAAATTAATTGGTTAAGAGATATTACTAATATACTAAAAACTCCAAATAATCTTGGATAACTTATTTTAATTTTAATCCACATGCCTATCTATATATACATACAGGCAGTCCTCGGATTATGTTGGACTCGACGTATGTTGTTTTGTAGTTATGTCTCCATCTCCCATTTATTTATTAAAAAAAAAAAAAAGGTGCGTCATTTCGACGTATGTACCTATGTGCTTTTTGTTTTTTATTATTTACTGTATTTACAAATAAAGGTCAGGAATTGTTATTTTCCTTTAACATTTTTTTTTTTTTTTTACTGTTTTACTTCATTACTGCTATGTATGTGCTTCATGTGAGTGATGTAAGCGCTTATATAGGTAGGTTCTGCCTTAAGGTGAAAACACGTTACCTTGTACCATTGGAATAGATCTCTGACGGAACCTGAGGGCCTACTGTATGCAAATAGATGGAACAGCAGAACAACTGGGCAACTGGTCACTAAGACATGCACTGATCACCAGAGGGTGTTCGCAGTGGATGGAACATGGTGGATGTGGGACATAGCGGAATGGTGCAGCAGGTGAGTGGGGGTGCCAGACCAAGGCGGGGTGCAGGTAGCTGTCATCAGGGTGATCCTCTGGGGGTTATTGAAAATTCTTTGCTCCCAGGTGCTGGGGCACCGCCCAGTGCTTGCACCCACTGCCAGCGCTGGAGTCGCTGCTCACATCTGTTGCCAGTGCCTGGCACCAGCCCCAATCGCTCGGCGCCATCAACAGATGCCAACGGTAACCGCTGGCCCCGATCACACCTCAGGGTTTCTCCACCTACCCCTGCTCCTGAAGGACAATCAGAGCCAGCAGCCGCCTCTTGCACTTGCTGCTGGTGAAGGCCCCACTTGCATCCGCTGTGGCACTCGAGCCGCCACTCACACCCACTGCCAGTGCTGGCCCTGCTCACACCTGCAACCGGCACCCGGTGCAGGTCCCAATCGCTTGGTGCCATTAGCAGGTGTCAGCAGTGGCTGCTGGCCCCAATTGCCCAAGGGCTTCTCCTCCTTCTCCTACTCGTTAGGGGCAATCAGGAGAGCAGCTGCTGCTCGCTCCTGCTGTTGGCACTGGCCTCAATAGCTCTGCACTGTCAGCAGGTGCAAGCAGGGCCAGCACCATCAGTATGTGGGAGAGGCGATGATGGGAGTGGGGCTGCCAGCTGACGGTATCAGGAAGGGCCTCAGTGGGAGGGACCAGGCGGGGGAGCGGAGGATGGGCCGAGACGTGCCCCTGTGCCCACCACAGCCTCATGGCCCACAGTTCTTTTCAAGGTGCATGAATTCATGCACTGGGCTCCTAGTCTAGATATATATAAGCCTACGTGACTGGACAACCTGCCAGTAGCTATGATGCACACTGACCACCAGGGAGCAGTGCTCAATACAGGTGCTTCCCCCTGGTGGTCAGTGCGCTCCCACAGCAGGAGCATGGCCAGATGCCAAGCTCGGCTGGAGAGCCTCTCTCAAAGACACTTCCCCTGCTCACCTGAGCAGTGGAGGCAGCAGGTGCAGGGGGGCTGGGATAAGCGGGAGTGGCTTGGTGCCCAGCCCAGGCTCTTCCCTGGCTGCCTGCAGCTTCACGCACTGCTTTGTGCTGTGCGGGATCGATGTGGACAGCGGGCTGGAGCCCGATGAGGTGGCAGGTAAGGCTAGGCTATGGCAGTGAGGAGGTCCACTGATCCCCACAGGTCAGGCTGAGGGACAATATCGGTGGCATTTGTGCACGGGGCCTCTAGTATATAATATACGCATACAAGGTTGTTGCAAGAAACAAATAAAAATTTACTTAGTTCCTATTATCTTCTTAATACCCTTAACCTTAGAATGATAATACAAAAGTGACTGTACATTGATGGAGGCAGTACATATTTGTTGGTAAATGGGTCAAAATTTTAACTATATAATTAACATAGAGGCAAAAAAAAAATCTGACAAATGGAAAGAGATGTCAGAGCATAACTCATCAAATGCCTTAGAAGTATACAAACATTAAAATCTGCAGCAAACATTCCATGTATTGATTAAAAAATAAGTAATACATTTCTATATCAATGTATGCTGTCCTGAACACCTCCACAGTGTGGAATATTTAAGATATTTTAAGTAAAACACACAGTTTTATTACTCAAATAAAAATCACATTACAATCCCCCAGTGATATTGTCATCTAATATCATTGCCAGAACCTGGAATTGGATATAAACATTATTATGTAAAGGCCTTAAATTTCCACAGATTTACAATTCTTAGAAATCTTGAATTTTTGTAGGTAAACAGGATATAAATTCACTTGAAGTGAAGAAATACTTCATCTTAAGTAGCTCAATTGAGGAATAGTACAAACCACTATTACTACCTTTCTGCAGGTTCTGCAGTTCACTTGTAGTTTAGGAAAGGAGACAATGCTTATCTCATGCTCTCAACATTCTGCTTCATCACTCCCCCATCATGTTTTTTATTACCTTTGAATACAAAATGACTTACACTTCATTTCATCAATAAGCTGTTTGCTGGTTTCAAATACAGTTCTATACATTTCAATAGATTGAGATAATTCATCCTTTTGTTTTGCAAATGCTAGCATTTGTTGCTGCTTCTTAACATCTAAAAAGAAACATTCAGATAATTTAATTCAATTAAAAATTGTGACTTTTAAGTATTTCATAACATGACTAGATAACTAATAAGCACAATATTTTTAAAAAAATATATTTTATTGATTTTTAACAGAGAGAAAGGGAGAGAGATAGAGAGCTTGAAACATGGATGAGAGAGAAACATCGACCAGCTGCTTCTTGCACACCCCCTACTGGGGATGTGCCCGCAACCAAGGTAATGCCCTTGACCAGAATCGAACCTGGGACCATTCAGTCCGCAGGGCGACGCTCTACCACTGAGCCAAACTGGCTTCGGCTAATAAGCACAATATTAATGGAAAGCAAATCAAATAACACAAACACTAAGAGTTTAATCCTCTATTTTCCTAGAAACTTACCATTAGAAAACATAAATGGTAGAATATATGATTCTAATGTTCTTGATAAATCTGGTAGCTGAGGCTCAAATATAATAAAGTATTCAGTACTATCTTTTCCAGGACTATTTTCTGCCAGCACTAGACTCTATAAATAAAAAGAGAGTAACAAAAAAAAAGTTAAAAAGATATTTGTCAACATTTAAACATTTTACCTTTTATTGTGCTGTTTCCCAACAAGTGGTAAATTTTAACATTGATCAATCCTTAAGATTAAACATTTCACATTTTGATATTGGTTTAAAAACAAAAGTGATCTTATCAGTAAATGATTATGCAAAAACATATACAATGGAAGATTACAAGAAAAAGTATCTTTTTTTAAGACCTTAGAAATATCTTCCTGATTCAAACCTTTTAAGTTGAAGCAGTACTAAACAGTTGATGGTATGGAAGTTATAAAAATCCAAAAAATTTTTATACAAAAAAATGCCCAAAGTCCAATGCTGAGTTTAAGTTACAGCCGTCACCAGTCCCAGGTGACCAAACAAGAGGCCCTGAAAAAAGCTCTGAAGATTTATTTTTTTTATAAAAAATTGTGTTTTCTTCATTAATTCTCTCTCTCTCTCTCTCTCTTTCTCTCTCTCTCTCTCTCTCTCTCTCTCTCTCTCTCACACACACACACACACACACACACACACACACACACTTTTTAAAAAAATATATATATTACTGATTTTTTATGGAGAGGAAGAAAGAGGGATGGAGAGTTAGAATCATAGATCAGCTGCCTCTTGCACACCCCCTACTGGGGATGTGCCCGCAACTGGGGATGTGCCCGCAACCAAGGTATATGCCCTTGACAGGAATCGAACCTGGGACCTTTTAGTCCACAGGCCAACCCTCTATCCACTGAGCCAAACCGGTTTTTGGCCACACACAAAAACTTTTGATATACTTTAGTTTAAAACCACAGCATCAACTAGTAAATAATGCAACTATAAATATTTATATATTAAATGGGTTTTCCATAATCTTACAGGAAACAGATGCTTGCTGTTTGGGTTTTAGACTACGTAATACAAGTAGGATTTCCAAAAATGTAAATCAATAGAACACGGTAAAACAATCCACAAAATAAATTACAAATTATAGTGAAAAATTCCTAGGATATAGAACACAAAATCATTTAACTGATCCCCGATACCACTTAGTTACTAAAAGATGTTTTCAGTGTATTTACATGAATATAAAGACAAATAAAAATAAAATACTATTTTCATTTAAAATAGCATATACTTTATATTTCAGCAATTTGCTTTCAGAATTTGATTTGTTGATAAATTCCAGTGAATGACTAGATAACAATTTTAAAATTTAGGCGTAGGATAGATATACTACACTATAATACTGAATGATAAACATCTAGTTTAGTATTTTTAAAAATTATCTATTGCTGAAACCGATTTGGCTCAGTGGATAGTGTGTCGGTCTGCAGACTAAAAGGTCCCAGGTTTGATTCTGGTCAAGGGCATGTACCTTGGTTGTGGGCACATCCCCAGTAGGGTGTGTGCAGGTGGCAGCTGATCAATATTTCTCTCTCATCGATGTTTCTAACTCTCTATCCCTCTCCCTTCCTCTCTATTAAAAAAATCAATAATATATTAAAAAAATAATAAAAATTATCTATTATGTAGAACATAACAAAGAAAATATCTTTTACAACTTCTTTGTGTGTTCTCTAGAATAGGTACCAAGAAATGTAACTCATTAAAACAGGTGGTATCAAATTTCCTTTAAAAAAGGCAATATCCTTTTGCCATTAATGTTTAAACATATCTATATCCCCCGATGCTGGCCAAAACCTATCAATCAAGTATGCCTTTTTCTATAAAGATGGATTAAAAACAACTAGACATTATTGCTTTAACCGGCATTTGGCATTGGGTCTGATTGGCACTGAGGTCATGTTTACTCGTCATTTATACTTTCTACTCCATTAATTCATATTCTTGGGTCACTTGTCCACTAGATTGTCTTTTTTCTTTAATCTGCAGGAAATTTTTTAAGGAGATTTAATATATTAATCTTGCATTATATGTAGAAATATTGTTATACATTCATATTCTTGGGTCACTTGTAATACACACATAGCAATATATATGTAGCAATATTTTTATCCAATTTATCTTTACAACTTTATTAAACAACCATATAATGAATCCCTACATCCTACATAACATCATTCAGAATTAATAATCAACATGTCACCATTGTTCTTTTATTTCTAAGATATGTTTATGGTATATAGTTTTAACTTTCGATATAGTTTTTTTTAAAAAAACACACCTCTCCATTCATGTCTTGTTAAAGAATTTCCTATCTCAAAGTTTTAGTTTAATCTCTGATATACAGCTTTTCCAAAAAAAAAAAAAGAGCATATACAGAATAACAGAAATGAAAAGAACTGAAGAGTCCTAAACTGAATCCACGTACAAATGAGAAATTGGAATATGATAGACAAATGCATAGCAGAATGAAACTTAATACACTTCTTTCAGAAATTTCCAGATCAAGTAGGCAATATAGAGACTTTGAATAACACAGGTTAACAACCTTAAAAATTATATTTCAGATTATAACTTTAAAGAAAGCAATTACAGGTTCTTTTCAAACAAATGTGTAACATTAACAAATACATGTTATATACTGGTCAGTGTTTCCTAAGTGTCCCTAGTGATAATTACTTGCTTATTATAAATCAAATTGCAGATCCTTGCCCCAGACCTACTAAATCAATAAGTGGGTCAGAAGCCAAGCAGGAATTGAGGTTTTTGCTTATTCAGTGTGATACTAGGTACCTCTAGTGGAAATTCATATGTGTGACATGAAGCTTAGATTCTGTACATAATTATAGGGGAATAGTTTATGTCATCATCTCAACATCAAAAAATGTATCCAGCCAAAACCGGTTTGGCTCAATGGATAGAGCGTCGGCTTGGGGACTGAAAGGTCTCTGGTTCGATTCCAGTCAAGGGCATGTACCCAGTAGGGGGTATGCAAGAGGCAGCTGATCGATGACTCTCATCGATGTTTCTAACTCTCTCTCTCCCTTCCTCTCTGTACAAAATCAATAAAAAAAAATTTTTTTTAAAAATGTATCCAGTGGGATTAGCTATTTGAAAAGCCTACAGAGGGGCCAAGGAAACAAAACATATGTAAATTGGAAATAAGTAGACTAGGTGTATTCTTCTACAGAGAGGAAAGGAGAGGAATAGTTAGAAACATCTATGAGAAACATCAATCAGCTGCCTCTAGTACGCCCCTACTGGGGATGTGCCTGCAACCAAGGTACATATCCTTGACCGGAATTGAACCTGGGACCCTTCAGTCCACAGGCTGATGCTCTATCCACTGAGCCAAAGCAGTTTCGGCTAGGTGTATCCTTCTAAAACAAACCTACTTTGAAGTTCAACGTGTCTCGCCCCTTTTGTTTTTCAACATGTGGCTTTCATTACCTCATTTTTGTGAGGGTACGAGAAAATTTCACTTTCCTCTCCACTATAATAAAAAATAAGACAAGTGTAAACGTAAGTATCAGCTGACACTTGCTCTCAATGTCAATAAATGAAAAGACGTGCTGAAACCGGTTTGGCTCAGTGGTAGAGAGTCAGACTGCGGACTGAAAGGTCCCGGGTTGGATTCCGGTCAAGGGCATGTACCTGGTTGCGGGCACATCCACAATAGGGGGTGTGCAAGAGGCAGCTGATCGATGATTCTCTCTCATCGATGTTTCTAACTCTCTATTCCTTTCTCTTCCTCTCGGTAAAAAAAAATCAATAAATATATTTAAAAAAATAAAAAATAAATAAATGGAAAGACATGGCATAAATAGAACTGAATGGAAAGTCCTACTGCCATAAGAGAATCTTGGTTCAGTACTGATATGGCTTTTGAATTCTCGAAATAAATCAGAAATGCATACCTTTATGTAAAATTTCTAGAATTTTAAATGTTGGAAACGAATTAAAATAGAAATGCTATAGTGGTCCGTCACTGCCAAATCAACTGACATGTCTACTGTAGGCCAGTTGCAAACTAGCAGTCTTTCTGATTGTAAGCTTAATGTTATTAAAACAGTGTGATATGTTGTACACCTGACATATCATATACCAACTATAATTTTTTAAAAAGTGGTATTAGCATTGGTCTAGATATAAAAATAAACACTGACAAAAAGGTTGACACTTCAAATTTTTTGGTACAGGAAGAATTATTAAGTAAATGATACCAAGAAATTTAGTTGAGCCGAAACCGGTTTGGCTCAATGGATAGAGCGTTGGCTTGGGGACTGAAAGGTCCCGGGTTCGATTCCGGTTGCGGTCATATCCCCAGTAGGGGGTGTGCAAGAGGCAGCTGATCGAAGACTCTCTCTCTTCGATGTTTCTAACTCTATCTCTTTCCCTTCCTCTCTGTACAAAATCAATAAAATATATTTAAAAAAAAAATTTAGCTGATGAATTTGGAGGAAAAAATGATAAAAATAAAATTCAAACAAATAAAAAATTAAATGTATAAGAATACTATAGCTAGCACTGTGAATATAATCTTCCTTTCTGCCCCAATATAAACAACGCCCCCATAAAAGACAAACTCAGGAAAAATATTTATATACAAAAGAGCATTAATATCTTTAGTATAAAATTAAGAAGAAAATGATGAACATTCCAAAGAAAGTTGAAGAATAATCCTACAAAGATCACAAATATGAAAAATGTTCAACCTTAAACTAGTAACAAAAAATTTTACATATTTCTTAAATAAAGGAAACTTGTTTAGAAATTTAAAAATTCATATTTGGGATTGGTAATATTGTAAGGATATACACATACTTCTGGTGGGAATATAAACTGAAGAGCAATAAGCAATAACTACCAAAAGCCTAGTCTCTAATATTCTACCAATTTCTTACAGAGATAATCAGATATATGTAAAAAGGGATATACATAGAAGCTGATGGAAGCACTGTTGATAAAATAAGCTTTGGAAAGAAACTAAATTTTCACTTAGGATTTATCAAATAAGTGATCATCAATATAATAATCTAGGTTTATAATTATTGATGAACAAATACACTAAAGATGTGTTAAAATAGAAAATACTTTTATAAAAGCAATGCTCTATAATTTCACATACACACTACCCCAGGTAAATAAATCATATATATTATACACAGGGTATCCACGCAATGCTGTGTATATATTAAAACTCTGGAGATTATACACTCAATTGTTAACCATCATTATCTCCAAAGGGTGATAATCTGATGATTATTATTGAGTTTTTGCACTGTGTATTTTTTATAAGTAAAATTATTTCCCTTTTGGGAAGAAAAAAAAGATAAACTGATTTATTAAATTTTTTAAAGCTATGTACACATTTTACCCGAGCTATGGTTCATTGTTTCTAACCATAGAATGATAACTTTTCAATGAAACATAAATATATTATCACTGAGGCTAAAAGTACAGAAAACTCATCTATCAAAAGATGTAAAAATTACCGTGATGTCAGCGGAACCTTTTACAAAAGGGAATTCAAGTGTTCTGACTTTCCCGATAAAGAGTGGTGTATCAGTATCTTCCTCATTAGAACCTTTGATGGTAGCTATTATAGTGCCAACCAAATCAAGTCCAGTCTGATTGTTGAAGTCATCCTTAAAGCAAACAATGGAAAATAACTAATTAGAAGAACTGGTAAGAAAATTAAACCCGGTGAAGGGCATGTGCAAATAAAAATTGAAAAATTTTAAATTACCCTGATTCTTCACTCTACGTACGCATAGAATTCAATTCTGATTAAGTGATTTATGGGCAGAAAATAATCCCAGAAAACAAGAAAAACCAGCAGTTTCCAAGTAATATAATGGCTCCTAACTTTCTTTTTTAAAAGGGCTCCTATTTTAAAATGTCATCTTGTTATGTACTTTTAACATCTATTGATCTGGGGGTGAGAAGTTATGAACAACTTACTTGTCTAAAACAAGAAAATAAACTGAAAAAAGCTAAGTACACTACCTGCAAAATTTTCCATAAAGGCAAGGTCCCACTACAGCATTTTACTTGTTTTTGTTAATATTTACAGAAATTCTATTGCTGCTTAGTCTCCAGGTAACCAAAAGTTCTCACTGAGCAGCAGCTCTCTTAAAAATAATTACCTCCATCTGTCATGTATATGGTAGAATCAATTTACTCGACGCATATTTAATACATATAGAAAATTGGAGATGTAAATTTGAAAGGTAGGCAGGTTTTTGCATTTTTGAGTCAGCTCTACTTAGTATATCTGAATATATTTTATGTATTATGTATGCATTCTCTACTTGTATTCAGAGATGTTTGTATTTCATTTATCAAAACAATTTTTCCCTATAACTAGATAATCAAATTCTGATTCTATAACTATTTTGCATCCTGAAATTAGAAAGAATTTTTGCTATCCAATGCAATTTTGGAATTAATAAACATTACCGTGACAATTAGATGTAAATCTTTGACCAGGGTCCTATTGGCAATTGAGTGAACATTTGAAACAGCTGGTGTGGCTGGCTGAATTTTAGGTACTAACTTCACAGGTTGATTAGGTTGAACATCAACTATAATCTTTCAAAACAAAAGAAGAATTTCAATTAATAATATAAGTTGATAGCTGAGAATTCAAGAGTAAGAGAAGAAATATTAGCATATACTAAATGAAATTTTAAACATGTATTTCCCATTAATCTCTTAAAATGATTTAAATCAACTTTTAAAAAAACTGAGGATAAAAATGTGTATCAGATTAATTTTTGAATGAAACTAAGAACAAATTTATAGACATGTAAAAATACAGGTAATTTATAAAAATTTGGTACACTACCATTTGAATGGAGATGACATGTTAAAACTACCTTAAACTTCATTATCTATACTAGAGGCCCAGTGCACAGATTCATGCACTGGTGGGGTCCCTGGGCCTGGGCTGTGCCCTCTCGTAATCCGGGATCCCTCAGGGGATGTTGGAACTGCTGGTTCAGCCTGATCCTCACAGGCTAGGTTGAGGAATCCCACCAGTGCACAAATTGATGCACCAAACCTCTAGTCTACATATAAGATCTGTGGTTAATATCTTCCTGTGCCCTCCTTCCCTTTGAGAGTCATCAGTTTGTTCCATGTTTCCATGCCAGTGCGTTGAGCATCTGCCCCCTGGTGGTCAATGCACATCATAGCTACCAGTCCAACAATCAAACAGTCGACTGGTTGAACAGACACTTAGGCTTTTATATATATGTATATTAGCATGTGAAATGTTAATTGAAAAATTTTATGTATGATTGATAGGAGCAACCTTACCATGATATACACTAAAATGCTTATTAACTGAGTCTTTGATATATAGAGATGGAAAAAGTAACTTCTGCAGCAGATCCTATTTTTAAAAAAAATACGTTTTATTGATTTTTTTTTTTTTTTTTTTTTAACAGAGAGGAAGGGAGAGGGATAGAGTTAGAAAGATCGATCCGCTACCTCCTGCACACCCTCTACTGGTGATGTGCCCACAACCAACGTACGTGCCCTTGACCGGAATTGAATCTGGGACCCTTAAGTCTGCAGGCCGACGTTCTATCCACTGAGCCAAACCAATTAGGGCAGATTTATTAATTAACATAATTTAAATGCATTCTATTCTAATATTCCTGAAAATGTCATTATTTATATTTTGTATCCAGTAATTAATTCACTTGCATCCAATAATTATTTTAAAACAAAACATTTCTTTCTTAAACAAGAAAATGTAAAGCTAACTATGGTATAAAAAGAGAGTAAGCAAACCTGTTCACTGTTAAGAATAAGTGCTTTATCCATCATAAAAACAAACTGGATACAATATGTCCCCACTTTATTAGGAATTGCTTTATCCCTAAATTAGAAAGAAAGAGATAAAATTATTCACAACTTTCAAATAATTGTGAATTCATCCACATTTCTATTCCTTCCTCAACAAGAAAATGCATAAAAAGACAATTACTTCTACATTAGTCTACATCAGCAAATATTCCTGAAATATTAGCCTTAATTCCAGGTCCTTCTTCCCTGGACATTTTTTCCACAAAACATCTAGAAACCAGGCTCTGAGCGTGACAACGTTGAAAAAATAGGAATATGAAGTTCATAAAATAATAAACACACAAAAAACGTGGAATTATACTAGTATGTAAAGAGAATTTTGCTTTAATTCTACATAATAAATTTCTAACTCAAAGTTTTATATTTCAAAATCACAGATTATCCTACTCATCTTTTTATGTTGTTTTTATATTTTAAATACTTAACTTTATAAGGCATTTATTATGATTTAATTATCAATAAAGAATTTAGTGCCTATTAAGAGGTATACTTACTAGCCTGTTTTGATCACACTTAATTACAATGAAAATATAAATGACATTCAATGGTATACTTTGGCTGGCATGTACTGTATGGATTATGATCTCTACAATAATGTTTGCATGTCATTTATAATCTAAAAATACTGGCATAATGTAGCAAAGAAAACAAAGATTTTGAATACATACTAGGTGTACCAGTTAATATTACGGATTTTATCAATGGAGTTACACATATGTTGATATATATGCGATGGAGTTACACATATGTTGATATGTATGAGATGTGATATGTATGCTATTTTGTTGTATTGACAGCAAGCTCCAAAACTACATATGTCGAATTTGCTGAAGGTGTTAACATCATAGATATTTTTATGTTTAAAAATGTTGAATTTGGTGCCAAAAAAAAGAGCATTTGCAGGAAGTTTTAATTCATTACTTTATATTGAAGAAAAGTGCTGCCAAAAGTTACTGTATACTTTGAGAAGCTCATAGTGAACATTCTCCATCTCAAGATACTTGTGAACACTGGTTTAAATGCTTATAAAAGTGACGATTTCAATGTGAAAGACAAAGAATGTCCAGATCAACTGAAAAAGTTTGAAGACCAACAATTACAAGCATTATTAGATGAAGATGCATGTCAAATTCAAAAACAACTTGCAGAAAAATTAAACATTGCTCAGCAAACAATTTCCGATAGTTTACAAGCAATAGGAAAGATTTTAAAGGAAAGAAAAGGGGTGCCACATCAACAAGTCATCAGTAAAATGTTGCTTCAACAGCACGAAAGAAAGACTTTTTTGCACCAAATTGTTCCTGGCGATGAAAAGTGGATTTATTTTGAGAATTCCAAATGCACAAAATCATGGGTTGATTGAGGTCAACCATCAACATCAACTGCAAGGCCAAATTGCTTTGGAAAGAAGACAGTGCTCATTTGGTGGGATCAGGAAGGTGTGGTGTATTATGAGCTTCTAAAACTAGATAAAACAGTTAATACTGATGACTACTGACAATGAAAATTAGAAAATATCTTGACCAAAAAAAACCCAAAAAAACCCAATATAAAAAGATTTGTGATTGCTCCTAAAATTATTCATGTATATACATAATTACTAATATGACACTATTAAACAAGACATTCCTATAGAATAAATCAAGAATTAGGGACCAGCCGAAACCGGTCTGGCTCAATGGATAGAGCGTCGGCCTGTGGACTGAGGGGTCCTGGGTTTGATTCCGGTCAAGGGCATGTACCTTGGTTGCAGGCACATCCCCAGTAGGGGTGTGCAAAAGGCAGCTGATCGATGATTCTCTCTCATCGATGTTTCTAACTCTCTATCCCTCTCTCTTTCTCTCTGTAAAAAAATCAATAAAATATATATAAAAAAAAAAAAAAAATTAGGGACCACTTTTTCCAGTTATTTTTGTGAGGCATACATGACCTAGACATCAAATTTGAAAAATAATATGCACGAAAGGAAATGCATTAATGTTGATGGAAAAATCCCGAACAAAATATTAGCAAAACAAATCCACCAATACCTAAAAGTGATAATACATTATGATAAAATCAAGTGTATTACATAGACAGTAACATGAAGACAGGAAATAAAGATCTCAATAAAGGTAAATACAGAAGCAATTATAAATGTTAGCATTATTTTAACAATGGTTTGTAACTTCATTTTTTAGTTTCTATATGACTTAAGGACTAATACATTTAAATAAACTATAATTATCTAATTTTCTATACTATCTTTTAGTGATATAATGATTTTTGCTTTGTGCCACTGTCCTTTATTTTAAAATCTAAAAAAAAATTATCATTAAAAATAGATAAACAAAACTTTAGACATAGCCTACTCAAAATTATTTTTCATATTTCAAAATAGAGGTCCAGAATGCAGAAGCAACATCTCAAAGGAATATGTACTTTAATAGTAAAAAACTAGTCCAGTTTTTTTTTTTTTAACTTTCTAAAATCATAACTAAGATTATAGAAATTTCCTATAGAGTAAGATATTACAAAGTGAAAGAGAGGAGGTAAGATGGCGGAAGAATAAATGGGAGGATTCTGAGCCCTGTCCCGAAGCAGAAAGAGAGAGCAGCTGATGGTCTTGAGCTGTGAGTGTTTATTAGCAAGCTGGGAGACAGCGAACACCAGAAGAAACTTGGGGGGCCGCTGACAAAGGTACCCCTCACAGGGAAGCACCCACGTGGGCTACGTCCCTTCCTGGAGCTACCTACTGGCCTGGACGGGGAAACCTCGCCATCTTGAGAGGAAGATTGGATCGTGTCAGAGGCCTGAATATCCACAGCCGCTGCAACCACCAAACAGCTGTGACCCGTAGAACGCGTATCCCAGGCGGCGCGAACATCTGGCCTCACAGGAGTGCCCCACTGCTCAGCAAAAAGGTCAGATTTCGCAAGGAGAGGGTGGAAAGTGCTTGCGGGGAAGACAAAAGCCTGCGCGCACAGAGCGCGCAGAAGCTGGAGGACAAGGGCGGTGATTACAAGTAGAAGCCCCAGCTGTTGGGCGTGGACGGGGCTCCTAACAGGGGAGATATCTAAAGAGCAACACATTTGGATCTGGCTCGGAGGGATATCGGAGAGTTGTGGGAGATTGCAGTTGCTCAGACTTGACCCCTCCCTCCCTCCGTAGTTCCTGCTGCAGAGAGGACGGAAAAAAAAAAAAAGCTCGAGAGGCTCTAGAGTCTGGGAAGTCAACCTAGAAACACTGCCCCCAGAGGCTAATTCACAAATTGATTCTAGTGTAATAAAAACAAAGCAAAACCTGCCTAAAAATCAGGACTGGATCATAACAATAGAGGAAGCGAATGACCTTCATTACTGCAAATTTTATTTAAATTTTTAAAATTTTATTATTTTTTTTAATTTTAAAATTTTTGTATTTTATTTGTTTACATTATTTGCAACTTTTACTCAAGAAACTATTTTTTTCCTCACTTGATTTTATCTTTATAATTATTACATTGTATACGTAATCAACATTATTACTACTACTAATTTACCTTTTTCATCTTATTTTTTTATTTTTATTTTTATTTCATTTTATTATATATATATTTTTTATTTTTTATTTTTATTTTCAGGATTACTGTTCTACAGTCTTTATCTATCTTTCCTTCTCCAACGCTTTATTCTATCTCAACCCTACCTTTATGCCTTCACTCTCTTTCCGACCTTTTCCTTTGGTACCCTGTTTATCTTAACCCTTTCCTGCTCTAGATTTTCCCCATTCCTTCTGTCTACCCCCTCCTAAAATTTCACCCTACTTGTTTATATCTAATTTCCAACTCCCTGCTCCAAGCCCATTCACACCTCCCTCGCAGTTGTCCTAAAAACAAAACAAAAAACAGTCTTTCTCTCTAACTCTTTGAAGTTGTATGTTGAATGTTAACTATACTGAAGTTGCATGCTTTTTTTATAAGATTAATTTGCCTATTATTTTTGATTGTATGTTTTTGTTAGCTGGGTTCTAATCACCTTTATTGGTGGTAATTAATATCGCAAACACATTTCTATTCAGTGCCTTGTGTGTTGTACCTGGCTGTGTTGTATTTTGTGCCTTTAAATCAAATCAGGAGAGAGAGAACTACACAACCAGAGATCCTAAAAAGAGAGATCATGGGGAGACAAAAAAACAGCCCACATATGAAAGAAAAGCAGGCTTCACCATAAAAGGAAGTAAACGAGATAGAGGCAATCAACCTACCAGAGCAAGAATTCAGAGTAATGATCATATAATAAGATGGCTAAAAAGAATGGAAGACAAATTTGATAACATGAGTAAGAACCAAGAGGAAATGAAGAAGAATCAAGAAGAAATGAAAAATGACATCGCTACTGTAAAGGACTCAATAGAAAGCATCAAGAGTAGATTAGAAGCAGCAGAGGACCACATCAGCAAGCTAGAAGACAAGACGGAAAAAAATACCCAATTAGAACAGCTTCTGGAAAAAAAAAAATTAAAAAACAGGAGGAAAGTCTAAGGGAACTTTGGGACAATACAAAACAAAACAATATTAGAGTAATAGGAAAGGGAATTGAGGAAGACATGGAAAACATATTTCAAGAAATAATGACAGAAAACTTTCCTGAGATAGAGAAGAAAAAACCCACACAAATCCAAGATGCTCGCAGAGTCCCAAGCAAAATGAACCCCAGTAAACCGACCTCTAGACTCATTATAATTAAGCTGGCAAACGCCAACGACAAAAAAAGAATTTTAATAGCAGCCAGAGACAGAAAGTTACATATAAAGGAACCTCCATCAGACTAGCAACTGATTTCTACAAAGAAACTTATCAGGCCAGAAGGAAATGGGATGAAATATACAAAGTCATGCAAAGGAAGGGTTTGAATCCAAGAATACTGTACCCAGCAAGGCTATCAATCAAAAGTGAAGGTGAAATCAGGAGCTTCAAAGACAAAAGCAGACTAAGGGAATTTATCTCCACCAAACCAGCAATGCAAGAAATGCTAAAAAGTCTACTGTAAAATTAAAGAAATAAAAGCTAAGAAGGAATACAGGGGTATAGAATAAAAATGGAATCAAATAAGTATCTTTCAATAATAACTTTAAATGTAAATGGACTAAATGCTCCAATCAAAAGACATAGAGTAACGGATTGGATAAGAAAACAAGACCCATATATCTGTAGTCTACAAGAAACCCACCTCAGAAAAAAAGATGCACACAGACTGAGAGTGAAGGGATGGAAAAAGGTTTTCCAGGCGAATGGAAATGGAAAAAAAGCGGGGGTAGCAATACTTGTATCTGACAAATTAGATCTCAGAGTGAAGGACATACAAGAGATAATGAAGGCCACTTCATAATACTAAAGGGAGCAATCCAACAGGAAGAAATAACCCTGGTAAATATATATGCTCCCAATACGGGAGCACCCCAATATATAAAAAAAACTGCTGGAGGACATTAAGGGAGAGATTAATAGCAATACAATCATAGTAGGAGATTTTAATACCCCACTGTCACCCTTTGACAAATCATCTAAACAAAAAATCAGCAAAGAAATATCAATCCTAAATGACTCGCTAGACCAGATGGAATTAATCAACATCTTCAGAACATTCCACCCCAAAGCCACGGAATATATATTCTTCTGAAGCGCACATGGGACATTCTCAAAGATAGACCACATTTTGGGACATAGGCAAAGTCCCTTCAAATTCAAGAAGATAGAAATCATATCAAGCATCTTCTCAGATCATAGTGGCATAAAACTGGAAATTAACTACAACGAAAAAAATCCAAAGAAATCAAACACATGGAGACTAAACAGCATGCTATTAAACAAGGACTGGGTTACCAGAGAAATCAAGGAAGAAATTAAAAACATCCTGGAAACAAATGACAATGAAAACACAACTATCCAAAATCTATGGGACACAGCAAAAGCAGTTTTGAGAGGGAAGTTCATATCCCTACAAGCCTATTGCAAAAAACTAGAAAAAATGGTAACAAATGATCTAACTCTACAACTCAAAGAGTTAGAAAAAGAGCAACAAGAAAAGCCCAATGTAAGCAGAAGGAAGGAAATAACAAAAATCAGAGCACAGATAAACGACATAGAGACCAAAGAAACAATACATAAGATCAACAAAACCAAGAGCTGGTTCTTTGAAAGAATAAACAAGATAGATGAACCTCTAGCCAGGCTAACCAAGAAACAAAGAGAAAGGACCCAAATAAACAAAATCAGAAATGAAAGAGGTGAAATAACAACAGACCCCACCAAAATACAACGGGTTGTTACAAAATACTACGAACAACTCTATTCCAACAAATTGAACAACCAGGAGGAAATGGACAAATTCCTAGAAAAATACAAACTGCCAAAACTCAATCAGGAAGGATCTAAAAATCTTAATAGAGCAGTGACTTGGGAAGAAATTGAAACAGTCATCAAAAAACTTCCAGCAAACAAAAGCCCAGGGCCAGATGGCTTCACAGGAGAGTTTCACCAAACATTCAAGGAAGAACTAAAACCTATTCTCCTCAGACTATTCCAAAAAATTCAAGAGGAAGGAACACTTCCAAACTCCTTCTATGAAGGCAGCATCACCCTAATACCAAAACCAGATAGACAACTCAATGAAAGGGAATCACAGGCCAATATCCCTCATGAACATAGATGCCAAAATCCTCAACAAAATTCTAGCAAATCGGCTCCAGCAGAGCATCACAAAGATCATACACCATGACCAAGTAGGATTTATTCCAGGAATGCAAGATTGGTACAATATCCGCAAATCAATAAACGTGATACATCACATAAACAAATTGAAAGATAAAAATCATATAGTCATATCAATTGATGCAGAAAAAGCATTTGATAAAATCCAACACCCTTTCCTGATAAAAACTCTCAACAAGGTGGGAGTACAAGGATCATACCTCAACATAATAAAAGCTATATATGATAAACCCACAGACAACATCATACTCAATGGGCAAAAACTAAAACCATTCCCTCAAGAACAGGAACAAGACAGGGATGCCCACTATCGCCACTCCTCTTTGACATAGTACTGGAAGTACTAGCCATTGCAATTCAACAAGAAGAGGAAATAAAAGGCATCCAAATCGAAAAGAAGAAGTAAAGTTATCCTTATTTGCAGACGACATGATATTGTATATAAAAAACCCAAAAGACTCCATTAAAAAACTAATTGACTTAATAAATGAATTTGGCAATGTAGCAGGATACAAAATTAACGCCAAGAAATCTATGGCATTTCTATACACCAACAGCGAACTTATAGAAACAGAGACTAAAAAAGCAATTCCATTTACCATCGCACCAAAAAAATTAAGATACCTAGGAATAAACATAACTAAGGAAGTAAAGGACCTATATGCGGAAAACTACACGACACTGAAAAAAGAGAGGAAGATGTAAACAGATGGAAGAACATACCATGTTCATGGATTGGTAGAATCAACATCATCAAAATGTCCATACTTCCTAAAGCAATCTATAGGTTCAATGCACTCCCCATTAAAATACCAATGGCATATTTCACTGACCTAGAAAGAACTCTCCAAAAGTTCATTTGGAACAATAGAAGACTCCGAATAGCCACAGCAATCCTGAGAAAGAAGAGTAAAGTCGGAGGGATCTCAATACCAGACTTCAAACTGTATTACAAAGCCACTGTTCTCAAAACAGCCTGGTACTGGCACAAGAACAGACATATAGATCAATAGAATCGAATCAAGAACCCAGATATCAACCCAAATCACTATGCTCAATTAATATTTGACAAAGGAGAGGCACGAATATACAATGGAGTCAAGACAGTCTCTTCAATAAATGGTGTTGGGAAAATTGGACAGATACATGCAAAAGAATGAAACTAGATCACCAACTTACACCATACACAAAAATAAACTCAAAATGGATACAGTACTTAAACATCAGACGGGAAACCATAAAAATACTAGAAGCATCCACAGGCAGCAAAATCTCAGACATATGCCAAAAGAATTTCTTCACTGATACTGCCCCTAGGGCAATGGAAGCTAAAGAGAAAATAAACAAATGGAACCACATCAAAATAAAAAGCTTTTTTACAGCAAAAGAAACCATCAACAAAACAATAAGAAAGCCCACGGTGTGGGAGAACATATTTGCAAATGTTACCACTGATAAAGGTTTAATCTCCAACATCTACAAACAGCTTATACAACTAAATAAAAGGAAGATGAATGATCCAATTAAAAAATGGGCAATGGACCTAAATAGAATATTTCCAAAAGAAGACAGAAGGAAGGCCAAAAGGCACATGAAAACATGCTCAAAGTCACTAATTATCCGAGAGATGCAAATCAAAACAATAATGCGGTACCATCTCACACCTGTCAGAATGGCCAACATCAACAAATCAACAAAGGACAACTGTTAGCGAGGTTGTGGAGAAAAAGGAATCCTCGTGCACTGCTAGTGGGAATGCAGACTGGTGCAACCACTGTGGAGAACAGTGTGGAGTTTCCTCAAAAAACTGAAAATGGAACTTCCATTTGACCCAGTAATCCCACTCCACGAATATATCCCAAGAAACTAGAAACACCAATCAGAAAGGATATATGCACCCCTATATTCATAGCAGCACAATCTACAATAGCAAGAATTTGGAAACAGCCTAGGTGCCCATCAGCAGATGATTGGATCCAAAAACTATGGTACATCTACACAATGGAATACTATGCTGCCATAAAAAAGAAGGAATTCTCATCATTTGCAGCAACCTGAATAGAATTAGAGAACATCATGCTGAGTGAAATAAGCCAGTCAATGAAAGAGAAATACCCCATGGCCTCACTCATTTATGGATATTAAAGAACATTATAAACTGACAAACCAAAAGTCAGATATAAAGGCAGTAAAGCAACAAGCAGACTGTAAAATTACAGCGGGGAGAGTAGGGAGATCTGGAGGAGATAAGAGATCAACCGAAGGACTTGTATACCTGCATATAAGTACAACCAATGGACACAAAACTCTGGGGAGGGAGGGTATGCATGGGGGGGGGGGGCAATGTTAAAATATGTACACAGATAATAATTTAATAAAATAAAATAAAATAAAATAAAATAAAATAAATAAATGACTAAAAGAAAAAAAAAAAGATATTACAAAGTACTCTGACAACATAGTGTGATTCTTCTTCTGTTGGTTTTGGTAATTCTGAAAACATATATCACAACAATCTTTCACCAAACCATTTTACAAAGCTTACAAACAGTTATAACGCATATTCTCAAAAAAAATTATTGGCAAAAAAATAAGAGTATTATTTTTATTCAATCACAAATTATTTTTCTCTAGTTGGACAGGCAAAGGCTGATTTAACTATGTAACAAAGTATGCATAAAAATATGAAATGACTTGAACAATACCTGAAGTAGAAGCAGCCATCTTCCTTGTCATTACCTTTTATTTTATTACAACTAAATGTTTCTGCCTAGAGAGAGAAGGGGACAGGGGAGAGAGAAATCACAAACATTTAACATAGTATACTTAGGATGAAAAGTTACTAGTATATCACCTTTACTGAATGTGAATGCAAATCACATCTGAATTTATAAATACATAGGCTGTATGTATATATCTTTACAATGTATATAAGACACAATATGAGATTAGCCACAGTGGAAAGACATTATTAAAAGGTATATAGATCTCTTTGTTGGTGATACAGTTTAAGGTAATAATACAGTTTAAGATAATAACTGCTTGATGAGACTAATGGTGTCAATTAAGGAGGTTAATTTCCTAAACAGATAATTACAATAAATCATAAATTATGAAAGGCATTGTTAAATTGCGACTTTCTGATATAGTATAAGGTATGGTAGCCAATAGCCACATCTGGTTACTGAGCCACATATGGTGGTGCAAACTAAGATGTAATATAAGCATAATATACAAACCAAATTCAAAGGCCTGATAATTTTCAATAGAGTAGGTTAAAATTACATTAACCTTAATCTTACTATTTCTTTTTACACTTTAATGTCGCTACTACTAGAAATATGAAATATGCGTGACACATTTCCATTAGACTATGTTGCTTTAAATCCCCAAACTATTCTTAACACTCTTATCCCCCTTCTCTAAAAAGTCTATCAATCATATCTCTTTACTATTTCATTTTCTATACTATCTTAGTGATATTATGCTTTTTACTTTGTACCACTATCCTTTAGACAAGATAATTTTATTGTGCAAAGTAACTGAAAATTTTATAACTATCACAATATAGGCTGCCTTTTTTCAGTAACATCAACACAGTTTTGAAATATTTTTATATATTTTTAAATCCCAAGTGATGCAGTGGTTTAATTTCTAGTTCTTCAGTATATACATATTGCATTTTTACTTGTTACATTTAATTTTAAGATAAATGTAAGAACTATTTATAACTTCTAAAATGCTTCCCATGACTCACATTTGCTGGTGGTCGGTTCCCATTGTTAGAGTGCTTCCACATTTTCATGGTAATACGTGCTGGATTAATATTTTTAATGATGCTATCATCTTCAGAAATAACAGTAATCATAAAATCTGTCATGAGGAACATTAAAAAAATTATTTTCTTTCTTGTTCAACTAATGAATTTGGCTAAATAATTGCACAGCAAATCCTCAAATAACATTTTTTGGTTCAAACGTTGTTAACTATAATAATATCATAGGAACTTAAATCTGATTTATAAAAATTAGCCTATAGTAAAATTAATTTTGTTATATGTCATTTCACTTAAAATCACAGAACCTATCAACGATGTTAAGTGAAGACTTACTGTACAGGCATACCTCAGAGATATTGTAGATTTGGTTCTAGACCACTACAATAAAACAGTTACCATTCATTTTTTTTCTTTCCCAAATGCATATAAAGTTACGTTTGCACTATACTGTAGTTTAAGTATGCAATAGCATTATGTCTAAAAAACCAATGTACATATTTGTAATTAGCCTATTGGAAAAATGCTGCTCACAGACTTGCTCAACACAGGATTGCCAAAACCTTCCATTTGTAAAAGAGCAGTATCTAAACGGCTAAATAAAACAAGGTATGCCTGAATGTCAAAGCACACAACTTGTTTAAATGTTAATAAAATTCTGATGAAGAAAATAATAGTATTTGTTTAATCAGCATTCTCCAACAATTTGTCTATAAAACTTATTAATCATGACAGACAACTCTGGTGCTAAATCTTTCCCAGATATCCATACATACATCTTTGCTATTAATATTCCCTTGTCTTATTTTCATGGTCTGCCATGCTGTAAGTTTTATCATGCAAGACCAAAAAGGTTAGACTGTGGATATTCAGCAACCAGAAATTTGGGCAGCTGGTCATAAATACATATACTTTGTGAATTCTAAGAATACAATGTTTCTTTTCTTTAAAAAAAAAAAAAAAAGGTATTTTATTGATTTTTTTTTTTTTTTTTACAGAGAGAAGGAAGAGGGAGAGCCAGAAACATCAATGAGAAAGAAACATCATTCAACTGCCTCCTGCACACCCCCTACTAGGGATGTGCACGCAACTAAGGTATATGCCCTTGACTGGATCGAACCTGGGGCCCTTGAGTACACAGGCCGACGTTCTATCCACTGAGCCAAACCGGCTAGGGCTGTTTATTTTCTTTTATGATTTTTAATAACATACAGCAGTTAAATTATTATCACACATAATATTCCCCTTATATTTATCACCTGTAACATTCATTGACAGCGGTTCCTTTTTTAATCACAGAAAATAGGTCTTATCTCCCCAAACATTTAAAACACTTTAAAGAGTATAAAGACAATGTCTATATGTAACATAAGTAGTTAAAAGAAGCAGACCAAAAAAATTAGATTAAAAAATTAACAATTTCTAACAATTATATCTATATACAGGAATTAATCCCTTCAAGAAAATAAGTCTTCAAGAAAATAACCTGTATGAAGCAAATACTATTTCCCAGTGATCGGCAAACTGCGGCTCGTGAGCCACATGCGGGTTTTTGGCCCCCCGAGTGTGGCTCTTCCACAAAATACTGTGTGTGAGCGCGCATGTACAGTGTGATTGAAACTTAGTGGCCCAAGAGCAGAAGTCGGTTTTCAGCTCTCAAAGGAAATTTCAATCATTGTACTGTTGATAGTTGGCTCTGTTGACTAATGAGTTTGCCAACCACTGCTATTTCCTATTGACTTAGCACCTGCTAGACTACACTGAAATTATTTGCTTACTTGGTTGTTTCCTACATTAGACAGAGCTCATTGAAAACTGTCATATTCATTATTGGAACTAAGAGCCCAGTATAGTGCCTGGACATAGGAGGCATTTAGTAAATGTTTGTTGTTCTGAAGTATCTTTAATCATAAATTCTGATTGATGTATTTCCTTCCAAATTAACTTAAAAATCTGGTTTATTTTGTTAATATTGCAATACATTTAGTAGAGCCCAATTAGCAGTTTATAAATATTTCTTTTGCAAACAGAATTACCCAAGGCTATCAGTTTATGAATGAACTTCCAGTTTGTTATGTACCATTAAAGGAATGCAGGATAAGAGGTGAAAGAAGACATAGCTAAGTCAAATGTACTTTCTTTGTCATTTAAAAGGCTATTACATACTTGCTTTCTTTATCATACAAAGTACCAAGAATAGATACTTTATTCCACTAATGTGAAAGGCAAGTTATCATTACAAATTTATTTTAAAACTGTGAATTACTCACCAGTGAAAATACCCCCTGCTAAAAATAAAGTATCTTTGTCATATTTAACATTGAGACGAACGGGTTTTTCAGGGTCTGGAAGAATCATTAACTTAATTATAGGTCCTTCTATGGTATTCCTGTTATGGATGGCTTTCACCTGCATAGTATGTTTTCCTCTAAAAAGGAAAAAAACAGGGAGAGGGTTTAAATTACATTAGTTATAATCTAAAAATTCTGAGAATTTATACACAGTTTAACTTATTTAGGGAACTACTCTTGCTCATTCTATCACTTAGTACTAAACAGAAGGCTAGTTTATTACTCTTTTCAATTCCTCAACAGAGGATATTTTTTTCTATGGATTTTAGAGTTTGGAAGAGAGTTGAGGGAGGGAGGGAAGTAGGGAAGGAGAGAGAAATATTGATGGGAGAGAGACACATTGATAGGTTGCCTCCCGCAGGTGCCCCAACAGAGGCCAGGATCAAACCTGCCACCCACGTATACTAGTATGTCATTGACCAGGAATGAACCTGCGACCCTGCAGTGGTTGGGCCGGCACTCTAACCATTGCTCACTGGCCAGAACAATTTATTACTCTTAACTTCAGCAAATAATAAGAAAAAACTGTCTGTATAATACTAATAACCGGTAAACTCTCAGTTCTTACCTAGGGGCATAAACACTGAACACTCCCAAATTAGCCCTGCCCCTTTCATCTGTTTTGTACTGTTGGTTTGAAGGAGTGAGCTAAAAATAAAACAAAATAAAATAATTAGAAAATTCTAAAGATCAAATTCAATTTCTCTATTAGGAATTAAAAAGTTATAGTTGCACACACTTCTAAAACCTACAACTTTCTAATTTCACAAATACTGTATATTCCAAAACTGGGATTCTAGGGAATGGCATTGGAGAAATAAACACACACACACAAATACATACACACACACACACACACACACACACACACAACTCAAGGCATCATATTATAATACATACTATGTCCATCATTACTTCATCTTTTATCTTTTTTTCTCCCTCACCCAAGGATATTCTTTTTCCCCCCATTGATTTCAGAGGGAAGAAAGAAGGGAAAGAGGAAGGGAGGGAGGGGAAGAGAGACACTGATGCAAGAAACATCAAAGGCTGTCTCCTATATTTGCCTTGACTGGAGGTGGAATCCAAACCTGGGTATGAGCCCTGACTGGGAATCAAGTGCACCATCTTTTGGTGTATAGGACAATGCTCCAAACAACTAAACTACACCAGCCAAGGCTCATTATTATCTTTATATCTATCAAATGTCCTTCTAAATCTTTGTTGCAATGCTACCTTCATACTGATAACCCAACTTCCACTTTCAAGTGATTAAGAATCAGTTGCCACATTTCCTAATCATTGATTAGAAAAGTCTGTCAGCATTTTTATCTAGTAACTAGAGTCATATTCTTATTTGGGATAGAAAATAATCAGCTTAACCCTCTTAGGAACAAACATTAAGAACAAAAATGAGCCCTCGCTGGCTTGGCTCAGTGGATAGAGTGTCAACCTGCGGACTGAAGGGCCCCAGGTTCAATTCTAGCCAAGGGCACATGCCTGGGTAGCAGGCTCGATCCCCAGTGTGGGGCGTGCAGAATGCAGCCAATCAACAATCCTCTTTCATCATTGATGTTTCTATCTCTCTCCCTCTCACTTCCTCTTTGAAATCAATAAAAAAAACTTATTTTTAAAAAGAACAAAAGTGAATTTGTAAAGTAATAGAAGAAAATCACACTCCTAAACCCTAATACTTATTTCAATGTAACTTAAATGATTATATAACTATAGCAGATGAAGAAAAAAAAACACACCAAGTGAAATGATGGAATAAATTCCTGTATTTGTCACATTTATCCTCTGATCCCTTGTCTATTTTTCTCAAAATAGGCCCTAAATCCTTATTGCTAAGCCAGAGAAGCAAATCTATTTCTGACTGTATAGCAGCAATATTATCTTTTTGACAAATTACTTTAACCCCGATTACTATGAAAATAAGTCCATGTGGATTCTCAGCACTTTAAAATCCTGTCTTTTTCTTTTTAATCCTTACCCAAGGTCATGTTTATTGATTTTAGAAAGAGGAAAGAGGGAAGAAGAGAGGGAGAAAGGGAGAGAAAGAGGGGGAGAGGGAGAGGGAGAGGGAGAGGGAGAGAGAGGGAGAGAGAGAGAGAGAGAGAGAGAGAGAGAGAGAGAGAGAGAAAGAAAGAAAGACGGATGTGAGAAACTGATCTGTTGTTTCCTATCGCCCCAACTGGGAACTGAATCCTCAACCTAGGCATGTGCCCTGACCAGGAATCAAAACGGCAACCTTTTTTGCATAGGGGATGATACCCCAACTAACTGAATCACCAGCCATGGCTCTCTTGTATGTTTTTTAAGATCAACTTACTAGATCCTGGTAAATCTCTATTGGAATTCTTATTGAACTAATAGATTAATTTCAAGAGAACTGTGTATTTACATATTATCAACTGTTTTCACTCACTAAAATTCAAGTCTGGCTGAATATTATTACTTCAGGAACTCTTTTTGTGTTGCCTGGTGTTATTTTATGGAAGTTAAGTTTATATCTTACAAGTACTGTAAGAAGGGGCAGTAAGAAAGGAATAAACTTTACCTCCATAAAATAACCTTGCTGGAGCAAATTAATTCTCTTCAACCAATAGGAGGGATTGTGTCAAAACACAACTTTGTAAGAAACTGGCAACTTCTTGCTTTTCCCCTCATGGTAGGGCCTCCAACTTTGCACCAACCATTCAAAGTCCCTAGTAGATCTTAAGAAGTTGATTATCCCAATACGTAGGTAAGAATACTTAATATCTGACTTCCTAATATCCAGTAAGCACTATGTCTGCCCCCAAATATTACAAGGCCATGAACATGTCTGCCCCACAAACTAGAACCGTGGTCGGCAAACTGCGGTTCGCGAGCCACATGCAGCTCTTTGGCCCCTTGAGTGTGGCTCTTCCACAAAATACCATGGCCTGGGCAAGTCTATTGTAAAGAAGTGGCATTAGAAGTTTAAGAAATTTGGCTCTCAAAAGAAATTTCAACCGCTGTACTGTTGATATTTGGCTCTGTTGAATAATGAGTTTGCTGACCACTGCCCTAGAACAACCCAGGGTAATTTTAACAGCTATGCCTAGTCTCTGGGAGGTACCTATTATGATTTTTTTTTGTTATCCTCAGCTTATAAGTTTCCCCAATAATACCTGTTACTGAACTCATATTGTGGGAGTATCTACCCTTCAGTCACACCTTGTCAGTGTTATCTATTAATCCTAATCCAAAATCCAAGTATTAGTATTATACAATAAATCCTCAGTCATAATTGAAGAACATTGCCCCTTCTTACAGTACTTGTAAAATATAAACTTTACTTCCATTTTTAAAAAATGTGACAACTAAAGACATTATTATAAGAATGAAATTGAGAATTTTAAGTGAAAATCATTTAAGGGCATTTAAAACTTACCTTTAAATTGTTAGCTTTTATGATATTTATTTTAACCTGTGGTACAGGTGCTGGATTATCCCACTGATCACAAAGTTGAACAATGAGAGGATGCTGTAATTCTTTTCCATTAATCACTGGAACAGACTGATACACATATAAATATTTTAAGAAGCATTAAATATGTATCAAACAATATAATTATCATTTGTATACTAATACTTACAAATGGCTTTTCATCAATTAAAATAAAAATTTATTACTAATGATCCTCATAAAAATGATTAATAATTCAATAAAAAGTCAGGGTGCATGCAGGAGGCAACCAATCAATGTGTCTCTCACATATTGATGTTTCTCTCTCTCTCTCTCTGCCTCCTCCCTCCCCTCCACTTCTCTCTAAAAAAGAAAAAAAAATCAATGGAAAAAATTCTCAGGTTTTATTTAAAAAAGGGCAATCTCAAACTAGGGCAAAGGTATGTAAACTCTTCTTAAATGATCTGCTTTTTTAAGAAGTAAATTTATTTCATCTACTACCATGGTCATATAAGTTCATTTTCCTTTAGAAAAAAATGTAAGCTATCATACCAAAAGGTGCCTTGCTATACCATAAGTAAATGCCAGAATCTAAATATTTCAATATTACAATTTTCAAAATTTAGTAAAAGCTCAAAAGTAACAGATTTGACAGGTATTTGCAGAATTAGATTTTAAGATTTAAGTACTTGCATAGGAAGACATACTAAAGTTTTTATGGTTATAATGACTTGATATCTGATAAGTGTTTTAAAACTCCAACAAAAACATTTTTTAAGTCAGTGAGAGAGAATGAAACAAAATTGGCAAAAACCATTAAGAGTTTTATTATACTATTTTCATTTTTATGCATGTTTGAAAATATATTTAGGATTTGAATAATTATACTATTTTTTAACAAACAAGGACACAGTAATGAATTAAATAATGAAGTATAAAGGATCATATTTCTTTGCCCTTTTGCTATTACTGTTCCTATTGTTATCTGTTGTTACTTTAATAACAAAATATAAATATTTTGACCTACTGACAAACTGAAAGAAGCCATGTGATATATTAAATTCTTTGAATCAAGGAAGGAAGTTACTTACCTCCTTTAATTCTGGCCAATCTATAAGGAGAAGTTTAGCTGGTGGTCCAGAAATTAGCTGTACTCGAATAAAGTCAGAAAATTCACGCCAAGTAAAACAAAGTTCCTTATTTCCAGGAGGACCTGGGATAAATTTGATGCCTCTTACACTTATACTCTGTGTATTTTCCTAGTGAGGAAAAAAAGTACATTGAGAAGATAGAACGATGTGCTTCTGGGTAAAACAATTGCAAATAACTTGCACACATGTCAACATTGGCATACCATGAATTTCATTTCCTTCAGAAGAGAAACTGAATTTCTTTTTTTGTGAAGGAGAGATTTAAAAAGTCTGGCTATGTACTTTTATCTTACTTTGTCTAAATCCTATCTTATTTATACTTACATGGGTCTCCTTTCTGTTCCCACATAGCCAAGCAGGTGTCTGCCCAATACCCTTTGCACTTGCTCTTTTCCTCTGTAACATTCTTTACCAGATATCGACATGGCTTTTTTTTTTTTTTTTGCATATAGGATATCTTATGCAGAGAGGTATTCCCAGACGGATCTATGTAATGTCACACTTTTTCTTACCATGATTTATTTTTCTTCTTAGTCATATTTTACCTATTGCATGCTCTCCAAGAAGGATCATATTGCATGATCTCTAAGAAGGTAGGAGTTTTGATTTGTCACTGATTAATCCCTGCTACTTAGAATACCTAACACATCATATTAATGGAAACTAATGAAACTAGCTTGTAATTTTTACAATGTGATTGAATGACATAAACCAGTTTTATACTGGCAGGAGTACTGTAATATTTTAATTTTAATACTGACTCTTAATAAATTCATCATCTTAAATGTCCAATGAGTACAAATTCATATTTTTAAAATTAAACTTAAAATTTTATGCTTTTTTTCGCAAACAATTGTTTGTAGAATATCTTCTATAAAAAGACATTGTAAAATAATCCACATTTATCTCCCCAAAACCCCAATGAGCACACAGCCAGTGGGAATTTTTTAATATTTTAAAAACAAAATGAATATTCATTAATAAAACATATTGAAAGTTAAAAATATGTGAAGTATAAACTAGAATTTCACATTTAATATGTTTTCATTGATTTCAGAGATAGGAAGAAAGGAGAGAAAAAAACATTATTGATGTTAGAGAAGCATTGATTGGCTGCCCCTTAAAGATCTCCCTATTGGGAATCGAGCCTACAATCTGGGCATATAATCTGATGGGGAAATGAATGGTGACCTCCTGGTTCATAGGTCGATGCTCAAAACTAAGCCACACCAGCGGGGCCAGAATGTCACATTTAATAGTGAAACACCAAAAGCCCTTTTGAAGAAGTGATTTATTTTTTATGTCACGTTGGAAGTTATTCTGGTTTTACTTCAAATCTTGAAAATGTAATCTGTTTATGCCTTTGCAAAATGCAGATAAGTACAAATAGAATTCAAATAAAATTCTTAAAGGCACTCTGTTAAGGTCTAATGTTGAATTTATCAGAGGAATGTACTTCAGAAGAGCAGGACATTTCATGTAGATGCAGAAATGGAATGATTTTAAGAAACAACGATATATTAAAACTACTTTTTATTTAAAAACCACAAAAAGCTCTTTTATCTCTGCAGAGACTGCGGGTAGATTCCTGTTGTTTGAAAGTGAGTCAAGATAGTACATATCAGTTATAAAATGACAATTTGAAAAAATAAAGTCTACTTGGCTGGCAAACATTAAGCTATGAAAGAAGGTGGGAGATTATGCTGTGAAGGAATACTACTAGGTTTTTTAGGCTATATATAGGTGAGGGAGTCTAAATTTAAAGTGTAAAATACTGATAGGTCTGAAAGATGGAATGAGAACTAAAAACTGACAATGAATTTGGTCAGATAAAATAGGACAGAAAAACATGTTGAAGGGGGTCCTTTATTTCCACAGCAATCAGACAAGAAGAAGAAATAAAGGACATCCAAATTGGAAAAGAATAAGTAAAATTGTCATTATTTGCAGATGACATGATACTGTACACAGAAAACCCTACTAAAGACTCCATCAAAAAATTATTAGACTTAATAAATGAATTTGGCAATGTAGTAGAAGACAAAATTAACACCAAGAAATCTATGGCATTTCTATACACCAACAGTGAACTTGAAAGAGAGACTGAGAAAAATATCCCATTTATCACTGCACCAAAAAAATTAAGATACCTAGAAATAAACTTAAATAAGGAGGTAAAAGACCTATATGCAAAAAACTACAGGACACTGAAAAAAGAGATAGAGGAAGACAAACAGATGGAAGAGTACACCACATTCATAGACTGGGAGAATCAACACCATTAAAATGTCCACACTACCCAAAACAATCTATAGATTCAATGCACTCCTCATTAAAATACCAACAGTATATTTCACAGACCTAGAACAAACTCTCGAAAAATTAATCTGGAATAAAAAAAGACCATAAATAGCTGCAGCAATCCTAAAACGTAGGAGGGGTCTCAATACCAGATATCAAGCTGTATTACAAAGCCACTGTTCTCAAAACTGCCTGGTACTGACATAAGAACGGACATAAAGACCAATGGAATAGAACAGAAAACCCAGAAAATGACCCAAAACACTATGCTCAATTAATATTTGACAAAAGAGGCAAGAGCATACAATGGAGTCAAGACATTCTCTTCAGTAAATGGTATTGGGAAAATTGTACAGATATATGCAAAAAAATGAAAGTAGACCACCAACTTACACCATACACAAAAATAAATTCAAAATGGATAAAGGACTTAAACATAAGATAGGAAAAAAAAATATATATATATATCTTTATATATATATATATATATATATATATATATATATATATTTAGATATTTAGATATTTTTGTTGTTGTTGTTAAGAGGAATCTACAGGCAGCAAAATCTCAGACATATGACAAAGCAATATATTCATTGATACAGCTCCTAAGGCAATAAAAACTAAAAAGAAAATAAACAAATGGGACTACATCAAAATAAAAAGCTGCACAGCAAAGGAAATCATCAACAAAAGAAGAAGAAAACACACTGCATGGGAGAACATATTTGCCAATGTTATCACCTATAAGGGTTTAATCTCCAACATTTACGGGGAACTCATACAACTTAACAAAAGGAAGATAAACAACCCAAACAAAAAATGGGCAATGGACCTAAATAGATACTTTTCAAAAGAGGACAGAAGGAAGGCCAAGAGACATGGAAACATGCTCCGAGTCACTAATTATATGAGAGATGCAAGTCAAAACAACGAGATACCATCTCTCACCTATTATAATGGCTATCATCACAAATTAACAAATGACAAATGCTGGCGAGGTTGTGGAGAAAAAGGAACCCTCGTGCACTGCTGGCAGGAATACAGCCTGGTGCAGCCACTGTGGAGAACAGTATGGAGTTTCCTCAAAAAACTAAAAATGGAACTCGCATTTGACCCAGTGATCCCACTTCTAGGAATATAGTCCAAGAAACTAGAAACACAAATCAGAAAGGATATATGCACCCCTATGTTAATAGCTGCCCAATTTACAATAGCAAAGCTTTGGAAATAGCCTAAGTGCTCATCAGCAGATGAGTGGATTAAAAAACTGTGGTAGATCTACACAATGGAATACTATGCTGCTGTAAAAAAGAAGGAACTCCCACCATTTGCGACAGCATGGATGGAGCTGGAGAGCATTATGCTAAGTGGAATAAGTCAGTCAGAGAAAGATAAATGTCACTCATTTGTGGATTATAATGAACAACATAAACTGATGAATAAAAACAGATCTAGAGACAGAGAAGCATTGATCAGATGCTCAAAACTCAGAGGGAAAGTAGGGCAGGGTGGGAGTAAGGGGGCGAGATCAAGCAAGAGGCTTGTACGAATGCATACAAACATAGCCAATGGACAGAGACAATTGGGGAGTGAGGGCATGTATGGGAGTGGATTGGGGGGTTATTGGAGGAATATGGATATATATGTAATATAATACCTTAATCAATAAAAAATATTGGGGAAAAATAAAGAAATTGCTTCAAAATGATATCAAAAGGAGGGAAGTAATGACTTGAAGCTGAGTGATGGGAGCATGGGATTTATTTATACTATTTAATCTATATTTTGCATATGTTCAAAAATTTTAATTACAAAAAAGTTTTTGTAATTCCTTTTGTGACTTTTTTGCTATAAACACTAAAATCAAATTTCTTTTCGTTATTTTAGTTTCCCCCCAATTCTGACATATGTAAACCAATGGCATTAGCCAACTGTAGTGAAAAGCAGCCATACCTGAAAGGTAGTTTTCAACTGTGAGCTATCAAGTCCAGTACCAGCAATTCCCAAGGCAGATAAAGAACTTGGTGAAAATGCTTGAATCAGATTTCCATACTGATCTGTAACTATTACAACTAAAACAAAAGTTTGATTTTAAAGAGTTATCCTTTAATAAAAGATACAAATATCTATAAAATAATACTTATATACTTCAATAAAATTATGCCTAAAAACTCACTCTTTGTACTTGTTTTTTTATAAAACTAGTGGCCTGGTGCATGAAATTCATGCATGGTGTGTGTATGTGTGTGTCCCTCAACCTGGCCTGCACCCTCTCCAATCTAGGACCCCTTAGGGGGATGTCTTACTGCCCGTTTAGGCCCGATGATCAGGCCTAAACTGGAGTCAGAATCCCTCTTGCAACCCGAGAGTGCTGGCTCCTAACTCCTCGCCTGCCTGCCTGCCTGATTGACCCTAACCACTTTGCCTGCTGGCCTGCTTGCCCCCAACTTCCCCCCAACAGCCTTATTGTCCCCAACTGCCCCCATGCTGACCTTCTTACCCCCAACTGTCTCCTCTCGATGGCCAGAACACTCCCAACTGCCCTCCCCCCTTCCCCCGCCAGCCTGCTTGCCCCCAACTTCCACCCCCGCTGGCCTGCTGGATCCAACTTGCCCCCCTGCCGACCTTATCACTGCCAACTGCCCACGTCCTTGCCGGTCTGCTCACCCCCAATTGACCTCCCCGCCGGCCTGATCACCCCCAAATGGCCTGATCACCCCTAACTACCTCTGCCTTGGCCTCGCCACCATGGCTTTGTTCAGAAGACGTCCAGAAGATGTCCAGTCCATCCAGTTTAATTAGCATATTACCCTTTTATTAATATAGTTATACTCACTTACTTTATAATCAATCACAAACAAAAACATTAAGAATATACATATATACATTTGTATTTATATATTTAAGAAAATGCTGATGCTAACCAGATTCTTACCATGAAAATTTAAAGAAAATAATTTAGTATTACATATCTAGATCAGCAATTTTCAACCAGTGTGCCCTGACACCCTGGTGTACCACAAGAATATGTAAAACTTGTAATACCTGACTAGTCAGGGGCACTGACCTCTTTTCCGTTAATTAGCAAATTAAAAAGTGATACTGGCTAACATAACAAAAGCCATGTAGTGTGAATGTCCTATCTTAAACCATAAATATATAGATCATATAATAGAGTTGCTTATTAATCAAATTGCATAATAAGGTTGTATCTGATTAATTCTTCATACTAGACATACAAGTGTAGGCACCTGATTTTTTAAAAAGTCACTTTGGAGCAAAAAGAGGAAGTAATTACCATTAGTTTATGTGTAAAAGAAGAAGAAAAAGGTTGAAAATCACACCTAGATATATGAAAAGTATTGGATACATATGTATTCACTGATATGAGACAACATTTTTTCCAACAAACCTTTTACCAAATTAACGTCATAGTATGTCAACCTGGGCAAAAATAGTGAAAACACTTCAATCTTTTCTGACAATGGATTTTTAAGCCAATAATTATATATAAACCCAAAGCTTTCCTTTCAGATTATATATGTCAAAACATGAACATAAATACGTATTATATACTTTTTTGTGTGTGTGTGTTTTTAAGCTGGACATACTAACCTATTTCCCCTTGAAGCTCTTGGCCCATCTGTACTGTTTTTGCTCCTTTCAACTCACACTTTAGATATTTAGGTTCATCAGGTAGGGGTCTGAAATTGGTTAACAAGTTAAAAGGTTTTAGTCACACCATTCATTGTACAAAAAATTTAAAGTAGTTACAATATGCTAAAGATATATGTATCACTCACCTTCTAAAACTCAAATGCAGTAATTCCCCTCCAAATAACCCAAGAGTAAATAAAGATAGCTTGCAAAGAGACTACAGAATCTGACAGAAAAAATTATTTAAATGTTAAACCATAATAGCTATGCTGTATTATAATAAAAATAAATTATACGAGAGCACTGAGAAAGAAAAGGTTAAGAATAACCATTAAGAGATCTGGCTATCGTTGGAAAGCAGTACATCTGAAAATTTTCTGGAGCTTCATTTGAAGTGTTGGAAATAGTATGAAAATGGGTAGAGGAATTGAAATGAAGGAGGTTGCCAGAAAAGAGATGGCCAAGGAAGTGACAGGTGAATGTGAAAAAATTTTAATATATTTACCTGCCTTCCCCTTTTCTATAAGTTCTATATATTGGGTCTGGCTGGAGTTAGCTTTGAAACTCATAAATAACCAAGAAATATTTCCTTCTGAACAATACATTGACTAATTAGATTGTATATTTCGTATTTTTCGTGTCTTTCCTGTTGCTTGCATTAGGAAGACTTTCCTTTACTAAAGGTTCTGGTTCTTACAGATACTAGAGGGCCAAGTAATTAAGCCCAGAGCTATCCTGATATTAAAAACTAATCACTATCTCTAGTAAGATTCTATTCCAAAGATAATCTACCATATTTCACAGAAATTGTGGGATTTCCTACATTAAAAAAACTTTTACATGAGTGCTTTTGAGAAAAGTATTTTTGTTGCCATATGCTGAATTTTGAAATGCCTCCACGTGTAATATGTCCACAAACCTTACTGTAAATGCACTTTCCAAAGACACATGATCATCTTGAAATGAAACCTGGCAATAGCGCATATCTTTTACAGATGTTGGTACTTGTACATCAGGAAGCAGACCTTGCAGCAAGTGTTCTTTGTTAATCTCAGGAGTCCAGTTAACCTAAGAGAAAAATTACATAGTTAACAATAATAAAAAGTGTAGTCTAATATTCTCCTATTGTCAACTAACTGTTTTACTAAGTGAAGGCTTTTTTTTTTTTTTTTTTAATATATTTTATTGATTTTTTACAGAGAGGAAGAGAGAGGAATAGAGAGTTAGAAACATCGATGAGAGAGACATCGATCAGCTGCCTCTTGCACATCCCCTACTGGGGATGGGCCCGCAACCAAGGTACGTGCCCTTGACCGGAATTGAACCGGGGACCCTTCAGTCGGCAGACCGACGCTCTACCACTGAGCCAAACCGGTTTTAGTATAAGTGAAGACTTTTAAAGTTAAATTATAACCCAGGCTTTCTCCCTCTGAGGAAAAAGAAGTCCCCCTTATAACCAGAATGATGGTATATTATCATGATAAAAAAGTATCTTCTATGTTGTTTCTGCTGTTAATGTTGCCATATCTTTTAATGCAAAAAAATAAAGATTCTTAGGTTATTTCTTTAGAGTTTTGCTACAAAATTCTCACTGTGATAATTATGGTTTAAAAATAATATTCAGATCAAATGACATGATCAATTCTTAAGAGGTAATTTTTACTTTTTGAAAAGAATCTTATTAATAAAGACTTTGAAGAGATTTTGAATGGACCTTTGTTCAGCAAACACAGAAATTATGCCCACCGATGGTAATTACCTCTGGCCACCTTTTGGCTTTAATACATACTTTTGCTAAATCTTTGTTATTTTTTTAAAATATATTTTATTGATTTTTTACAGAGAGGAAGAGAGAGGGATAGAGTGTTAGAAATAGAAACATCAATGAGAGAGAAACATCGATCAGCTGCCTCTTGCACACTCCCTACTGGGGATGTGCCAGCAACCAAGGTACATGCCCTTGATCGGAATCGAACTCGGGACCTTTCAGTCTGCAGGCTGATGCTCTATCCATTGAGCCAAACTGGTTTTGGCTAAATCTTTGTCATTAAAAAAAAAATAAAAAAATAAAAAAAAAAAAAATATATATATATATATATATATATATATTTGTTGATTTCAGAGAGTAAGGGAGAGGGAGAGATAAAAACATCAATGATGAGAAAGAATCATTGATAGGCTGCCTCCTGCATGCCCCCTATTGAGTATGGAACCCACAACCAAGAAATATGCCCTTGACCAGAATCGAACCCATGACCCTTCAGTACAAAGGCTGACACTCTATTCACTGAGCCAAGCCAGCTAGAGCTAAATCTTTATTGTTGAAAGTATTACATATGTCCCCTTATTATCCTCATTGACCTCTTCTAGCTTTAATTCATTCTTGAATGCTTTTAGCTCTAATTTAATTTTGCACCTCTTGCATCCCATGTTTTAATTTGTTGCTAGATCCATATTTTAAACTTGATTATCCCACTCTATCCTATTTTTAAACTTCTAATCCTTTCTATATTCTAATATTTTCATCCCAGTTTATGATGCTCTAATTGGCTTAATTACCTTTTAATCTTTTAAAACCATGTTTCATTCTCATTTAGTCTTTATTATACATTTTTTTTAAAAATAATGGAAGCAAGTAGGAGTTACACAAAAAGCTGTGTTATCCCTTCAATGAATTCCTAGTTTAGGTTGACTTTCCTCAGTATTGGAGAATTCTATAAAGACCATATTTTTAAATATATTTTATTGATTTATTATTATTTTTTTTTATAAAGAGGAGGAGAGAGGGATAGAGAGTTAGAAACGTCGATGAGAGAGAAACATCGACCAGCTGCCTCTTGCACACCCCCTACCGGGGATGTGCCCGCAACCAATGTACATGACCTTGACCAGAATTGAACCCGGGACCTTTTAGTCCGCAGACCGACGCTCTACCACTGAGCCAAACCGGTTTTGGCAACACAAAAAATATTTTAAAGATTATACATTTGATTTATTAAAACAACAGTATTTAATATCTTGTATTATCAATGAAGAGATGTTTTAAATCTCTGGAACCCAAGAAATATAAAACTACTAGATTTGAGGCAAAAATGTATCAAATGTAGGCCACAAGCTCTGAAAATGGATAAAAAGGTACATAGAGGAAGAGGCTCTCCATCAATTCTTCTTCACTTCAATATGAAAAAGAATGTGGAACCAGTTTAGAAGTCAGGTTCTTTGGCACCACTTTTAAACCACTCATCCAACTCTGCTAATATAAGTAAAAATGACTTGTGCCTCCCTTTCAGGATTACTTTTCTTCTCTTATTAATGAGGGAAAATATAAACTGGCTGGAACAGAGGTTATTCCAAATAAAAATTTTAAAATACGGTCAGTTGAACCCCTAGTTAAACAGGTCTTTTAAAATATCAGTTATTATTTTTGGAAACTCAAGATGACTATAGGATATCCTATATAATATAGAGGTAATATGCAAATTGACCCTCACACCCTCACACAAAATGGCCGTCCCCATGAGTTTAAAGATGGCCACCACAAGATGGTGGGTAGGGAAGGGGAGTTGTGGGTGATCCGGCCAGCAGGGGAGGGCTGTTAGGGGTGACCAGATTGGCAGGAGAGGGCAATTGTGGCGACCAGGCCAGCAGGGGAGGGAAACCATAAAAATTCTAGAGGAATCCACAGGCAGCAAGATCTCAAACAAATGGCGTAGCAATATCTTCACTGATACTGCTCCTAGGGCACTAGAATCTAAAGAGAAAATAAACAAATGGGACTACATCAAAATAAAAAGCTTCTGCACAGCAAAGGAAATCATCAACAAAACAAGAAAAAAACACACTGCATGGGAGAACATATTTGCCAATGTTATCACCGATAAGGGTTTAATCTCCAACATTTACAGGGAACTCATACAACTTAACAAAAGGAAGATAAACAACCCAAACAAAAAATGGGAATGGATCTAAATAGATACTTTTCCAAAGAAGACAGAAGGAAGGCCACTTGATATATGAAAACATGCTCAAAGTCATTAATTATATGAGAGATGCAAACCTTGAGATACCATCGCACACCTGTCAGAATGGTTATCATCAACAAATGACAAATGCTGGCGAGGTTGTGGAGAAAAAGGAACTCTCATCCACTGCTGGTGGGAATGCAGCCTGGTGCAGCCACTGTGGAGAACAGTATGCAGTTTCCTCAAAAAACGAAAAATGGAACTTCCATTTGACCATATGATCCCACTGCTAGGAATATATCCCGAGAAACTAGGAACACCAATCAGAAAGGATATATGCATTCCTATGTTTACTGCATCACAATTCACCATAACTAAGATTTGGAAACAGCCTAAGTGCCCATCAACAGATGAATGAATTAAAAATTGTGGTACATCTACACAATGCAATACTACACTGCGGTAAAAAAAAGAAGGAATTCTTACCATTTGCAATAGCATGGATGGAACTGGAGAGCATTATGCTAAGTGAGATAAGCCAGTCAGAGAAATACAAATACCACATGATCTCAGTCATTTGTGGATTATAATAAACAACATAAACTGAAGAACAAAAACAGATCCAAAGACAGAGAAGCAGCAATCAGACTGTCAAACCTCAGAGAGAAGGAAGGGGAGGGTGACAGTAAGGGGGAGAGATCAACCAAAGGACTTATATGCATGCATAAGCACAACCAATGGACACAGACAACCGGGGTTGAGGGCATGAGTGGGGTTAATAGGGGGATATGGACACATATGTAATACTTTAATCAATAAAGAAATTAAAGATTGAAAAAAGAAAAAGCAATATTAGAATTATAGGTATTCCGGAGGAGAAGTAGAAGCATGGAACAGAGAGTCTATTCAAACAAATAGTGGATGAGAACTTCCCAACCCTATAGAAAGAACTAGATCCTCGAATTCAAGAAGCAAAGAGAACACCTAGTTATCTCAATCCAAATAGGCCCTCTCTAAGGCATCTGGTATTAAGGCTGTCTAAAATTAATAACAAAAATCCTCGAAGCAGGCCAGGAAAAGAAGGAAGTGACCTACAAACAAAGGAAGTGACCTATCAGAATTTCATCCAACTTCTCAGCAGAAACTATACAAATCAGAAGAGAGTGGAACCTAATATTCAAATATCTGAAAGAGACAAATTACCAGAATTACCAGCCAAAAACAATATATCCAATTAAACTTTAAATATGAAGAAGAAATAAAGACGTTCCCAGACATACAGAAGCTAAGGGATTTTATCACCAGAAAACCTCGATTACAGGAAATACTTAAGGGAGTTATTGTACCTGAAACAAAGAACATAAGGTCACAACACTACAAGTAAGATCATCAAAAACCTTACAGCTAAAACAGAATAATTTGTGATAACAAAAACATAAAAGGAAAAACACTATGGCACATATGCAACTTAAGTTTTTCGCAAACCTAATAGTAACCACACACAAAGATCTCCAAACCAGGATATACATAATAGGTCCTCAGGTTACATCTGAGATCCATTCCTATAGCGCAGCATAATCTGATTTTCACCATAAATCAGAACCTACCTACATAAACACCTAAGTCACTCACAGACTTAGCAGACTGAATAAAAAAATAAAACCCAATCATAAGCTGCCTGTAAGCTGCAAAGACAAAAGTAAAAAGTAAAAAGTTGATTCTCTAAGCATAACTTCTTATTCAGAGTCTTCCAAACATAAAGTTAAAAAAAAAATTTCTTAAAAATAACCAATCTGTTGCACAGCCAGTGTAACTCAGTGGTTGAGTGTTGACCTATGAACCAGGAGGTCATGGTATGATTCCCGGTCAGGGCACATGTCTTGGTTGTGGGCACCATTCCCAGTTAGGGGCATGTAGGAGGCAGCCAATCAATGATTCTCTTTCATCATTTCTCTCTGTCTCTCTGTGTTTCTATCTTGCTTGCTCTCCATTCCTCTCTGAATTCAAAAAAAATATATTTTTAAAAATAAACAATCTGTTTTAGATACTTACTTTAATTTTAAAAATAAACAATCTGTTTTAGATACTTACTTTAATTTTCTCTGCTAAAGTTGGTGTTACATGGATTTCTCTTTCTCCTTCATCATACATTTGAAAGATAAGATTACGCATAACATCGCCTGCTATCCAAGTAACCTCATCTTGGTGTTTGATCTGGATTGCCTTTTGTCCTTCCACACTGAATATCTGTAATTTTGCAACATGGCTACTGGGAAGCAACTTAATCGTTTTCTCCACAGGTGCCACATCTTTACAACTCTAGAAAGAGAAAAAAACCAACATATATTGACTGACATCTGTACTTTTTGAAAACAGTTTTTGGCTTTAACAGTGAAGGTTTTATTACAACTGCTTAAAAATTTATTCCAATAATATGAAAGATCATCTTATATACTATTAACATTCACAGGATTTGTAACTAAGAGTTATTGTACTATCAATAATTCCATATTTTATACCACTAAGTTATAAATAAAGATAATGGCCACTTTCTTAAAACCAAAACACTAGCGTATTTGGACTTAAAAGGATTTCCTTCTGTTTATTTGTAAATTTACTTAAAAGTGCCACAAACTTGTAAAATTGTAATCACATAACTGGGATTTGGTGACTAACATTCATTAATAAGGTTAAAAATGTAAAATATTAAAAGCTTTCAATAAAATCAGGGACAACTAATTGCCATCAAGTACATTATTTAATGATATTATGTTACATTAGTGCTTTTCCAATTCATTATTAAATGGGAAGTGGACAAGTTTGCTTATAGCTAGATAAGGACTTTAAACGTCTTAAAGACTAAGCTGGCATACTTATAATTTATTATAGTTATTATTTCAGTGTTCCATAGATCAATAAAAATGAGCTGGATTAAACTTTATAAATTAATTTTAGGCACAAAAAATTTTACATCATTATTTCATAACCAGGTATAATGCATTTCACAAAATTCAAAATAAGCCTAAGCCTAAAATACCTTTACAATCTTCCTTAGCTCATGCCTCTTTCCTTATCTGCTACAGTCATTCCTACCAAAGCCCATCCACATGATATTCAAAATTCCAACTTCACAGAATATCAGATAAATAACCCATCCCCATCGTCCATCCTATGCATATATTATTTGCTTGACTCAAATTCAAAACTAAAGAGTCACAACCTTTAGATAACATTTTCTAACTGCATATTACGTGCTATACTTTGGTCTTTGCCTTAACTGATCTGGATTCTTGGGTCCTATGCCTGTTGCTGCCCTGTATTTGCATAATCCCTAATAATTTACTATTCTTGCTTCTAAACCCAAATCCTTCCTAAATCCAAATCTTTTCTCCTTAATCTTCCTGATAGTATACTTAAAATAAGTTGACCATATTATAGAAAAAAGAAAATACATAACAAATATTTGAAAATTATCAAATACAACCAGTCTGAAAATAAAATATTTAAAGTCATCTCATTCTAATAAAAAATAAATAAAAGCTGTCTTTTACCCTTTTGAGGTTTAAATGTTATATGATGTATAATTTTTAGGAAAACATCAATCAACTGGAATTAGGATATTCATCATCTACTGCACCATATATAAAGAAATCACGTTAATTATTTGTTATCCATTCAACAATCTTAGGGAATCAATTGCTTATATCAAGCTGGCTTCACCTTCAGCCATGATGTATATCCAATAAAAAAAAAGTATCCTATGGTTCCCTGAGTGGCAAGGCTCAGTGGTTGAGCATTGACCTATAAACCTGGAGGTCACAGTTCAATTCCTGGTCAGGGAACATGCCTGGCCTGAAGGCTCAATCCCCAGTGTGGGGCATGCCAGAGGCAACTGATCAATGACTCTCTTTAATCATAGATATTTCTATTTCTCTCTCCCTCTCCCTTCTTCTCTGAAATCAAATAAAAAATATTTTTAAAAAATGTATCCTATAGTCATATTAACATAAAAATGTCTTTCTATGAAAATACTAATTAAAACCATTATTTTTAAAATTACACATACAAATTAAATGCCTATAGTCCATCAGTGATAGTTTAAATGGAAATATTTACCAAACTTTCTAAGAAACAAGTGTAAACTATAAAAAATAATACTGACACATAAATGTCAAATCTTTACATAAGAGAAAATTTATTTTAGGAATATGTAAATCAATAATGCTATAGAAATTGTAAAAGGTTTGGTAAAAAAATACTAATATTTTATATAAAACATTATTCATTATACCACTTCATGCTTCCTTATTTCCCTTTGGCTAAAAGAACTGCACAAATACCTCATTTAAAAAAGTCAAACAACTTTACAGAATTTATTACAAATCTCCTAAAGATTATTTGTATGAAGACTCAATATAACACCACTGAATAACAATAACAACTTACAGGTATTTCAATTTTAGCTTTAAGCGTCTGGTCTTTTTTAATATTCTGAACTTGAATTGCAGGTCCTGATAAAATACTGGTTCCAGAACTACTGCAATCCACAGTGTAGAGTGGAAGGTTAGGAGCACCTAAAAACTAGAAGCACAAAAAACCATTGAAAACCTCAATAACTTATTAAATAATTGTTTAAATTTTCAAGTACTTCACTAGTGCTACTATTTCTGGCTATAAATTAGAAAATTCTAAGTGGAATCATAATGTTCTAGGGAATTTATGATTGAAGAGAGTTAATTTTTTATATTTCTAGGTAAAATTTATCTGTTTTGGAAGAAAATCTGACTTCCTCAACTAATATTCTTCCTTTTTTTACTTTACAAACTACTTGGGTTTTCCTTTCCTTTTAGTCATCTTCATTGATCCATCCATCCATCCATCCATCCATCCCCAATCCTGAAGGATTTCTATTCATAAATTAAATACTTCATCTGAAATGAAGTGAATTAACCATGGAAGAAGAGAAGGGGAACCTTTAGTTCATAAATTTCTTTATGAAACTCGGTGTAGCTGATATCTTTATTGACTTAGGGATCCTGAAAACTATTGGTAATGCTATATCCCACAAATTTCTCCATGGAAAAATCGTTCAAGACCTATATACTATACAAGACTTACTAAAAAGCAGCTAAAAATAGTTATTTCCATTTACTACAATGGGATTCAAAATAAAATCTACATATTCTTTATCTTACAATAGCTTACCTTACAATGAACAACCAATTTTGATTGTGTTGTTATATTGTCTGATTCATCCAAAACTTCTACCTGAAATGGGAAAGCCGTTCCATTTTCTATAACTAAAAATTCAGAATCAGGTTTCACTTTCAATTGATGAGGGGGACCTACAAGGAAATTATACAATGAAATATAGATTCAAGTTTCTAAGACTGAAATATAAAAATATCATAAGGAATAATTTTTAATATTTCAAGTTTTAATAATTTATAAATAATGCTGAGAAAGGAAAAACTAAGCCATATCCATGTTTCATCATTTTTATTCCCAAAATACATAAATTCTATATCTGAGCAGGGTTGTCTCAATTGTATAAAAATGCCTGATGTCTAGACTTAGTTTTATGCAACAAATTGTGACACAGTGATAACTCATGCTAGAAATCACCTAAATACATACATTTTTAAAAATGATCCTGGGGGAAAAAAGTAGTCAAGAAGAAAAGCAAAGTTTATTATACTTTTACTAACTTCAACTTTACACAATGACTGATTTCTCAGGCACATGTAACTACATGTCTGTTTAAAGGATAATGTTCAAACGATCAGTTCATATAGTGATATGACCAGATAATTTGTCAGTCTGCCTACTACTTTGCTGTCATAAGCAAATTACAACACAAGCTTCCTCTAAGATTAATAAGAGGGCTTACACTTCTGTAGCAAGATGACTTGATGTGTTCTATAAACATTGGTATTTTCAAAATTCAATTTATGCTAAATACTGGTAACAAAGTTTATGAAGAATAGTTACAAGTAAAACTTATTTTAGTTTATGATATTAGCTAATATTTTTTTACTCTATGCCAGGCAACATGTTAGTTTTAATTAAGTACTATCTATACTAATAAAAGCATAATATGCTAATTAGACCAAACATCCTTCCAGAGGAAGCCAGGGCTGTGAGGAAAGTCCAGGTCCCAGGTGCCAGAGGGAAGCCGTGCCAGCAACCAAGGGAAGGAAGCCCTACTCTTGCATGAATTTTGTATATCAGGCCTCTAGTTCTCTATAATCTTCATAATGATCTTAATAAACAAGGCAATATTATTGTCTCCATTTTATAGACAAGGTACTGAGATCCAGAGAGATTAAGTATCTTGTTCAGGACAAGTCGCTAGAGAGTAGCAGATTCAGATTTAAGTTCTGGTTTATAATATGAAACCTGATGACCACTATCACTATACTGTGCTAATTCCTACTTTACCACTTTCACTCTTGAATTCCAAAAAATGTCAGAACCAACTGATTACTAAGAATCTCTCTACTCCAATCCATACTTTTTTTTTAATGCAATTTAAAAAAATTATTTTTATTTTTTAATATATTTTATTGATTTTATACAGAGAGGAAAGGAGATAGTTGGAAACATCGATGAGAGTCATCGATCAGCTTCTTCTTGCACACCCCCTACTGGGGATGTGCCCTTGACCAGAATCGAACCTGGGACCTTTCAGTCCCCAAGCTGACGCTCTATCCATTGAGCCAAACCGGTTTCAGCTCTAATCCATACTTTTAGCTAACCTCTAAAATGAAAGAATTAAGTGTTTATTAATATGTAATACTTTTTATTATAGTTTTATTAAGGTGCCAATTTTTATCAATTCATGATTGCAAGAAATCTCAAACTACTGGAATTTATAAAAGATAATAAAATAGCCAATGTTTCTTTTCACTCAAAACCAGTACAAAAGGTCATATATAGATAAAGATATAATCATGGTATTGTTAATTTCAGAGCTAAAACTTGCCATCTGTTCTAGGCATTTTACAAATACATGCAGTTCTCACTTAAGAGCAATACTGTGTTAATGAGAACGTATGCATATTGAAACTTTGTCCTCTATTCAGTAACCATGGAACTGCAGACCAAGAGTTGCCCACATTAACTCAATTAATCCTTACAACTCTGAAAATTGTAAATATTCTCATTTTACACATAAACTGTTTACTTAGCACATTAAGAGTCAGTTTAGATTCAAACCTAGAAGAGTTGAGTCCAGAATATACTCTGTGAATTTCTAAAATACTCTTCCTCAAATTAGGCAGCATTTTCTACCCTGTAAAACTTTAATGTAACTTCATTTTCAAATTAACAACTTAAATACATGAGAGAATTTTTTTTTTCTTAAACGAAGTAATCACTGTTGTATCAGAAAAGGTAAAAGACTGATCCAGTTGTAATATAAGCCTAGTAAGTACAAATCTAAAAATAGTTCCCAAATACATTTTCAATATTCAAATTTTCCTCCCAAAGTTATTTTTAGAACGTCACTCAAGTCTTCTTCCTGGTCATTTCTGTCAGTGTTATGTTTGACATTCATATGTCTTTTCAAGACTTATATAATTATCACATCAAAAGATATTATTTAAAAAAAGAAGATATTATTACATATTATCATAAGAATATTATTTAAAAGGTAAACTTAGGAATATTTCTTAAAATAATATTACCTGGTAGGAATCTAATTTTCAAAATCTGTGAGTCTTCTTTAAAACCCGGAAGAATAACCTTCAGATTAAAAGTCTGTTGAAAAAAATTTAAACAAATCCAAGTCTTAAATAAATACTTATTTTATCACCTCAATTCTGATTTATTTTTTGCTTTTTATTTTCATACCATTATAGAAGTCTACTTAGCAATTTTATATTGACACTGGAGGACCAGTGCATGAAAATTCGTGCACTCGATTGGGTCCCTCAGCCCAGCCTGGAGAGAAGGGCCAATTAGGGCTTTCCTTCCACTTGCTGCCGGCAGCTGGCCCTTCCCCTGCCGCTGCCACTACTTGCCATCTGTGCAGAGCTGCTCCCCACCCCTACCACCAATGGCCTCCCACTGCAGGCAACAGGTTGGCCTGGGCAGGGAACAGCCCTGGGAGGGGCCCTCTGCCTACTTGATCTCCCCTAACCACTGGTCTGCCTACCTGATTGCCCTTAACCACATGCCTGCCTGCAGATTGCCCCTAACCACTTGTTTGGAGGCGGGGCCAGCCTGGCAAGAGGCTGTCTGCCTACCTGATCTCCCACTAACTGCCTACCTGATTGCTCTAACCACTTGCTGCCTACCTGATCACCCTTAACCATTGGTCGGCCTGCCTGATCACCCCTAACCACTCTGCTTCCTGCCTGATTGTCCCTAACTGCTTGCTTGGGGCAGGGGAAGCTCTCAAGGGGCCATGGTGGTCTGGTCTCTGGTTGTTTCGGTCATGATGCCTCTGGCCTTTTATTATATAGGATTATATGTAATTATATATTTACTATAGGCCCAGTGCACAAAATTCGTGCACAGGGGTATGTGTCCCTCAGCCCAGCCTGCACTCTCTCCAATCTGGGACTCCTAGAGGGTTGTCCGACTGCCCATGTAGGATTGGGCCTGAACGGGCAATTGGACATCTCTCTCACAATCCAGGACTGCTGACTCCCAACTGCTCGTCTGCCTGCCTGTCAGCCTGATCATCTCCTAACCACTCCCCTGCCAACCTGACTGATGCCTAACTGCTCCCTGCCAGCCTGTTTGCCCCTAACTGCCCTCCCCTGCAGGCCTGATCACCCCTAACTGCACTCCCTTGCAGGCCTGGTCCCTCCTAACTGCCCTCCCCTGCTAGCCATCTTGTGGCGGTCATCTTATATCCACATAGGGATAGGCATCTTTGACCACTTCTTGGGTGTTGGAGTAAATGTCAATTTGCATATTACTCTTTTATTAGATAGGATAGAGGCCTGGTGCATGGGTGGGGGCCAGCTGGTTTGCTCTGAATGGGTGTCCCAGATCAGGGTGGGGGTTCCCTTGGGGCGTGGGGTGGTCTGGATGAGGGACCTGTGGTGGTTGCATGACCTCCAGCAATGACCTCCGGCAACCCAAGCAGAGGCCCTAGTCTGGGATTTATTTATCTTCTATAATTGAAATTTTGTAGCCTTAAACAGAGCCAAGTCTCATGCTCACTCTGTGGTCACAGCCATTTTTGTTGGTATTTATTTATCATCTATAATTGAAACATTGTAGCCTTGAGCAGAAGAGGCCAAGGTAGGCCAGGGCTGCAGAAATCTTGACTTCCTCCATTGCTGGGGAAACCCAAGCTTCTTGCTTGCTCTATGACTGCAGCCATCTTGGTTGGGTTAATTTGCATACTTACTCCTGACTAGCTGCTGAGCATGGCTTGTGGGTGTAGCGGATTGATACTTAATTTGCATATTACTCTTTTATTAGATAGAATGCATGTATATAAAAGACACAGGTAAAAGAAATGACATACTGCTTCTTTACAGACTATAATTTTAAGATTTATAAGACATAGTGTTGCCGGAACTGGTTTGGCTCCGTGGATAGAGCGTCAGCCTGTGGACTGAAAGGTCCTGGGTTCGATTCCAGTCCAGGGCATGTACCTTGGTTGCAGGCACATCCCCAGTAGAAGGTGTGCAGGAGGCAGCTGATCAATGTTACTCTCTCATCAATGTTTCTAACTTTCTATTTCTCTCCCTTCCGCTCTGTAAAAAATCAATTAAAAAAATATTTTAAAAAAAAAAGTGTTGTTAATAGTATTATATCAATATTCATTTCTTAGTGTGTATAAATATAGGATGGTTATGTAAGATATTAAAAGAGAAAGCTAGATGAAGAGTATATGTGAACTCTGTATTCTATCTTCTAACTCTTCTATAAACATATTTTTCTTTATCCAAATACCAAACCCATTATATTTACAGAAGTGAGCTAAAGTTTCTCATATATTTGTTTCTGTTCTCAGAATTCAAAAATGAATGAAAAAAAACGACAGAAAAATGAATACTGGAAAAATTGGAGGAATCACTTTGTAAAATATATGATTGTCTAACTACTATGCAGTATTATCTGAAACCAATACAAAATAATATTGAAAGTAAACTGTAATTGAAAAATTTTAAAAAGAGAAACAATACAGTACTGGATAACTGTATTGAAAAAAGACTTTGTATGTGAAAAGACTGAAATAGATGAAGACAGTTGAAAAGTATTGAATAAGTGTTTAACAAAAATAACAGTCACATACATGCAGATTTTTCTTAGAGAGATATATTCAAGTGACATGATCCTAATTAATTTTTAAGAACCCAACATTACTATCATTTTGTTACAAAAATAAGTTATTCAATTTTAAATTTACAATTTCATTTTGACAATTGTAACATTTATGCCAATGCTTACCTTGCCTTGACAAGAGTTTACAAGTCCCTTAGCTGTAACACCTCGAATTATACAATTTGGTCCCTTTGTTATTCCTTCATATTGTAAAGATAAACCACTGGGGGAAAAAAAAAACAAATTATTTTGTAACTTCTCCCCATTACCAACAAATAAGCTGCAAATATGTTCTGTTTTCTCATATGTCATTCACAAGTTTAATTCATTTTTTAAATAAAATAGTATTTTTAAAAATGAATAACTGAACAAAGTAGCAAATTCCTATGAATTTTTTCCTATAGAAAAATGATCTAACAAGTATTGATAAATGATACCAATAAGCCAATGCAAATGGTAGACATACTGTAAAATGTAAAGTTTCATATAATGAATTAGTAATAGTAAAGTTACAAGGTAGGAAATAAGCAAATGCTAAAATATAGATATAGGCCTAAGAAGAAAAAATTATCCAAATAAGCAGGGTTAAGCATTTCTTCAGCTTTTGCATAGATTCTTTCAAATCTCTCACCTTTACCCAGATAGTTGTGTTTCATTGGTTAAGCATCAGCCAATGAACCAAGAGTTCCCACCCAGTTCATTTCCTAGTCAAGGCACATGCCTGGGTTATGGGCTCAATCCCTAGTAAGAGGGTGTGCAGGAGACAGACATAGATGTTTCTTTCTTATGGATGTTTCTATATTTCTATGCTTCTCCCCCCCCCCTCTCTCTAAAAAAAAAAAAAATCAATAAAAACTTATTTTTTTAAAAAAACAACAACATTTTATCCAATGGAATTTCAGAGAACTTTTGGCACCTATACTGAATGGCAAATTAAGATGAAGTAAAAAAAAAAAAAAAAAAAAAAAAAGTATAGTCTTATAAAGATGTAATATTGTTAAAATATATACTGAGATCTCTAATCTACTACCATGGGCAATTTGATTTCTAAATTACCTTTACCTTTGGACATGTGTAGATCCTTAGTGTGTAAACATTTTACTCTGTCAAGGGGTAAGGTGAAAAAACAAAGAGAAAGTACAACGTGATGGAGAAAACACTTATGTTTTCTGAAGAATGAAATTTAAATATTTAGCCGAAACTGGTTTGGCTCAATGGATAGAGCGTCAGCTTGGGTACTGAAAGGTCCCGGGTTCGATTCTGGTCAAGGGCATGTACCTTGGTTGCGGGCATATCCCCAGTAGGGGATGTGCAAGAGGAAGCTGATCGATAACTCTCTCTCATCGATGTTTCTAACTCTGTATCTCTCTCCCTTCCTCTCTGTACAAAATCAATAAAATATATTAAAAAAAAAAATAGAGAGAGAAATTTAAGTATTTAAAAGTATTTCTGAATAAATTGCAAAAATTAAACAGCATGCTTTGCTTGAAAAAAGACACACAGTAGCATTAGGTTAAACTTCTTTAGGATGATGAACCATCAAAGGCACACATCTATTTTCATTATCTCATAAAACCTTAGGAATATGCCAATGAAGAGATTTCTTTAATTTATTGTTAAAGACAGAGTTAAAAAGAGAGGAAAGGAAAAAGAGAGAAGGACAACAAAACTTACTAGAACACAGTAGCAAGTAACCTAGTAGTCTAAAAAAAAAAATTGAACCCTAAAACAGCAATGGTAAAAGTCAGAAACCAATCTATATCGCAGAATTCCCAGGTATCACTCAGGAATTGGTGGTACTAGTTACCTCTAAAAGTGGTTTAAAAATAGAAAAGCAAAATGATGATAGATAAATGATGGATGGATGGATGGATGGATAGATAAATCAATATCCCAAACCTCCCCTCTCTGCCTGTCAGATGACTAAAAGATTTTTTTTTTTTAAAGGCTAAAGCAGAGACTCTCTGAACCAGGGGAAAGCACATAAACTGAAAGAGAGGTTAAGATAATAATAATAAAAAAAATAGAAGGCTAAAGTAACAAAAAGAATTTATTAATCCTAAATAAATGCATATATGATAGATGCTGAGACCTTCCCATCTCCATTCTCATCCCAGCCTTTTTATGGGACAGGTTATGAACCTGGAGAGCTAAATATTCCTCTCAAAGCAAGAAGCTAAATATTTTTCTTTGAGAAAATAGCCAAGCCCAAGAAAGAAGAAAAGACTTAAAAATACTGACAATAGGATTTCTTTCCAAGAAAGTGTTACAGGCAGATCATTCTATAGTGGAGTTCATAGTCATCAGCATCTCCCCACACTCCATCTGCACTTTAGTTCTCCACTCAATTATAAGAGATGATCAATAATTACCAGATATCTGAGTAATGAGATGAAAAATCAACATGAGCAACAAACTTGGAAACAATAGAGATTATCTATGTAAAATATTTTTAAAAACAGTAATTTGTCAGGGGGAAAAACTTTTATATTCCTAAAACAAAAGAAGACCTATAAAAGAACATTCAGAAAACCAGGAAGAACTCTCAGAAATTAAAAGTATAGCAGAAAGAAAAAATTCAATGGAAAAGTTATAAAGTTGAAAAAAAAAATCTGTCAGAAATTTAAAAAAAAGAAAAGAAAAATCAGAGAACCAGTCTGGAAGGCTCAATATCAAATAAATAAGAATCCCAGTAAGAGAAAACAGTAATGATAAAAAGTAGAGAATGAAGTACTTCAAATAATGAAGAGACCTAAACAGGCATATATCACTATAAAATTTTGTCCTGTTAAGAATAAAAAGTAGCTCTAACTGGGACAGAGCATCAGCCTGTGGACTCAAGAGTCCCAGGTTCGATTCTGATCAAGGGGATGTACCTTGGTTGCGGGCACATCCCCAGAAGGAGTGTGCAGGAGGCAGCTGATCGATGTTTCTAACTCTCTATCCCTCTTCCTCTCTGAAAAAAATCAATTAAATACATTTTTTAAAAAACAATAAAAAGTAGATCCTGTAAGTATCCAGAGAGCATATACAGGAAACATAAAAAGGAAAACTAACCAAGTTTAAATTTATTAGCAACAGTTCAAGTTCAAAGGCAGAAATGGAGGAATTCTTTTATAATTTTGACAGAAAACCAATTTCCACTATTCAATCAATCAAGTACCTAGGTAGAAAAAAAGACATTTTCAGAGCAATGCTTTTATCTCACATGTACCCCCCCCCCTTTTTTTTTTTTAACATATTTTATTGATTTCTTACAGAGAGGAAGGGAGAGGGTCAGAGAGCCAGAAATATCGATGAGAGAGAAACATCTACCAGCTGCCTCCTGCATACCCCCTACTGGGGATGTGCCCGCAACCAAGGTACATGCCCTTGACTGGAATCGAACCCAGGACCTTTCAGTCCACTGGCGGAAGTTCTATCCAATGAGCCAAACCATTTTCAGCTACCCTTTCTTAAGATACAGGAAGGATGTGCTTCAGCAACAGGAAGGGAACATAGGATTCTTATAAAAATAGGAGATCCATAAAAGATTAAATGCTAAACAAGATAAGCCACTTCACAAACTCACAGTTCAGGAATATTTCCTTGACCAGAGATCGGATGCCACTATCTGAGTGAGCTACCTGGCCAGGGCTTTAGTGTTTTATTTTTAAACAAACATGTTTAATACACTTAAGCCTCAACAATATGGGCTTTATGCAATATTAAAAATAAATACTGTAAATGTAATTTATCCTTACGATTTTCTTAGTAACATTTTATTTTCTCTAGCTTACTTTATTGGAATAGAGTATTATAATACATATGACATACAAAATATGTGATAATTGTTATATTATTGGTGAGGATTTCACTTAACAGGTGACTATTAGTTTAGTTTTGGGGGCGTCAAAAATTAAATGTGAATTTTTAATTGTGCAGGGTCGGTGACCCTAATCCCTGCATTGGTCAAGGGTCAACTATTTACAATTCTTCCTTTACTGTTTAATATTCAAATGAATGTGATATGTCAAAAGACAGGAATCACTTTTTGCAAATTAATAGAACATAAATCTGTACAATTCAGTTTATATTTTTTATAAGTATGTATTGCTTTTCAGGAGCCTAACCATGGTATAAATCTAGACACTAAGCAATCTACACTTCACTGATCTGTGAGCTTCTAGAAGACAAATACTATGTCCTTATTTACTTCTATAACTCCAGTTAGCAAATGTCTGGGATACAGTACATGTTCATATGACTGAAATAGAAAACATTTATACCATAAGAGGAAAAAATACATACAGATAATAAAAGAAAGCAAAAAAAACAAGATGTCCCCAAAGGACAAATTTGGCAACCAATGTAAACACAAAAACAGCCAAAACTGGTGTGGCTCAGTGGATAGAGTGGACTGAAAGGTCCCGGGTTCGATTCAGGTCAATGGCATGTACCTTGGTTGTGGGCACATCCCCTGTAGGGGGTGTGCAAGAGGCAACTGATCGATGTTTCTCTCTCATCAATGTTTCTAACGCTCTATCCCTTTCCATTCCTCTCTGTAAAAAATCAATAAAATATACTAAAAACAAACAAAATACTTAGCATTCATGCTTTTTAAAGTAATCAAGAATTTCTTCCTAGATACTACAGAAAGAAGTGATGGGAAATAATGAACCTCCTCAATTACATCACTGAATATATTATTAATTTTTTGGTTTTTTTAAAGATATTTTTATTGAATTCAGAGAGGAAGGGAGAAGGAGAAAGAGAATCATTGATCGACTGCTCCCTGAACACCCCACACTAGGGTTGGAGCCCGCAACCCGGGCAATGTGCCCTGACTGAGAATCGAACCATGACTTCTTGGTTCATAGGTCGATGCTCAACCACTGAGCCGTGCCAGCTGGGCACACTGTTAACTTTTTAAGTGCTATTTATTAATATAAGCCAATCACGTCACTCTAAAAGATGATTAAGTAAAGTCAAATTTTAAGGAAGAACTCAGATTTACAAGGGAAACATATACTTTATTGCTATAGATTTTAAAACAAAAATAAACTGCATTAGATGGTTAAAAACCTAGTAGATAATATTTCTCAGTTTAAATGTCCATAACATCTAAGGCTAAACAAATAACAACAAAATAGACATGTTATAACTAACAATTACCAGAAGACATCATATCATACTTGCCAAAAGAAATGGAGTAAAAAAGACAGAACTATCAGTCTTATCTATAGAATTTAACATTAAATTCAATAAAAAAAGAAAACTTTAGCGAGTCAATTTATACATGACCCTGAAGTCTCAGAGGATAAGTTGGGGCTAAATACATCCCCCAAATATCATAAAAGCCACTAAACATTTTAATGACAATAGTGAAGGTAACCACATACAAAATATTTAAGCCAAAAATGAAATGAGAGAATGTAAATGTTTAGTAAATACAAACTGTCAAATACAAGTTTGTACTTCAAATTACCTTGCTTCAAGAACTGGCTGAATATCATTTATTAATTGACTAGCATGACCAAATTCATCCTGAAACTCCAGAGGGATGTTGAATGGAACTCCAATACGAAAAGGAGAATCCAGAGGACCAAATGAAAATTTTTCTGGCTTACCCTCTAAAAAAAAAAAGAAAAGGTAAAAATGCAAAGCAAATTCAATGTAGGACAGAAACAGATGCATTTATACATGAAAAATTAAACTACAATAAAGATGGCATTTAAAATTTGTGCAAAATTACATAAATCCACTTCAGAAAATAGTTAGATGCCTATCTCATACCATACATAAAAGTAAAATTCTAAAAGTAGAGATTATCCTATATAATAAAGATAATATGCAAATTGGCCATCACACACAAGATGGCCATCCCCATATGGACACAAAATGGCCACCACAAGATGGCCAGCAGGAGAGGGCAGTTGTGAGCCATCAGGCCAGCAAGGGAGGGCAGTTGGGAGGGACCAAGCCTGTAAGGGAGGGCAGTTGGAGGTGTTCAGGCCTGCAGGGGAAGGCAGTTAGGGGCGATTGGGCTGGCAGGGGGGCAGTTAGGTGTCAATCAGGCTGGCAGGGGAGTGGTTAGGGGTGATCAGGCTGGCAGGCATAAGTGGTTATAGGCATCAAGAAGGCAGGCAGGCGAGCAGTTGGGAGCAGGCAGTCCCGAATTGTGAGAGGGATATCCGACTGCCCAGTGGGATCAGGCCTAAACAGGCAGTCAGACATCCTTCCAAGAGTCCCAGATTGAAGAGAATGCAGGCTGGGCTGAGGGACATATACCCACCTGTGCATGAAATTTGTGCATTGGGCCTCTAGTCCTATATAATAAAACCCTATGATGTAAATAGACTAAACAATCACTATGACCCACAATGACACCAGGGAGCAGACACACAATGCAGGAGCTGCCCCTAGTGGTCGGAGCTGCCCCTGGTGGTCGTGCTGCTCAGCCAGAAGCCAGGCTCATGGCTAGTGAGTGCAGTGGCTGTGGTGGGAACATCCACTGAAGGGGCTGAAGACTGTGAAAAGGCACAAGCCAGGCTGAAGGACCTCTTCCCCCCCACTAGTGCACAAATGTTGTACACTAGGACTCTAGTTAGAATAGCCTTTATAATAAAGAGTTAATATGCAAATTGGCCATTATTCCAACACACAATATGGCTGTCCCCATGTGATCAAAGATGGCTGCCCCTATGTGGACCCAAGATGGCCAGCAGGGGAAGGCAGTTGTGGGCAATCAGGCCAGCAGGGGAGGGCAGTTGGGAGGGACCAGGCCTGCAAGGGAGGGCAGTTGTGGGCATTCAGGCCTGCAGGGGAGGGCAGTTGGGGGCAATCAGGCCTGCAGGGGAGGGCAGTTAGATGTGACCAGGACAGCAGGGGAGGGTATTTGGGGGCGACCAGGACAGCAGGGGAGGGCAGTTAGGGGTGACCAGGCCAGCATGGGAGGGCAGTTAGGCACTGATCTGGGCAGTTGGGGGCGATCAGGCTAGCAGGGAAGCAGTTAGGCGTCAATTAGGCTGGCAGGGGAGCAGTTAGGGGGTAATCAGGCTGGGAGGCAGAAGTGGTTAGGGGCAATCAGGGAGGCAGGCATGTGAGTGGTTAGGAGCTAGCAGTCCCAGATAATGAGAGGAATGTCTGACTGCCAGTTTAGGCCTGATCCTGTGGGGGATTGGGCCTACACCAGCAGTCAGACATCCCCCGAGGGGTCCCAGATTGGAGAGGGTGCAAGCTGGCTTAGGGACACGCGCGCACACACACACACCCGTGTATGAATTTCATGCACTGAGACATTAGTAATAAAGAATATGCTTATAACCATATTGTAGAAAAAACTAAGGCAAACATTATTAAACACATAATTAATAATATTATTATATACAATCAACAAAGCTAAAAGAGAAGTCCTATATGAGAAAGTATTTGCAACACAGGATTGAAATCCAGAATACGTAACACCTCCTCTAAACCAGCTGTTCACAAAATATGTTCTCTAGTGTAATAGTTTCAGACATCTCTGGGAAATTATTAGAAATGTAAATCCTAGGACTCATCTCAAACCTACTAAGTCAGAAACTCTGACAGTGATGTCCAGCAATCTATTTTAATAAGCCCTCCAGATGATTCAGATACAAGCTTTAATTTGAGAACCACAGCTTTAACTATTGAAATGGCCACAGCAAATTAACAGGCTTTCACAGATGACATAAAGTGTCCAATAAAAGCTAGAGGAACTGCCTTTTAAAGGAATAATTTAATTGCCAATTAGCAAAATTTAAATTTAGGCTGACCAGAAATGATCATAGGGAAGCTGGAACTCTCATCATCTTTTGGTGAAGGTACCACGACCTTTTGAGAAGGCAATTTGACAGTATATATAGTGCGTTCCTCAAAAATGTACACACATACTTTGAATAATTATAAAGACAGTGTTTAATAAAATACATTTTATTTTCAAAACTGAGCTATCAGCTGTTACAGTGTGTGTGTATATATATATATATATATATATATATATATATATATATATATATATATTTAAGGGACACGCTGTATATATCTTTAAAAAGTTTAAGCACATACACTTCAGTTTGGCAATTCTACTAATTGGTATCTACAGCATAATCCACCCCCCACCAAAAAACAAAAAACACCCAATATTATTTGTAATAGACCCCAAAAATGTAAAACAGTCAAAATTTTTGTCAACAGAAAACTGTAGAATGTGTTCCACAGCTGTTTAAAAAAAAATGTGGAAGATTTACATGTCCCAAAAGAAAAGATCTCCATGGTGGCCCATCTCTTTAAAGGAGGCAAAATGATCACAGGGTCTTAGATCAGCTTTCTCAAAAAACGCATAAAAATAACACTAAGAGATTTGGTTTTTTTTTCTCTTAAAGAGGCCTAAACACACAATAAATAAATAAATAAATAAATAAATAAATAAATAAATAAAGAACAACAGTAATTAAGGGCAGGATCTTTGACCCCATGGGGGTAGCCATCTTATGTGTTGGAGTGATGGTTAATCTGCATATTACATATTACTCTTTTATTAGATAGGATAGAGGTGCATGGGTGGGGGCCAGCTGGCTTGCCCTGAAGAGTGTCCCGGATCAGGGAGGGGACTCCCTTGGGGTGTGGGGTGACCTGGGCGAGGGGCCTATGGTGGTTTGCAAGCAGGCCACACCCCCCTGGCAACCCAAGTAGATATCCTGATATCTGGGGTTTATTTATCTTCTATAATTGAAACTCTGTAGCCTGGAGTGGAGCCAAGCCCCCTGCTCGCTCCATGGCTTCTGATATTTCTGTTGGAATTTATGTATCTTCTATATTTGAAACTTTGGAGCTTTAAGTTGAGGCCAGCCAGGGTGTGTGGAAAGCTTGGCTTCCTCCATTGCCAGTGAAACCCAAGCCTACTTCCTGCTCTCTGTGGGGGCAACCATTTTGGCTGGGGTGAATTTGCATACTCGCTCTGATTGGCTGGTGGGCGTAGCAGAGTGATGGTTAATTTGAATATTACTCTTTCATTAGACAGTATTTCTCCTTAATTTAAAATACCACCTTTAGCATATAAGTATATATTAATATTTTGCTTACCTTTAACAGAAAATTTAATTGCTTTAGATGGTAGTGGTCTTCCAGCATAAGTGTCTGCATTACTTTCATTCAATACAACTTGTAATTTCAATGTGTAATTCCCCAATTTTTGAATATTTTCTAGAAAAATAAAAAATAAATTATAAATGAAGTCATCATAAATGACATTGATACAATTTTTAACATTCAGAATAACTCACCCATTTTTTTAAACCAGTAAGGCCATTTTCCTCCATGTTGACTAATATGTGAAATGATTTCTTTATTTCCACTTGAAGCTTAATAAAAAATAAAAATAAAAAAGCATTTATTACCTGTGAAATTGAATATGAATATAAAGTGTTACAATAGCATCAAGTAATTTCTTTTTTCACTTTAATTTTCAAGTTATTTTGAGCCGGGACCGGTTTGGCTCAGTGGATAGAGCGTCAGCCTGCGGACTGAAAGGTCCCAGGTTCAATTCCTGTCAAGGGCATGTACCTTGGTTGTGGGCACATCCCCAGTAGGGGGTGTGCAAGAGGCAGCTGGTTGATGTTTCTCTCTCATCGACGTTTCTAACTCTCTGTCCCTCTCAATTCCTCTCTGTGTAAAATCAATAAAAAATATATATTTTTTTAAAAAAGTTATTTTGAAAATTTGAAAGATCTAAAGCATATATTCAACTGCAGCCAATCAAGCCCTGTTTCAGTGCTACTCTTCCTAACATTCTATAAAGCTTTTGCCTGTGAAAATAAACAGAAACCTTATTTAAAATGGAGTTCCAGTACATTGAAAAAAGAGATAGAGGAAGATATAAACAAGTGGAAAAATACTGTATTCATGAATTGGTAGAATTAACATCATTAAAATGTTCATACTACCCAAGACAATCTACAGGTTCAATACAATCCCTATTAACCATATTAAAAAATTAAACTATATAAAAGTCAACTCAAAATGGATCAAATAATAAAATATAGGAGCTAAAACTGCAAAACTCATAGAAGTAAACATTCAAGAAGAGCTTCATAACTTTGGATTTGGCAATGACTTATTTGGAAAGCACGGGCAACAAAAGCAAAAATACACAAACTGGACTACATCAAAATCTAAAACTTTTCTGCATCAAAAAATACCATTAATAGGGTAAAAAGGCAACCTATGGAGTCCAAGAAAATACCTACAAATCATATTATCTGACAAGGGATTATTGCACAAACTATATAAAACTCCTACAAATCAACAACAAACAAAACAAAATTTGATTTTAAAATGGACAAGGACTGGATTAAACATTTCTCAAAGAATATGTAGGGGTGGTCAATAAGCATATGAAAAGATGCTCAACTTCACTGATCATTAGGGAAATGCAAATCAAAACCACAATAGGTATCACAATTAGGATATTAAAATAACTAGCATGTTGGCAAGGATGTGGAGATATTGGAAACCTTCTATATTGCTGATGGGAATGTACACTCATGGTGTGATTGGAAACCTTCTATATTGCTGATGGGAATGTACACTCATGGTGTGGATAATGGATAAAAAAGTTAACAAGGTGACTCAAGATGAGCAATAATACCCACTTCTTTCCTCTTTACCAAAGTGTGGGTAAGGCTTATTATGTGAACCAAGTACTTTTGGCCAACAGTATTTTCTTTTCTTTTTTCTGGTCACTTTTTTTTTTAATTAAATTATCTGTGTACATATTTTAACATTGCCCCCCCATACATAGCCTCCCTTCCCAGAGCTTTGTGTCCATTGGTTGTACTTATATGCATGTATACAAGTCCTTCAGTTGATCTCTTATCTCCCCCAGATCTGCTTGTTGCTTTACTGTCTTTATATCTGTCTTTTGGTTCATCAGTTTATAATGTTCTTTAAAATCCATAAATGAGTGAGGTCATGTGGTATTTCTCTTTCATTGACTTGCTTATTTCACTCAGCATGATGTTCTCTAATTCTATCCAGGTTGCTGCAAATGATGAGAATTCCTTCTTTTTTATGGCAGCATAGCATTCCATTGTGTAGATGTACCATAGTTTTTGGATCCAATCATCTGCTGACGGGCACCTAGGCTGTTTCCAAATTCTAGCTATTGTAGATTGTGCTGCTATGACCATAGGGGTGCATATATCCTTTCTGATTGGTGTTTCTAGTTTCTTGGTATATATCCCTAGGAGTGGGATTACTGGGTCAAATGAAGTTCCATTTTCAGTTTTTTGAGGAAACTCCATACTGTTCTCCACAGTGGTTGCACCAGTCTGTATTCCCATCAGCAGCACATGAGGGTTCCTTTTTCTCCGCAACCTCGCCAACACTTGTCGTTTGTTGATTTACTGATGCTGGCTATTCTGACAGAGTATTTTCTACTTAGAGGAGATTTAAAGATTATTTACTGAGCCACAGTATTTTCTACTTAGAGGGGATTTAAAGATTATTTACATTCCTATCTAGTACAAATTACTATAGATGCATTTTAGCCCATATAGTTACCTACATGGGAAAATTCAGAATAAAGTTTTTTAAAGATACTAAGAATATTATCAATTAAAAAACTCAAATTATTCATAACACATTTGAAATTCCTAACTTTAATAAAATCTAAGGTTGCTAAGTTATCCTTAATCATACAAATATATTAAAATCTGTACAAATATATTAAAATCATACAAATATATTACACATTTAAGGACAATATTAAAGATCCAAATTAGTTTTCATACTTACTGTGTAATATAACTTTGAGCTCAACTAGGAGTTTTTTTGACCCTCCATGACCTGTTCCTGGAAGCTTTTGCATCGCTTCTCCTTTTTTATTCAGTATTTCAATCCTTAATGCACCTATTATTCCAAAATTTAAAGTAAGAGTGTCTTAGTTACACCCAATAATATGATGATTGGGCCACGTCTTCACACTGCATTTTAATTTTTCATTGTCTTTTACATATTGGCAATGTCAGTATTAAGAAAAACAAACGGCAGAAACCGGTTTGGCTCAATGAATAGAGCGTCGGCTTGGGGACTGAAGAGACCCGGGTTTGATTCCGGTCAAGGGCATGTACCTTGGTTGCAGGCATATCTCCAGTTGGGGGTGTGCAAGAGGCAGCTGATCGATGACTCTCTCTCATCGATGTTTCTAACTCTCTCTCTCTCTTCCTTCCTCTCTGTACAAAATCAATAAAATATATATTAAAAAAAAAGAAAAAGAAAAAGAAAAACAAACGAAAAACATACCAATGGTGGTTCCAGCAGGCCTGATCTCATTGGGAAATAATTCATCTCCTTCAGGCCAAGTTACTGACAATCTATCAGGAAGCCTAATAGGAAACCGACACATTAATGATGAAGCCCACATTTAAAAAAAACTAACATTTTGAGTATTTCTCCATGTTATAAATTATTTTCGTACACAAAACACTTTAGTTTCATAAACTGTGTTAATTATGGTTTTAATTAGAAAACAGAAGTTACAAGAAACTTTAGTATTTGTCATATATTTTGAAAGTTTAAATCTGAACTTCTATATGACTAATAATCTAAAAGTTTTCTCCACCTTAACCATCACTGTGGTTACTGAAAAGTCAGGCAAAACCTCTTAGTATTAAAAGCAAGAATTTGTCAATTTTTCAAATTTTTTCATTATTGTGTAAGTTATCCTTTAAAGATATAATAAATTCTTATGAAGAGAAGGATTACCAGTTAGATTCAGTGAGAATCAAAATGTCTCCATCATTAGCTACATAAGAATCACAGAGAGAATTTTGTTTTTCAATTTCCTTTTACTTGTACTAATCTTTACCTCTCAGAAGTTACTACAATTTTCCTCCTGTAGGCCAAAGTTGTTTTTTCTTTAAAATATCCTAATCATAGTGCCTATAATAGTGATACTTTAGATATTGTTTTTGTAACTAGAGCTCTAGATATTTTTTTTTATCTTACCACTTGTAGTGATTTTTTTTTTCATTTTTTTATTAAGGTATTATATGTGTACATACCTTACCAATCCCTCCCCACTCCCATATATGAACTCCCTCCCCAGAGTGTTCGATTTTTTTAATGTCATAATATATACATCTAGACTACAAATGCCCTGTTAGAAGAGCATAACAACACAGTCAAGAATAGTTGAAAGCATTATGATCTACTCTAGATTTTTTTTATTGCTATCATGCATCTTGAAATGTGAATTACCTTGCCATTTCATCTTCTACGTATTTTTTTACAGCTTTCTCAGCAAAGGTCCTATCCAGTTTTGCAATTGGCACAACTTTTGTTTCATCATACAGTGCTCGTGGTTCCTAAATCAACAAATTAAATTTAATCAACCTTTCAAAGAAAACTGTTTGAATTTAACTGCAATACAAACATTCATTTATTTCTTCCAAAGAAATATATTTACCCTCATTAAATATATAAATTCATAAGTTATTATTACATTACACCTCTGTATTTATTTCCATTTTTCATGTTATCTCCATAGGCCTAATTAAATACCATTCAAATATTAACAAAAGCATGGTATAGAGATAAAGCCCAATCAAGTTTTAGAATCAATTTTTTAAAATTTAAATTTTTTACTGCCATTTATTCCCTCTATGCCCTCTTTTACCAACACATATCCCCTCCATCCCTGCAATCACCATACCATTGTCTATGTTCACGAGTTCTCTCTTTTTTTTAAATATATTTTTATTGATTTCAGAAAGGAAGGGAGAGGGAAAGATAGAAACATCAATGATGAGAATCATTGATAGGCTACCTCCTGCACGCCCCCTACTGAGAATTGAGTCCGCAACATGAGCATGTGACCTTGACCAGATTTGACCCAGGGACCTTCCAATCAGCAGGCTGACACTATCTACTGAGCCAAGCCAGCTAGGGCTAAGAGTTCTCTTTTTACACACTTTTTTACTCAATCTGTGCCCCCAGCACCTCCTCTCCCAGAGCTGTCTCCCTGCTGTAAGTCTCTATTTTGCTTAGTTCAGTATGTTCATTAAATTTCACACATGAGTTAAAGCATATAATACTTGTCTTTCTCTGACTGGCTTATTTCATTTAACATAATGTTAGAATAATTCATTCTTAAGAGAATTCTGGCTCTAGTGTTTACTAGTTTGTGGGCCTTGGATGAAATGTGCACTTTACAAAATCATTGTGGTAAGTAACAATAATATACACTGAGTGGCCAGATTATTATGATCTCTGAACGCATAATAATCTGGCCACTCAGAGTGTGTGTGTGTGTGTGTGTGTGTGTGTGTGTGTGTGCGCGCGCGCGCGCAGGGACATGGGCGGTTGGCCTGTCTGCCTGCTGGTCAAGTTTCCCAGTTGAGGGGACAATTTGCATATTAGCCTTTTATTATATAGAATATATACTGAGTGGCCAGATTATTATTCATTCAGAGATCATAATAATCCGGCCACTCAGTGTATGTATATTTGTTAAACATTGGGCATACAAATGTTAAATTCTATATATTATTAAAACCACCAAATATGAAGTATAAAAATTCATGCTAACACTACGCAATGGAAAAACATTTGTACCTTTATTTCTACATTTAAGCAAAAGTAAATGGTACCAACATACTTTCAATAAATATTTAGTATCACTTTGTTGTCTTACCATTGCAATTTGAACCTCTCCTCCAGTAGCATATACTTCTCCATCATGATTACCATAAAGAAAAAATTTTTCTATGCTTCCATAATAAAGAGGAAGTGTCTTGATTGTCTTCACCTAGTATTTAGTTTTGAAAAAAGGCTTTAATGTTAATATTTATTAAGAGAAATAGGTTAATAGAATAATTATTTCATACATAGAATAATTATTTTAAAAAAAGAAAAAATTTGGTATCTATCATTAGAAAAATGAATTTTTAAAAAATCATTCTAACATCCCAATAAATTAGAATTGTGAAGTTCACAATTATTATTCCCAACACATTTTATAAAGACACAGTACATTTTTCATACAAAAATGTCATAGCTATGCATATGTTAAAATAATTACTATAAATACCAAAGTTTCTCAAATCTTTTTCAACCATAAATTCTGGTTTTTAGACTATCAACAATGACTTACAAACTCCAACTAGTTATCACTTCCTTCAAATAAATTAGTTTAATACTTGCCTAAAACATTTTTCTTTACATGGGTTAAAAAAATCAAAGAGTAATTTCCATTATCCAACTCAGAAATCATTGACAAGAACTATACGAGTTGATATTTAATCTTTCAGTCTAATTTCTAAACTATTTCTTTTCTTATACACATAGCCCTAGTTTACCACTTGCTGTTTCTCTGAACTTACAAATATCTTTGTCTATGCTCAAATTAACTCTGAGAAAGAATTTGACAAAGTTGATCACTCCCCTTTTCTTAAAACTCTTCACTTGACCTCCATATTCTCCTACTTTCCTTCTATTTAACCAGCTTTCCCTTTCACTCTTTTCAGCTCCCCCCTTTTCATTCTAATCCCTAAATGTTAGAAATACATGTAGTATGAAAATCCAAGATGGCTGCACAGGTAAACACCTAGCCGCAGCAGCACACAACAATTTCAATAAAATACAACTAAAATATAAAATGGACATTACCCAGAACTACAGGAAAGTCGACTGAATGGAAATTCTACAACGAGAAGCAAGGAGAAAACCAGAAGGAAGAGTGGAGGAGCTGTAAAAACCTAAGGTAAGAGACATGCAACGTGTGCCGAGAGAACAGAGCCGGAGAAGAGGGCGGCCGAGTGCCTGTCTGCCGTTGCCTAGCAGGAAGGAGATAAAAGCTCCAACTGTGCTGGGCCCCAGTTCCAACTGCTCTGAAGCCCAGGAACCCAGGCTCATACAGAGGGAGCTGGGCTGTAAGGTGGAACCCCAGGGGAGCAGCGAAAGGAGGTCCCAGAGGCGCACACATTGTGTGCAGAGAAGGGACGGTTGGCTGTGCCGTGGGAGTGCCCTGGCGGGAAGGAGACAGGGGCTCCAGACTGCTCTGAACGCCACCTCCAACTCCACTTCCAACTGAACCCCAATACCAGGCTCATTGGGGGAGAGCATAGACTGTTTGGCAGCAGGCGAAAATTGAGGGCACCTATCTCTCAGAGGTGCTTTGCAGCAAGTACTGAAGGACCCTGAGACCCAGGAGCCGCATAGGGCAAGGCTGACGGAAGCCAAGGCTGTAGGCTCCACCCTGAAACCCCGCCCCATCAGGGAAGCTGAGAAAATGCCGAGACAAAATAGATCACAAACTTAAGAAATGGAGGACAAAAAGCGACTGGATATAGAGTTCAAATCTACGCTTATAGGTTTTTCAAGAATTTCCTAGAAAAGATCGATAAGACCTATGAGGATATGAAAAGGGATCATCTAGAATTAATAAGGGATCAACAAGAAATGATAAGGGATCAACAAGAAATAAAGAATACATTGTTTGAAATAAAAAATATTATACAGAGTCCTAAAAACAGAATGGAAGATCGCAAGAATCAAGTCAAAGATTTGGAACATAAAGAGCCAGAAGACACTCCTCTGCAGAAGCAAGAAGGCAAGAGAATCCAGAAAATTGAAGATAATGTAAGAAACCTCTGGGACAACTTCAAGCGAACCAACATGAGAATTATAGGGGTCCCAGAAGATGAGAGCAAGATATCAAAACCATACTGAAAGAAATAGTGACAGAAAACTTCCCCCACCTGGTGAAAGAATTAGACTTACAAGTCCAGGAAGCGTACAGAACTCCAAACAAAAGGAATCCAAAGAGGACCAAACCAAGACAAATCATAATTAAAATTTCAAGAGCAAAAGACAAAGAGAATATTAAAAGCAAGAGCAAAGCAGGCAGTTACCTATAAAGGAGCACCTATACGATTGTCGGCTGATTTCTCAACAGAAACCATGCAGGCCAGATGGCAATGGCAAGAAATACTCAAGGTGATGAATAGTAAGAACCTACAGCCAAAGATAATCTATCCAGCAAAGCTATCACTCAGAATCGAAGGTCAGATAAAGAGCTTCATTAATAAAAAAAAAAAAGCTAAAGGAGTTCATCACCATCACCACCAAACCAGAATTATATGAATTGCTGAAGGGGTTCTTTCGGAAGAGAAAATAAAGATAAAAATTATGAACAACAAATACGTAACTATCAACAAGTGAATCTAAAAACCAAGGAAATTTAGAAAAAAAATCTGATGAACAATATTAACTGTTGAATATAACAGAATCAGAGGTATGGAAGGGGAGTGAACTGACGATTCTCGGGGATAAGGGGAGAGGGGGATGTGGGAAGAGACTGAACATAAACTGTGCACCTATGGATGAGGACAATGGGGGTGGGGAAAGGGCAGAGGGTGGGGTGGGAACCTGGTGGAGGAGAGCAATGGGTGGGAACCTGGTGGAGGAGAGCAATATTGTTCATATTGTAATAATATGAACAATAAAAATTTATTTAAAAAAAAAAAGAAATAGATGTAATATGACTACAGAAAAAGAACGTAGTTATACATAGTACTTTTAAGCGATTGCATCCAAATTCGAGTTTTAAATACATGACAATGATTCTCACGTTTATGGAGAATGAACACACTTCCACCTTTGTAATAATCTGTGTAAACCTGAGCCTACTTCTTTCAAGGTCCTTACAAAAGCCTAAAGAATTTCATGATTTACTCTCTTCTCCTAGGCCCATCCTTTTTTCAGAGTAGTTTTCACCTTCTGACTTATTATTATTTATGTTTCGGATATCTATTTTTAAGCTATAATAAAGCACATCTAATAGATCTCTGAATTCTCCACAATGCATTCTTGTAAGATGTACAGCAACTTAAAGAAGCACATAATAAAATTTAAAAATATATATATTTTATTGATTTTTTACAGAGAGGAAGAGAGGGATAGAGAGTTATAAACATCGATGAGAGACATCGATCAGCTGCCTCCTGCACAACCCCTACTGGGGATATGCCCGAAATCAAGGTACATGCCCTTGACTGGAATCGAACCTAGGACCTTTCAGTCCACAGGCCGACGCTCTATCCACTGAGCCAAACTGGTTTCAGAAGCACATAATAAAATTTGCTAAAAAGTCATAATTTCAAAACACATTAAACATTGAAAATATCTATTTGAGTAGTTTATTGCAAGAAACAATAAAAACCTTACTAACTGAGACTTAGGCAACAAGAAAGTTTTGTGGTTTTTTTTAATGCCATGCTAAATTATGAAATTAAAATCAGTTTGGCCTTTTCATTTTTTCCTGGCTCCTGAGGAACCAATCAATACATACATTATTTTTAATTGTTGCTAAATTCTAATACATCAAACCAATGTCACCCCAATAAATTCAATAAAAATTTTAATTCTAGTACATCTATTAGTTTCAAATTCTACTAAATACTGAATCTAAAAAAAAAGTTAAACCTACCAGCTGTCCTGCTTTGTATATTTTTCCATCCCATTCTATTGCTGAGTATGTGGCCCAGGGGCCCTGTTTTCTAGCAGGAAGATCAGGGCGTGTGATTATTCCTTTAAAAAGTGTAAATTTTATTTGTTTGTCATACTTTTCATGACAGTCTTTGAGCCAGAAAGAAAATTCTCTGTCAATTTTCACTCGCTGCTCCTGTAAAATTTGAGAACATTCTATGAAATATAGTTAACAAATACAACCAAGAACACTTGTCATTTATTCCATTTTTTCTTTCACATATCCACCTAGAAAACTTAATAAAATAGCTAGAATATTTTGCTGGATTTTTCTTCCATACAAATTTAGATTTCTAACAAAACCAGTATTACAGAAAGCAAATATTTATTATTACCTTGGAACCAAGTCTTAATAGTCAATACCAACAATAAAACTTTACTTCCTTGCTTTAAATCTTAGGATACACACAAAAAAATTATGAATAGTAGAGGCAATGAGAAAGGGGTAAATAGAAATCTTATCACTGTGAATCATGCAATTCTCAACAGGGCAATAAATAACTTTTTTTTTTTAAAATCAATCTTTATTGTTCATATTATTACAAAGGTTCCTCATTTCTTCCCCCTTCCACCAGGTTCCCACTCCACCCTCTGCCCCTTCCAATAAATAACTTTTTATGTATTGAGAACAGATACATATATATATTTATATATGTATATATATAGAGTACACAATCATACATAAGGCTTATCTATGGTATTAAAATATCACGGGGGAAAGCATAAGAAAAGGTTCCAGATGAAGGTGATAATAAAAAAAGAGTTGAGAAACCCTGCTATGCAAAACACATTTTTCCTTTTAATTATGTAACATATATTTATTACCTATCCCAATAATTAAATCATAAGGTAAAAACAGTGTTTTCTAATAATATATTATAAAATATTATTGCTTATCATTCTTCACCCTGCTGGGAGATGGTTTAGAGAATTAAACTCAAACATAAGCTGCAGTATATTGTTTACTGCATGTCTTTAGGAGTAAGGAAGACAATCTCTACATTACATGCTTTCACAGAAGACAATGCACAACATTACAAAAGTTCATTTCTTTCTACATCAAAAACTATCTCATTTTATTAATCAATGCATGTATTTTAATACTGACCAATCTCAAATCACCTTTTAACTCAAAATTTTTCAGTTCTACCTCAAGCTCACCCTTAAGATTAGATTAAAATTGTATAGTTTCGTTATTAAAATACAAAGACAGTCCTATATTAGATAAAATTGTTCTTATATGCTCTCATTAAATAGACATCCTTTCATAGCTTCTATTCACAATGTCACAGTCTTGATATTAAAATCTAATAAAGAACTTTAAATTTTATTCAAAATCATATAACCATCAGCAATTTTTAAAATTTTGTTTTTTAAATTGATTTTTAGGGGGAGGGAGAGAGAAATATTGATTTTGTTGTTCCACTTACTTATATATTCATTGGTTGATTATTGTATGTGCACTGACTGGGGATGATATGAACACATAAACCCTCAAAGGAAAAATTTATATATGTTCTTTTGATTAAAATGAAAAGTATATAAATTGTCTATAAATCTACACTAACAATGACTTTTGTTGTACATAAAATAGAACATTTGCAAATACTCAAAACTTGGTATTTGTAATCATACCTGTCCATTTGAAATCCTTGTAAAAAGAGTGTTCTTATCTTTCAATTTTAGCTCAAGATCCATAAAAGTCAGTTTATTTGTGCTGACCTGGAATCTGTCATTAGTGAATAATGCACCAGATATTCTATTGTAACACTCGATTGGTGCAAGCCCTCTCTTCTTAGGAGGAGCACACCAGTCAAAGCTTGAATAGAAAAAAAATAGTAGTTAGTAAAAAGATTAGGCTATAAAACAATATAATTTCAGCAAAAATAAAAACTTACTCTTCAACAGATGTATATGGTATTAGACGTCCATTCCAAAAACATTCAAAAATAGGCCTTTTCCCTCTTGCACCTTTCTCAATTATATAACAATCCTCATCATCATCTTCATCTTTTAATTCTAGAACGCAGGAATAAGTGGTACAAGATGTTTATGGCTATCAAGTATATGAAACTTTTAAAAAGTATATGAAACTTCTACCACTGAGAAATCAATTTCTATAAGTAAAATGTTAAAGTTGCTTCAGAAAAATGGTAACAAAAACTCACGCTGTATTCTAGAAAACCAAAAGGTAGCTTTATTCTTAGTTTGTCCTCAGAAAGGAAGATTTCCAAAGTGGTTATATATTACCAATGGAATTTCTCATTTAAAAGCCAAGAATTACTGGTTGGTATGCTCAGTGGTTGAGCGTTGACTTATGAACCAGAATGTCACAGTTTGTTTCCAGTAGGGGCACATGCCCAGGTTGTGGGTTTGATCCCTAGTGTAGAGAATGCAGGGGGCAGCCGACCAATGGTTTTCCCTTATCACTGATGCTTCTCTCTTTCCTTCTCCCCCCTCCCTCTCCCTTCCTCTCTGAAATCAATAAAAATATTTTTAAAATAAATAAAATTAATTACTTATATACTAATCAATGTGTTAGGTGCTACACTAGCTAATAAAATTGCAATTAAAACCTATTTATAAAGCAAAATAATCACACATCCAAAGACACTGTGCTCTAGCAGAATCTCTCTTCCCTAGAAATATAGGAGGATAAATGCTATGCCTAAAACACAAGTTTCAGCCCAGCTGGCGTAGCTCAGTGGTTGAGCGTCAACCTATGAACCAGGAGGTCATGGTTCTATTCCCAGGCAGGACACATGCCTAAGTTGCAGGCTCAATCCCCAGTGTGGGGAGTGGAGGCAGCTGATCAATGATTCTCTCTCATCATTAATGCTTCTAGCTCTCTCTCCTCCCTTCCTTTCAGAAATCAATAAAAATATATTTAAAAAACAACAACAAAAAATACAAGTTTCACAATTTTGTCAGAATCAATATTTTCACCTAAATATTAGCTGGGAAACCTATGGTATCTAGTAGCAACAAGTTTATCTAATTTGGGCAAATTAATCAGTACTACTAAATTTAAATTTAACTTTCATAAACTATTAAATTTGTGAAGATCAGATCCAGGTGATACAGCAAAAATTATGTTACAAACCATCAAACACATATTTAATACAACTATCTATAGCATTTTATGTTTGTTAGCAATACATTTTCATATACCCATTTAAATCAGGATCAAGCATTATAATAGTATATAGCAACATCTCAGTTTTTCTGCATTAATTCAGCCCCACAAATAAGGGCTTCTTCCCACAAAAAAAAAACCATCACAAGGAGTCCCTAAACAAAATTTCCTTTCAGACCAAATTGCTTTGCTCTTAGAGAAATCCTCTAATCATAACTCCATTTATTGGCTCTTACTTTAAGAAATCATTTGAAGAACCTGATCTTCCTATCTACAAGCATACAAATATTAGAAATGGCAAATTAAACAGGGAGTGGAGACATCACAGGAGGTAGAGTCACTGAGTAGTAACATGTATGAACACTGAATAAATAATGTTGGACAAAAAAGCAGCAATTTCTTATTTACCCCTCAAAATACCTCCATGAAGCATGAGACATGTTTTGAAAGGTAACCCCTCTCATCTCACAGATAAGGAAAACTGAGATAGGCAGTAAGTACTTTGTCAAAGTTTACACAACAGAAAGTGGCAGAGATGGCATTCAAATCAGGAAATCTGGTTACAGAACCCACAACACTAAGAACATAGAGGACGTATTCTGAATGAGAAAATTTAATATTTTTAATCTCTGAATTCAATGAAATCTAAATAATCCCACCAGGATTTTTTTTTAAGTGAATGTACAAACAGATTTCAAAGTGTATCTAAAAAAGTAAAAGATTAAGAAATAAGAATTTTGTCAAATTTCCAAAATTTGTCTTGCCCTGCAGATATCAATATATAGTATATAGCTACAAGAAGGTACCATCACTCACATGAAAAATACAAAATAGCCCTAGTCAGTTTGGCTCAGTGGATAGAGCACTGGCCTATGGATTGAAGGGTCCCAAGTTCGATTCTAGTCAAAGGCACATATGCCAAGGTTGTGGACTCGATTATCACAGTATAGGGTATGTAGGAGGCACCCGATCAATGATTCTCTCTCACCACTGATGTTTCCATCTCCTCTCTCCCTCCCCTTTCTCTCAGTAAAAGTATATATAAAAAATAGATCTATAGTAAAGAAACCAGCAGATATATACCCATATAGGAACTTAATATTATAAAAGTGATATTTCAAACTATTTAAAAAATCGTTAATATTCAATATAATTGGTGCTAGGAAACTGAAGGTGTACATGGAAAAGTATTAAAGCCCTACCTTATTCTATACACAAAAAAGGGAGATTAGATTTCAGATACATTACAGATCTAAACATAAAATAATTTTTTAAAACTACAGGATCACTTTATAGTCCTGAGAAGACTTTCTACAGTAAGATAAAATCAGAAAGCATGAAGAAAAAACTAACTACAGAAAGTTTAAAACTCCTTTATAGAGGCCATAGATAATGGGAAAACAATATGGGGGATATATAAAAGATTAATATGCAGTATATAACTAAAAGTTCAGTTCAATAAGAGATCTAAGGTAAAATATGTAATGTTTCTTAAAGCCAGTGCTTTATTAGGTCTAGTAATAATTAATGTCGTTTTCTAATACTTTTTAAAATCGAATTTATTTAAACAATACAACAAAATTTAATCAACAATATAGTTGCCGTTGTTTTCTACTACTTGTGCCCAATGCTCAGGAAGCATTTTAATCCCTCTGTTGTAAAATTCTTGTGATTTTGATGCAAAAAATTCGGTCAATCCATTTTTGAGGCATTCTTCATTATTAAATTTTTTCCAAGAAGAAAGTTTTGCAAAGAACGAAACAAATGGTAATCGGAAGGGGCAATATCAGGAGAATATGCAGGTTGAGGGAGAACTTCCCATTCCAACTGGCACAGTTTTTCAGCAGTGATTCTTGCAGTATGCGGTCGTGCGTTATCGTGGTGAAGAATTACGCCCTTCCGATTAATCAGCGCGGGTTCTTTTTCTCTTAAAGCTTGGGCTAACCTTTTCAATTGGGCACTATACACTGCACTTGTAATGGTTTGGTTAGATGGTAAAAGTTCATAATGAAGAATTCCTTTAAAATTCCACCAAACACACAACATCACTTTTTTCGCATGCAAGTCAGGTTTTGGCGTGGGCTGCGGAGCCTCATTTTTGTCCAACCATTGAGGCCGCCTTTTCACATTAACATACAGCACCCATTTTTCATCTCCTGTAACAATTTGCTCTATAAACGGCAAACGGTTTTGACGAGAGAGGAGCGAACTGCAAATTGTGACTCTTTGATTACGGTTGTTGTCGGTCAACTCATGAGGAACCCATTTTCCAAACTTTTGGACTTTGCCAAGTGCACGCAATTGATTAGAAATTGTTTTTGTGAACAATTTAAAGTTGTCGCAAGCTCTTGTTGGGTAATTTGAGGATTTTGCACCAAAAGAGCTTGAAGAGCTTCTTGATCAAAATTGGACACACGGCCTCGACCACTCTTGTCATCTAACGAAAAATTTCCCTCGCGAAATTTCTCAAACCAACGCTGGCATTTTCTGGCGCTAACTGCATCTTGACCAAGAGCACTACAGATGTTTTTTGCAGCCTCACTTGCTTTTCTTCCTAATTGGAACTCGTAAAGCATGCAGTACCGAATATGCTCTTCATCCGCCATCTTCTTAGCCCTAGTTTTGCAACAAAAACCAAACCAAACACAAACTTTTTCAAGCAAAACTTGTTAATTGCACTTCACACATTCTGTAGATACCACGTATTTGAAGGTTATGTCAATACAAGTCAACGCCAAGCAAGATTTTAAACGAATTTAAAAACGACATTAATTATTACTAGACCCGATATTCATCTAAAAGTGAATATACTCAAAAGTGAAGACTTATATAAATTATAAATACGTAACATCTTTAAAAGATTTGCGTAAGGAAAAAGGTTATAATATTTATCTAGCCTTTATAGCCCAATTAACAATAATCATGAAAAGAAACAATCACTATCCTAAATCACTACACATTTTGTAGCTAAGACAACAGTTTAACATACTTGATGGAAAGCATGGATCATCAGGGTAAGTTTCTCTATCATATAAGAAAGGGTGATATCGGATAATCCCTTCCACTACACCGTCTCCTTCAACGTGAGCTTTGAACTCAAAACTATCAGTTGCTGTGTTTATATACAACGTCTGCATGTCATCTTGTATTTCCCTTAGGTTGACAATCTTAGGTGCCTTCCCTTTTTCAAACATAGAAATCTAAAATAAAAATAAAACAAAAATAATTAAATTCTATGGTGACTTTTGTTCTCAGCTATGATCCAACAAAGGAATAGGCAAATACTACCTTTATTTGTACAAGTAATAATTTAGCTGAATGAAATAGCTTACATGATTTAAATAGCTATAAGTAGCATATTAGTAAAAAATGTACTACTAAAAAATAGAAAGCAAAAAAAAAAAAAAAAGAGCAAAGCAAAGCTGAAAAACAGGTAAGTCATGAGCACATTTATCAAGTGTCTTGCTAGAGGTAGGAAGTGGGACAATGATGTACATGAAATTCTAACAGAACCCAACACTCAAATGTTTTATCGTTCTAAATCTTACTTCACCATCATAAGACTTCTAGAACCAAAGGGAAAACACGTCCCGTTTTCCTCTCTGCTCTAAGAAACAATATTCAGTAACAACTCATATCTCTATAAAAGACAGACAAAAAAGAAACTAAAAACAAAGATTCCAGAAAAACACATCTCTAAGAATACCTCTTTGTTTGGACATCAAAATACCAAAATACTTTAGTAAAAAAAGAGAGAAGTTGTTTCTGTATTGTCTCATTTTTCTTAGCCAGAGTCACCTGAACTGGAACAGATATCTAATCATTCATAATAGTTGAAAAAGGAAAATTATCTTACTTCAATATCAATGTTGTTGAAAGGTCCAACTTCTTTTGATGTATGTTTTTCATTTCCTTTTGGGCCATGAATATAGTAATGATAAATATGCCTAAAATACAGAAAAATAACTTCATACTTTTGATTCACATAAAATTATAGTTCATATGTTCTTCTACCAAAAAAATCTATAACTACTAATAGCAGTACCTAATAGACACTATATCAAGCTTTTTAAAACATATATCCCATTTAATGATTAAAAAGATCCTGAGATACAGCTATTATTATACCTCATTTTACTAGAATACATACAGAAATTGGGGTATTTATATAATTTACCTAAGGTCATATAATCTAAGAGTTTGGAAAAGTGGAGGCTTCAATCCGGGCCTTTCCTACTTCAAAGTTCACATACTTTATATTTCCAAGAAATGTAATTCAAAAAAACACTAGAAGGCAAGAGGCTATACTTCTACTTGTCAGGAATGTCAAAAATTAAAATATCAAGGAGTATATAGGATTGGATATGTTTAAGATATCTGTGCAAAATGAGCACATTGTTTTATAACACTCATAGTTCCTCTCCTATAGTAGTGAAAAATCTTATTCTAATATTCCCAAACAAAAAAATCACTAATGCATTCAATTTTATTTCATTAAAAAGTCACTTTATTTTTAAACCACTACTTTATTTTAAAGTAAAGGTTAAAAATAACTACATTTTGGTGACATTTTTTTCAGGGCTAAAACATACCAAATCTAATTATTCTTTAAACAGGAAGTTGCAATCTTCCTTCATATAAATTTTAATTTAAAAAAAGAATTAATTATCCTAGCTGTTTAAAATACTATGTAATAAAAGAAAAATCACTAAAAATTGTGAGATATTTCTTCAGACATATCAAAAGCGTTAGCATTATAATCAAAGGTAAATTACAACCATTCATTAAGAGTTATTTTTTGTTAGTGTAGGTGTATGTACTAATTATATGTTTTATATAAACACACAGACTTTTTTCATATTAATAGACATTGCATTCATTTGATAAACACAGAATATCTACTATGTAACAGGACACACTGGGTAAAAAGCAGCGCATAAAAAAAAGACATTCCAATAGAAAGCAAACAAAAAAATAAGTAAAATATATGGCATGGAACATTATGACAGATCCTTAAGAGAAGCACAAAAGGAACCTGTGGGAATGATGACACTGAATTTGATAAATTCTGGCTTATTTTTATCAAAGATTTTATAATGCCTGTGCTTCAAATATCAACCAATACATTACAGGTGACCAATAAATATTTACAGAATAGGGAACAATTTTAATGCTGACATCAGAGTACTAGTTACTATACTAAAAGGAAGAAAATGGGATAGGAGCAAAACAGATAGCCAAGAAGCTTCAATGTACTTGCAATATTTTCATTCTTAAAAATGGTAAGTAGAAACATGTCCTCAACCAAATATAAATACTTACGCTAACTGTCTTGTCCAAAGATGGAAATAATTTTTCAAGTACAGGATATGTTCTGGTTGTACTCCTGTGATAACCACAGCAGTAAAGCTTTTTTTTTCCTTCTCCTCTGAGATAAGACAATGTAGAAATCTTTCATCATCATTTGTAATGTGAACAGAGTCAGATGGCTGCAGAATGAATACAAATAAAACAGATTACACACAGCTTAGTTGTAATTATAGGAGTAATATTTTGTTATTCACTTGGATAGCATCAAATAAGGTGAGGACAGAGAAACTTTTATACAGACTGCTAATCTGGCAAACATAAAGAACTATCCTACCATAATGCCTAACCAATTTTAGAATCATGAAGAAAAGGGTAAAAAAAAAAAGAAATACTGCCAAAACCGGTCTGGCTCAGTGGATAGAACGTCAGCCTACGGACTGGGGAGTCCCAGGGTTCAATTTCGGTCAGGGGCATGTACCTTGGTTGCGGGCACATCCCTTGTAGGGAGTGTGCAAGAGGCAGCTAATGGATGATTCTCTCTCATCGATGTTTCTAACTTTCTATCCCTCTCTCTTCCTCTCTGTAAAAAAATCAATAAAATATATTTAAAAAACAAAAGAAATACTGAATTTTAAAATGCTGGGAAAAATTAAGGACACTTATTCTAGAATGGAATGAGGCCTTGCTTGAGATACCTACTACTTAATTTAGTCAAAAGCAATGCCCAGTCCTCCATTAGAATGGGCAATAAACCTAAATAGATACTTTTCAAAAGAAGACATACAGAAGGTCCAGAGACATATGAAAACATGCTCAAAGTCACTCATCATCCAAGAAATGCAAATCAAAACCACAACAATGTACCATCTCACACCTGTCAGAATGGCTATCATCAACAAATCAACAAATAACAAGTGCTGGCGAGGATACAGAGAACTGCTAGTGGGAATGCAGCCTGGTGCAACCACTGTGGAGAACAGTATGGAGTTTTCTCAAAAAACTAAAAATAGAACTCCCATTTGACCCAGTGGTCCCACTTCTAGGAATATATCTCAAGAAATTAGCAACACCAATCAGAATAGATATATGCGCCTCAGTGGTCATAGCAGCACAATTTACAATAGTCAAGATTTGGAAATAGCCTAAGTGCCCATCAGCAGATGACTGGATAAGAAAACCATGGTAGATCTACACAATGGAATACTCTGCTGTTGTAAAAAGGAAGGAACTCCTACCATTTGCAACAGCTTGGATGGAGCTGGAGAGCATTATGCTAAGTGAAATAAGCCAGTCAGAGAAAGATAAATACACATGATCTCACTCATTTGTGGAATATGATGAACAACATAAACTGAACAAAAACAGATCCAGAGACAGTGAAGCATCGATCAGACCATCAAACCTCAGAGGGAAGGCAGGAGAAGGAGGGAGTAAGGGGGAGAGATCAACCAAAGTACTTGTATGCATGCATATAAGCATAACCAATGGACACAGACACCAGGGGCAGGGTGTGTGTGTGAAGGCATGAGCGGCAGGGGGGGTAAGGGGAGCGGGATGGGGAGCAATGAGGGGATAAGGACACATATATAATTCCTTAATCAATAAAGAAAAAGAAAACTAGGATGCAGTCTGAATTCAGATGGCTTAGTACAAAGGCACTTGTGTAATAAAATCATCCTGGCCTCAGTCCACTTTCAGAGAATATCTACAGCTTGCAGAATGGAAATGGGAAGAAGGGCTTGGGGTGGGAGGGTGTTTGAAGATAAATGTTATAAACTTCTTAACTTTTACTATGAATCTATGTGTTAAAAATTGCATATATATATACATATATATATATATATATACACACACTATGTATGTTGCCACATACTAAAAACTTATAAAGATAGATACTGAACTATTATGTCTAGGAAAATGACTTATTTTTTTGGTTTAATAAGCATGTATTATTACTTTCTTAATAAAACAAACCCTGCAACACCATTTAACCATCCTTTATACTAAATCATTAATATTATAGCTACAATGTATAATATAGAATATTTTTATACACTTATGAGAGTTAGAATAGTTTAGGTTTACTAATTATGTAGGTTAATTATCCCAATATTTATCTAGTACCATCCAAATCCTACCTATGAGTCCACTTAGATACAAGGAGATACCCGAGTTCAAGATAAATGAAAGTGCCCTTCCTCCTTACAAATTCCATCTAGTAAGAGGTGAGAAATAAATGATTACAAAACAATGTGCCATTATAAAGATATGAACCAAGAACTCAGAATTAAGTCACCCAATAGACAGCTCAATAAGAACATTCCAGACCAAAGAGAACATGAAGGATTGGAGAGTATAAGGGAAACACACTAGTTTAAAATTATTAAAGATTAAGTTGGAAATGCTGAATCAAGCAGTAGAAATGTGTGAAAGAGAGGGTAAACTATTTTAAAAGACAGAATTAAATGTGAATGATTAACAATTACTAAAGACTGGTCAGGGGATGCTGTTAATTAAAAAGGGTAGTTATGAGAAGAAAAGGAGACAATATGAAAGGTTAGGATAATGTTTGATATCAGATGTATCACAAGTAAGTTACTTATGGAACCCTAGGAGAAGAAAATCCATTTGAAATCGGAAACAAGTATAACAGATGGTACTCAGCAACCCATTTACACCACCTTTTTCTTTCCCTCCTGGCTATAGATAATAGAAAACCCAAAATCACATTTCTAAGACTCCCTTACATTTTGGGTTGTGGGTGCAAATTGGGTTTTACCTAATTAGAAGCACTAGCCAAAGATTTTGAAGAGGAAAAGAAACAGCAGCCATTTCTTGAGGATTTCTGAAGGTTTTCTGTAATGATGAAAGATACTAAAAATACCATTATCTTGGTTCCAGCTTTAAGTGAAAGCATTGATACAGCACTGATTATGCCAGACATTCTGTATTCCAGCGTTGGAACAATTGTGACAGCGAGGCTTTTCCAACTTACAGGTAAGGCAGTGTATTTCTGAATTCCAGATCCAGGTCCTCCAGCCACGTGATTATAACCTATGTTGCAGCATCCCTTGCAGGTCAACTTGGACAGTCTTAGAATCATTCCACAAGGTTTAACCTAGAGTTCATCCCTTCCAATAATCATGAAAGTATCTAGATTCCTTTACTAAATCCTTTTCCCTTTAAAGTGCTTGGAATAGTTTGCCTCATTCACAGAGAGTTCAACCTGATTCAGTGTCTCAATCTTAACAGTCACTTAACAAAAAATAGATTTGAGAACTGTTGATATTAAGTGACGTGCACACACACACACACACACACAAAAGCAAGACCATTGGTTATATAAGTAGAGATCAAGAACCACAATTCCAATCTCCAATATCAACAGGCAACTCATACAACTTAATAAAAGGAAGATAAATGATCCAATAAAAAAATGGGGAATGGACCTAAATATTAATAGAATCTTTTCGAAAGAAGACAGAAGGCCAATAGACACATCCTCAAAGTCACTAATTATCTGAGAGATGCAAATCAAAATGACAATGCAGTACCATCTCACACCTGTCAGAATGGCTATCATCAAGTCAACAAACAAGTGTTGGCGAGGATGCAGAGAAAAAGGAACTCTCATGCACTTCTGGTGGAAATGCAGACTGGTGCAGCCACTGTGGAGAACAGTATGAAGTTTCCTCAAAAAACTAAAAATGGATCTCCCATTTGACCCAATGATCCCACTTCTAGGAATATATCCTAAGAAATTAGAAACACCAATCAGAAAGGATATATGCACCTCTGTGTTCATAGCAGCACAATTTACAATAGTCAAGATTTGGAAACAGCCTAGGTTCCCGTCAGCAGATGACTGGATAAGAAAACTATGGCAGATCTACACAATGGAATACTATGCTGCCATAAAAAGAAGGAATTCTTACCATTTGCAGCAACCTCGATAGAACTGGAGAGCATTACGCTAAGTGAAATAAGCCAGTCAATGAGAGAAAAATACCACATGATCTCACTCATTTGTGGATAATAAAGAACATTATAAACTGATGAACAAAAAGATAGATACAGAGGCAGTAAAGCATCAAACAGACTGTCATATTACAGCGGGAAGGTTAGGGAAGGTGGGGGAAATAAGAGATCAACCGAAGTACTTGTATGCATGCATATAAGCATAATCAATGGATGCAAAACACTGGAGGGTGAGTGCATGTATGGGAGTTGAGGAGGAGGGGGGTCATTGGTAAGATATGTACATATATATTATAATACCTTAATTTAAAAAATGAAAGAAAAAAAAAGAACCACAACCCCAAACATTTTAGCAAATGTGAACAGGTCAGGGATATAAGAGGAGTTGGGGGAGAGGGAAAAGAGTATGTTAAATAGAACAAGTCAGGAAATAAAAAAAATCAAGGATCCATTAGTATCCATGAAATGTTTGTGGGGATGAACAAAGTACAAGATACAGGAAAAACTGTCAGAAAGGATGACCCAAGAGACCTCAGCATACAGGTTTGAAAATCACTTGTAGAAATGATAAAATGAAATACTACTATGCAAATACAATAAGATATATAAACTGTTAATTCAAAAGGAAAAAGGAAATAAAGAAATTTCCTGGACAAAGACGAATGTTAAGCTATAGAAAAAAGTAAAAGTAGCCAATAAACATGAAAAAATTTTCAGCTCAGTAGTAATTAAAGAAAAGGTATTATTTTTACCTATCAAATTGTCAACATTTTGCTGCCCTCCCCTCTTTCAAAATAAGAAAATGATCAAATAGATACTTCTATATACTGTTGTTGGGAGTATATTTGATTTGGGCTCAACCTTTCAGAAAAGTTGTTTTATAATATATATTATAAAGATTCATAAAGTTCATAGTGTATCACAGCTGTTAAAATTCTAACCATCTATACTAAGAAAAATTATAATTCAGGCAAAATATTAAGCAAAGATATTCACAGCATTATCTTTATAATTATATAAATCAAAATAAATTATATGTGATTATATATATATTCAAAATAATAGTTAAGATATAGTACATTCAGTTCAAGAAATACCATGAAGCTATTTAAAGTGTGTTTAATTTAAAAAAAATTTTTAAAAATGTGGTTCAAACTATAAGTATGTAATAAAGAAGTCAGTCTAGAAGAAAATTCAACTAAACATTAAGTACCTTTTTCTGGCATTTGAGACTTTTAACTTCTTTATTATTTTCTTTAAATTTTTTATATAGTTTTAGAATTAAACAATTCTTAAAAACCTCAAAATTACTTTAAAATAAAGATTTTAAAATTAAAAATTCTAAAGTGTTTTGAATGAAGAAAAACTGAATATAATAAATTTCACATACATGATCAAGATGCAAGTTTATTAACATTCTGCTTATTAAAATGAGAATTTGAAAGCAAATTTCTAACAGAAATGAACCGCTCATTACTTTCTCTAAAGCTCTGATTTTCTAAAAGTCTATTCTTTTATCCCTGTTTTCCATTCTAGTTCTATGATTATACAACAAAGATTTAAAAACTCAAAGTCAGTGCAAGGAAAAAAGTTTACAATCTTATGAGCACTTTCCAGGAGGCTTACTCAGCTTTACAAAAAATAATTTGTTGTCTAAAGAATTCCAGCCTGAGAAAACATATAAATGATCACTTTTGCCATTCACATGATTAAAGAAAAAAGAATAAAATTAACTTATTTTGAAAACTCCATACTTTCAAGATTTTTAAAGCAACATTAATATCTTAGAATTAGAAAAAATATTCTTGTCCTATCACCCATACAAAGTAATACATTTCCAATTAATGAGTTAAAATGTAGTGTACCTTTCTGTTTCTAATAAATCCACTATATATTGACTCATTATTTTTCTCCTTCTTCTCAAAATCTTCTTTAGAAATCAGAAGCTCGTGAACATCTTGGGAATCTGCAGGTTTGCTTATCATCTGTTAAATATTAAGAAGAATACTTTAAAAATTCCTAAAAGTTAAACTGATTAAAATATTTAGAGTCAACCTCAAAATAGCCTGATCAACTTTCATTTACAAAACATTTTTTACTCACTCTGGCTGATTGTCCAACAAAGAAAACAGCCTGCTTGCCTCCAACACCAAAATAGGAAATATCACTATTTAAACTGCGTGGCACTGGTACTGGTCGAACATATCCTGAATGATCACTAAAATAAAATATTAAATTAATGCAGTGATATTAAAGCAGTTATTTAGGCACAAAAAGAAGCTGTCACAGCACTTTTATTGTTAATAAAATGATCCCCAAGTCAAGTGATACCCTATTCAAAGATAAAAGAATCAGAGCTAGAAATTGAGACATCATCTAGTCTACAGAGAGAGGAGCGTGTGGGGACATCCATGTGTGAGAAAAAACATAATCTCCTACATGCGCTCCGGCTAGGGGGTCCAACCTGCAATCCAGGCACTTTCCCTGACCGGAAATTGAACTGGCAACCCCTTGGTGCACAGGATGACACTCAACCAACTGAGCCACTCTGGTCCGGAGGATATATACATTTATTTTAATTAAGAAAATAGAAAAGCAATTCAATGTAGTAGTTAACTTTGGTGGGGGGAAAATAGAATAAGAGAGGAACACACAGATATAAGTTATAATGAATATTCTACTTATTGTACTAGGTGGTAGATTATAGTTATTCAACTTATTAAGTTTTATAATATAGACTTTAAAACAGGACTGAATTAATAAGCTGTTATAAATCAAGAATTATGATTAATCAAATTTTATGAACCTAATGTTTATTAAGAAAAATAAAAGGAGTAAATAGGTTCTACTACTTTAGTTACTATGGCAACACTTCTAGGAATAGGTTGAAAATACCCTCCCCTAAATATTCTCCTTAAAATAGATATAAGGAAGTATATAAAAGTTTAGGAAGGGGAGAGCTCAGAAGTAAAACAATAATACATACTTAATCTGATTCAAAACTAAGAAACTCTGTTCTGATTAAGAATTACCCAGTCATAAGTTTCCTTTTTTAATCAAACCATCCATGCAAACCAAACCTAGGAAAATCAATGTATCACAGCAAATAAGGCTGAAAACAAAAAGTTCTAGTAGGTTTCAAACTTGTGTGCATACAAAAAAATTCCTGTATCCACACTAAAGGGCTATATATAATAAATATCACTTCACGAAGTAGGAAAAAAAGTAATCTAATAACTTATGAAACAATTTTGCATCACAGAAGCAGTCCTCTGGAGAATTTAGAAAGTCACCTTTCTCAGGAATAAATTTGTATCACAGTCCATAAGGATTTCAGAAATTATCTCATTTATATTCTTATACAATATAAGCAGGTATTATATCTTTGTCAAGTAAGAGTATTTGATTTATTAGAAGAGAGAAAAGCAAAACCCACATTGAAAGAAGTAATAAAAAGGAACAAAAGAAATGATCAAATTAGTAACAGAAACTAAAAGCAATCTAAGTGACTTCCAGGAATTATGGTAGAATGACTACGTATGTGCGAGTTTATTTCTCACTATTGAAAACAACTAAATTAAAATAGGATGCCAGAAAGTTACACACTATTTCTTTAAATTCAAGTGAATAAATATATGTCAAAAAGTAAGTGAAACTCATCTTAATATGCAGAAAATACTGAAGACAAAGGAGCTTTTTCTTTAGAAAAATTAGGGGGAAATCCTGTTGAGAGATAATTTCTGCAACCTAAAAGTGGCATGGGAAATTATCATGTAGCATGACCCATTTTTATTTTCCCAAAAATGGTTCCTTAAGTTGAGGAAACCTATTAATTTCTTATATTTTATTGATTTTTTTTACAGAGAGTAAGGGAGAGAGATAGTTAGAAACATCGTTGAGTCATCGATCAGCTGCCTCTTGCACGCCCCCTACTGGGGATGTGCCCGCAACCAAGGCACATGCCCTTGACCGGAATCAAACCCGGTAGGTACCCTTTAGTCCATAGGCTGACACTCTATCCACTGAGCCAAACCGGTTTCAGTGAACCTATTAATTTCTGAACAAGGTGAAAGTGCAGAAATTAGCACTGATCCAACACATACTTGATTATAGTCACCCAGAAGACCTCACTAATTTTAACCTTTCTTCCAGAAAATAATTAAACGAACACATAATATAACTATGTTCTAGCTATCTAATTTAATTTCCAAGACAATGATCATAATAGTGCCCAAGTCATGAGAAAATTTTCTAGATTCATGTAATGTGCTATATCTTAATAGTGGTTTTGGAGTACATCGTATTATGTATCAAAATTGGGTTAGTAGGGTAAAAACTTCTAAAATGGACCTATGAAAATCTACTCATTGATAAAAGCAATAAAAGACTCAAATCAAAATCAACTTTTTCAGAACTCTAAAAATTAATCAAAGTCTTGCAACAATTGAAAATATTTTTGTTCAAGACACATGGCTGAATTTTGGTAAGACAGCTGTATGCCCTATCCCATTCCCCTCTCACCAGCTCCACAGAAGTCTTGAAAAAGGACAGCCCTGCTATCATAGTGAAAACCGGTGGCTTAGGAATCACTAGAATAAGTTTGGAGCTCTCTATACAATGGTCATTATTCGATCTGAAAGTTCTCCAGAAACCTCCACTCAGGATTTGTCTTTTTGTGACATAAGTCAGAACTTGCTCACTGTGAACAGCTTTTTCCTTGGGTCACTTGTCAAAAACAATCAGTGGCAATAGTTGAGCATCACAGCTGACTAAAGCAATGAAAACAATTGGGAGAAAACAAGAATTTGGCCAAAAACTTACAAGGAAAAGCTAGGGAATGAGAAGTTAATATGGTATTTAAAAGCACCAACATATTCATGAGAATTGAGATCACAATCGTGTGCGGGGCTGTCCATATACAGCTTAAGAAAGAATTGAGAAGGCCAAACTCTCATTTCTGGTTGACTTTGAGGTCCTGTGTAAGAAAGAAGTAAATGCTAAGAAAGAGTTGTAAGTTTCCTGCTGGAACACTAAAAATATAGACCAATGTGCACACAGAAACCCTTTGCAAAGCTGGGATACTTCTGGTTCAACACATTTAAGGACATCACTAGGTTAACCATTAAGCTAGCAGAGCCTTCAGTGGCAACACAAGATAAAGAATTCAGATTTTACATAATTAGTTTAGGGAAGTCACTACACAACCATCAATCACACACATACACACACACACACACACACACACACACACACACACACACACACAAGGCAACAACATCAAACAAACAAAAAAACAGAAGCAACAACAATCCCTGTGAAGAAAAATAAATCTGACTTCCAGAGTTACCCACATTACATTATTAAAATGTCCTGTTCTCGACAAAAAAATGAGTGACACACCTAGAAATATTAAAATATGGTCCCCTCACAGAAAAACAAATTGTCGGTAGAAACCATGCCAGGGGAAGAACAAGTTTGGACTTACTACACAAAGATTTAAGTCAACTATTTTAAATACATTCAAGGAAATAACAGAAATCATGTCTAATGAAGTATGAGAACAGTGTTTCACCAAATAGAGAATAACAGAGAGAAATTATTTAAAAAGAACCAAACAGAAATTTTGAAATTGAAAAGAACAATAATTGAAATGAAAAAGTCAGTTAATGAGCAAATATGAATTGGCAGAAGAATTAGTAAACTTAAAAGGCAGATTGAGATTATTCAATCTGAAGATCAAACAAAAAAATAGAAGTAAATGAACAAAGCCTCAAAAACTGATAGTCACCATCAAGCTTATCAATATATGGATAACAGAAGTCATAGAAAGAGGAGAGAATATATGAAGAAATAATGGCCAAATTTGATGAAAACATTAATCTATACATCCAAGAAGCTCAGAAACACAAAATAGGATTAAATGAAAAACACCCAAACCTAGACACATCAGAATCAAACAGTCAAAAGCCAGAAAAAAAGACAGAATCTTTAAAGCAGTAGAGATTAGTCACATACAAAGAATGCTTGGTGAGGTTAACAGCTGATCCTTCATCAGAAACTATGGAGTCACTCAGTCAGGAAGCAATACTATATGCCAGATAGTCACTTGGTCTTCACAAAACCTTATGAAGTATTATGCCCATTTTACAGGTATGTAAACTGAGACAAAGAGAAATAAAGTACCTTGATCAACATTAGACTAGAATTCAAACCAGGCTAAAAGATTTTAAACCCTTCTTCTTCATTATATTGCCTCTCACCATGACACTATAAGTCTACAAATTTGATAAAGATTGTACAGGTGCTAAAATTTCAGAAATGAGAAGACAAAGGTGTTAATGACATTAATTTTTAATACATTATTGAGATTAATCCTTCAATTTGGGTGACTTGCCTTTACATAAGAAATACCAAAACAGGACATGAACAAATACTAACTACTTAATAAGAATACCAATAGATCTTCCCAAGTATGTTTCCTAAAGTATACAACATAGCTTAAAATATCAAAAGACTTGTTGATCAGTGGTTACTAGAATTGGAGTTAATATCCCAAGAACATAATCATTATATTCCTGACAGTTTTTAGTATATTTTGTTTCCTCTACAACTTTTTATTCAGGATATTTTTTACGAACACATTCTGATGTAAACTCCTGACTAGATTATATTTTCTAACAGTTGTAAATGTTTTATAACGCAGATCCCCAAAAGTAGAATAAGACACATAAATAGAGTAACAGAGCTCAACTGAACTAAGTGCATTAGACATCTTTAAGTGGTATTAGTGATTTCTAATGCCTATTTTAAAACCATTCTATCCTCTAGAGACTACGCAACTTCCATCAAACTTACTAAGAAAAAAGGGAAATGAGTCAAAGTACTCAACATAACTCTTACATACTTCAGAAAATGCAAAAACAATTGTTCAATGAATGGGCACAATGTGATTTATAGTAGTTTTGACAACTTCTAAATTTTGATCATAAAATTTCTATAATATAAAAGTCTAAGTAAATATGTTAATAACATCAAAACCTCCAATGTATCATGTATAATAAAGAAATATGAGTTCTTGTCTTTATTAAAATACCCAGCTCCCATAAAAAAGTGAGTAATGTTTTCTAACCTTTCAAAATCTCCTTGCCTTGTAAACTTGGACAATCTATACACAGCCCAGTTATTAAGCTGTTTAGAGGTCATTCCTCTTCCGTTATCTATCACTGCGACAGCAGGTTTTCCTTGTGTTTCATCAAAATGCTATAAAGTTCAAAAAGACAGAGTCAAATCAATATTAAAAACATGAAACGTAAAATATAGAAAAATGATCCAATGGGCTCACTCATACATTTCTGGTGGAATTTTAAATTAATACAACTTTCTTAAAGGCACTTCAGCTGTATAAATAAAAAATCTGAGAATTCTGCATGTCCTTGAATCCAGAAATTTCATTTCTTAAATTTACCTTGACGAATTAATCAAGATGCAAAGACAGACCTTTAAGAATGTTTATCATGTCAGCATTGCTTACAGTGGCTAAAATACAGAAAAAAATCCAAATGCACAATAATAGTAGGTTGACTAATATTATATTTATATTATACTAGAGGCCCAGTGCATGAAATTCATGCATGGTTAGGGTCCCTAGTGGCTACTGGCCGGGGCCTTCCTTTGTTCTGCGCCCTGATGGTCCCCACATGGGTAGTCTGCACACATCCTCATGATGGATCTAACTCCCAGTCAGTTGAACTCCCAACGGACACTTCACATATCAGACTTTTATATATAGATATTTTTATTATAATTTATATCATAGCCAATAAACCAACCTGCATCAAGGGTATATTATATTGCAAACATTCATGATATGGCATTGTACTTACTGTGGAGGGAAAGATCATAAAAAACAAAATGTACACTATAATCACACATATGCACAGAAAAAAGGGCAAGTGAAAAATATTAACAATAGATGAAGAGATATCAGATCATTATTTCTTTTAATTTATTTTTTTACTTCCCCCCAATTAACTTGTACTACTTTTATAAAAGGAAAAGCTAAATTATTTAATAGTATTGTTTTCTTACCAATTTGATCTGTATTTTTCTAATCCCAGTGTTACGAGAAGTAGCAGACAACGAATTGTCAATTAACTCTGCAAGAGCAAATGCTGGAAAAGATGAGAAAACATTATTACTTTAATTTTCCTTTTCAAATACTTCACATAAAATTTCACATTAGAAATTCTGAAGTACCATAAGCCATCACTTCTATTTTCAAAATAACTAGAATTAAAGTATTATCCTGATCCTGATGATGCAATATATAATCAAAGGCATCATCACCAATCACCACCAGCATAAAAAAGCAGTCATCACCCAATACTGTATAGTGTTATATGGCAAGTCTCAGCCAACCATCATTCCTGATGTCAGAGTTTATAATCAACAGACAGACATATAGGCATAAGAGACAGAAGACTTTTACAATAAAAACCCAATATAAGAACTCTATAGTATGTAATCACATAATCAAAAAGTCTAAAGTACATACAAAGATATGAAGGCCAATACAAAGCAACTCTAAAAGCGCGCGCGCGCGCGTGTGTGTTAATAGCTAATTTAGATATAGAAATCTTATGACAGCAACTTGTCAAGCAGCAGAACATGTCTGGTTAACTGACACAGAACTGCTATTGATTTTCTACTACACAACCAAATGGATGTTTCATGTATCCCAGGCTCTGCTTTGTTCCAAATATTCTTTCTTCAAGGTCACTAGTTAAATCATTTCTCACTTTTATTCCCTTTACTAGAGGCCCAGTGCACGGAAACTCATGCACTCGGGAGATCCTTCAGCCTGGCCTGCACCCTCTCACAATCCAGGACCCCTCAGGTAGGGTTTCTAGGCCTGGCCCATGATCAGGGCCTATTGGGGATTTCTTTATACTAGCTGCCGGCAGCTGGCTCTACCCACGCCGCTGCCATTGCTGGCCATGTGTGCAGTGCTACCCCGCGCTCCCTGCCACTGGTAGCATCCCTCTGCAGGCAACAGGCATGAGGTGTAATGGCTTGGTTGGCCTGGGCCTCCCTCTTTCTTTGCTGGGGGGCAGGGTCAGCCCTGCCAAGGGCCGTCTGCCTATCTGATTGTCCCTAACTGCTCACCTGCCTACCTGATCACCCTTAACCACCTGCCCATCTGATCACCCCTAAATGTTTTCTGGAGGGCATGTCCAGCCCTGTGAGGGGCCGTCTGCCTACCTGATCACTCCTAACCATTGTGCTTGTCAGCCTGATTGCTCTTAACTGCTTGCTTGATGGCAGAGCCATCCTGGTGATGGGCCGTCTGCCTACCTGATTGCCCCTAACCACTGGCCTGCCTATCACCCCTAACCACTTGCTGCCTACCTAATTACCCTTGGGATCACCAAGTGAAAAAATTAAGAGTAGATAATGAGACTAAGGGCTAAGCCCTGAGGCACTGACTTCAACATTAAAAAGGTGGGGAGATGTGTCAATTATACCTCAAAAATTTAGAAGAAAAAAAAAGGTATGGAAAGAGAAGAGAGAAGGCAGTCAGTGGTAGAAAGAAAACAGAGTGTGATCTCTCGAAAGCCAAGTGAAAATTATATCAAAGAGGAAGAAGTGATAAACTATGTCAAATAATGCCTTCAGTTAAATGAGAGCTGAAAATTGATCACTGGATTTAGTGTCTGGTAACCTTAAAAGAGTAAGTTCAGGATCGTGAATAGAAGAGAATGGGAGGAGAGATATGGTTAATAGTGAAGACAGTCAACTCCTTTGAGAAGTGTTATTATAAACAGGAGCAAAAATCTGGGCAATGGCTGGAGGAATAAGATTATGATGTTTTTAAGATTTGAGAAATAAGAGCATTTTTTTGTATGAAAGGAACAATGTCAGAGATAATATTAGTTGCACATAAGGTAAGGATGTGCACAATGATTTAGTCATAAGAATATTTTTTTTCTTGTAATTTAAAAGTGAAATAACCCAAATGTCTAATAATAGAACACTGTTCAGAATATTGTTATCTAGTGTTTAACCACTAAAAACAAATACATATGGACATATTAAAGATGTTCATTTTATTTGAAACAAAAAAAGTAGATTAAAATAGCATGCATTATATAAAACCACTAAAATAGAAAAAAACCAACAACATGAAAAGATCTGAAGCTATACACACCAAAGTGTTGGTGGTAGTTATATCTGGGTAGTAAAGCTATGGATATTCTTTAAGTTCTTTTTTCTTATATATGTTTTCTAATTTCCTATAAACTATAATGTACATACAGTAAAACTATTTTCAATTAGAAAGTTCATAACGAACATATAAGTAGTATTAAACACTTTAGCAGGGTCCAAAATAAAAAATTCTCTAAGTTAACTAATTTGTAAAGCTTATTAGCAAACAATCCAAAGGTAGGATAAAAACTTGCAAGTGATAAAGGTGAAAGGAAATAATAAAGAAATGAAATAACAAGACAAACCATTTATTCATGCAATTCAACTACACAAATTGGCAAGACAAAACAATTGAGAAGTATATAGGAGGAGGAAGAATCAATTAGAGAAGCGAGTATACATGAGATAGAACAGTAGTTCCAAACTTTTTTTTTTTTACCATGCCCCACCTAAGCATTTCTAAAATCCTGATGCCCCCTGCTGTGTGGTATATAATTCTTACTATTTAAAAAGTGAACTCATATTCAAAGGCCATTACGTTGGTCTAAACAAGCTTTCAAAGAATATAACATCCATGAACTAGAAAAATAAAAGAATGAAAGGGCAGTTGAAGTACTGAGGAAGAAATCACTAAGAAATTAGTAAAAAAAAAATAATAATAATAATATGGATATGAAAAAAAACACAGCAAATATAGGTTCAAAACATAAAATACAGAACTGACATGCATAAACATGTCACAATATATATTTATATACTATACATGAGGCCCCTCGAACAAAACATTCACTGGTAACTCATTCTCAAATTGCCCCGCTTAAAAATCAAATTGCCCCCTTATGGGGCGTGTGCCCCACGTTGGGAACCACTGAGCTAGAAGAATGTGTAGAAACAAGATCTCTTATGAGCTGAGATGGAATGAATTCTAAAACTAGGTTAGTTTTAAAGGAGAGGTATCTTTACTCTGAAGTAAAATGACATGTAGTAAAAGAATTATATTGTGATGAAGAGTTTGAAGTCAGGAAACTCACAATGATTTGTTACAGTCTTCTAAAAAATTAGAATGAGATAATTTTTTAAAATAAAGGAATGGGACAGGTGATGAGAAGGTAAGGGAGAGCAATATTTCAACAAAATTAGTATAAATGGAATACTTACGCAAAGGGTTTTGTCCTTCACTTGCATAATATTCATACATGCCACTTTTAACCAGTGTGTCATAGTGAGGTAGGAATTCAATTCTTTCTTTTGTAGCTGTTAGTAGTAATTGGTTGACTGACTTTAGTAAGTATAGAGTAACTCCATCTTTAACAGTTTCATCTGTAATTAAAAGGTAATATCTTAAGTGCAAAGCTAGAATCAGAAACAGATGAATTTATAATTTTAAAAATGAAAACCATATCAATTCTATGAAATATCTTTAAAGATGATACAGGCAAAGCCCCAAATAATGGCTCAATCTACAATTTCAATTGTGTTTTGTTAAGAATATCAGTTAAGCAGAAACCGGTTTGGCTCAGTGGTAGAACGTCTGCCTGTGGACTGAAAGGTCCCAGATTCAATTCCTGTCAAGGGCATGTACATTGGTTGCAGGCACATTCCCGGTAGGGGGTGTGCAAGAGGCAGCTGGTTGATGTTTCTTTCTCATCGACGTTTCTAGCTCTCCATCTCTCTCCCTTCCTCTCTGTAAGAAATCAATAAAATAGATATATAAAAAAAGAATATCAGTTAAATAGGCCCAAATACGTCCATGCATCTGAAACCCTCAACTTAGTAATTTAAATTTTCACAGGAAGATAGATGATGAACTACATTAGAGTGTTATCAACATGAAAGGAGAAGAGTGGTTAAATTCAAAAGGAAATCAGGCATGAAAAACTGGCAGGTTTGCCCAACCAGTGTGGCTCAGTGGTTGAGCGATGACCTATGAACTAGCAGGTCATGGTTCAATTCCCAGTCAGGACATGTGCTCGGTCCCAGTGTGGGGCATGCAGGAGACAGCCGATCGATGATTCTCTCATCCTTGATGCGTCTGTTTCTCTCTCCCTCTTCCTTCCTCTCTAGAATCAATAAAAATATATTTAAAAATAAACAAAAAAGCTGACAAGTCTTACAATCCAATTGGATAAAAAAAATTTAATGGAAGAACCCAATCAGGAGAATTAGCTTCTTAAGGGCCCACCAGGAAAGCCTGTGGCTAGCTGTTGGGCAAGGTCTCATCTTCTGTAGCCATAAATGATGTCAACTATATTTCTATAACCTTGAAAAATATGACCTCTGTACAAACTGTGAACTTATAGACAGTTTCCTCCCCACACAACAAAGTAACCAAAATCAACAGTTTTTTATGCTTATGTATGTAATCAAATAGTTATTGCGGTACAATGTACTAGAGCAATAGTTGCCAACCTTTCGGAATACCAGTGATCCACGGACTACCGGTTTGCGACCGCTATACTAGAGCATATTAAATATAAAAGCATAAAGTTAACATTGCTTACCAAAATTATCACTGGTAATTTCTTTCCTACTTGTTGTTGTAATAACAAATTTTTCCTCAGGTGAAATGCCAAGTCTCTATCCAAAATAATATAAATAAAATAAATTATTACACAAAGGAAATATATGCACCAATCAAGTTTTTAAAAATATGAAAATACTAATAGTATATAATCTTGCAACAATTACAATTGTCTGTCATAATATTTTAAAATCTTGCCTTTTCATAATTAAGCACATATCTATAAATTATTTGCTTAACAAGGTTTTTTTCCTACTGTTATATGCCACCTAGGGCTATGAGTGTATAGGTGTAAAGGTTTCAACAAAAGCAGACTCTTCCCAGTCAAAAGACATTATTCCAACCCAATATATAGGTAAACTTATTAACATATGTTCACATACATTAAATATTTAAGTAGGTAAAATAAAAGTACCAGAAAAAAATAGAGGTAACATTTTATAACACTATGGTAAAAATAGCCACGCTATGCATGTTACCTGTATTAAAGACTCATTTTATCTATTTTAACTCTTCCCAAAAGAGTAACTCTGAAATTGTAAGGCAAATTATAAATTGGGGGATTAGGGAATTGATTGCAAGAAGAGACAGAGTTAGTATCCTTGGGGGAGGGGTGTGTGTGTTAAGAGCAGAGGGTGTGGCAAGAACCTGGTGGAAGGGAGCTATGGGGGGGTGAGAAACAATTGTAATAATCTGAGCAATAAAGATTTATTTTTTTTTTTTAAAGGGTCTAGCCTGGCTGGCCTGTGAACCAGGAGGTAGGTCATGGTTCAATTCCCAATCTGGGCACATACATGCCTGGGTTGCCAGCTCCACCCTCAGTGTGGGCGTGCCAATCAATGATTCTCCCATCATTGATGTTCCTGTCTCTCTCCCTCTCTCACTTCCTCTCTGAAATCAATGAAAAATATATTTTTTTAAAATGAGGGTCTAGCCTTTGGGTGGTGAGCACACCGATGCATGTATTATAGAATGGTGCACTTGAAACATGCTATTATCCAATGTCACCCCAATAAATTCAATACTTAAAAAAAAAAATGAGGGGTGAGGATACAAAGAAATAACCCCAAGAGCTAACAGTGGTTATAAATTTTACAATGAGGAAAGATTTACTTCCCCCCCCCCCTCCCTAGCTGGTTCCCTATTTCCTTTATTGCGCTGATTATTTTTTGCGATAAAAAAAAAAAGATAAAAAAGTTTCATTTTTGTGGGATGGTTCTGAGTACAAAACACTCATCCAAGAAGATACCCCATTCTTTCATTCACTCTTAAAGACACAGGGGAGTCTTCTACATCAAGGCACGGAATGAACTCCCAAGTTCACACACTGTGGGCCGCCATCCAGATAATTCCTTCTCACGTGGGCACTTTACGATGCACCAGGCCCAGTTCTAGACACTGAGCAAGAGGATCCCTGCCCCTCACGTCGCTTGCAGGGTTGTGGATGTCAGTAACTTCAGCAGTTACAGAGTGATGTCTTTTACAACATCTTCCCGCCCAAGTTAAAACACTTTCAGCCCAGCTTCTTTTTCCTTGAGAGTTCTTCCTACATACCAAGAGCCTCCGCAGGGCAGGACACCATCCCTTACGGTAAAGCTCAGGGGGCACCGCCCCCTCCCAGCTGCAAAACACCGCGCCGCGCAAAGCCGGTCCCCTCCCGCGGCCGTTCGTTTCTTAAAAGCAAGCGAACACACACCACCCCCCTTTTGGGGTCCCACGGCTACCCACGGACACGCTGCGGGCGAATCCGGGAAGTCCCAGGGACCAGGGCTCAGACGACCTGGAAAGCGAGCCGCACCTGCGAGGCCACCGCGGCCCGGGGTGCCCGCCCGGGAGGGGAGGACTCCGCCGCCCGCGCTCCTGACAGGCGGCCGGGCCCGCGAAATCTCCGCCTCATGGAAGGAGCCTGGGAGCAAGCCGACTCCAGGAATCTCACAACTTTCAACGCCCCTAACACTCCTGACAGCCATCCGGGATACCTCTGCTCTCGGTTTCAACAATAAAATAAAATAAAGTCCCGCACGAGAGAGAGACCCCGGTGGAGTGCCCAGCGGGCCCGGCCCGGCCCCACGTACCACCCGAGGTCCCCGGGGCAGAGGGAGGCCCGCGGCGAGGCCCCGTCTGCCCTCCGCGGCCCCGGCGGGGCCGACCCCGAGGCTTCCTGCCGCTCGGCCGCGGAGATGGCGGGCGCCCGGCAGCGAGAGAGAGAGAGAGAGAGAGAGAGAGAGAGAGAGAGAGAGAGAGAGAGAGAGAGAGAGAGAGACAGATACCGAGACTGAGACCAAAAGCCGCCCGGGACCAGGGCCGGTGACAGGTTTATGGCCCCGAGCAACAAACTTGGGCTTTTCCCGTCCCGTCCCCTCCCCCCCCCAATCCCAACCCCAACGGTCCCCTCCCCGCGCATCCCTCGGCGGCCCGCCACGTACCTGGCACACGGCGGCGCGGAACCCCGCGAAGTCCAAGCGCTCGCCGACCTGCACCAGCCGCTCGCCCTGCTCCGAGTCCTTCTCGCGCCGGTCGAACACGTACACCTTCCTGCAGCGGTCGCCGCGGCCGCCCCTTCCAGCCCCCGCCGAGGGCCCGCCGCCCGCCGCTGCCATATTGGGAGAGAGGAGGAAAAAACAGCCGCCGCCGCCGCGCCCAGGGCCCAGACGCAGGCTCCGCGCGGCGCCCTCAGCTCCGGTCCCCGCGGGCGCGAGGCAGCTCCGCCTCGATGGCCCGCAGCTCCTCCCTCCGCGGCGGTGGCGGAGGAGCGGCGAGCGGGAGGTTCGGGCCGGGAACCGATTCAAACAAACTCCTGCCCGGACCCCACGTCACTTCCGCGGCCAGCGGCTCTCGGGGAGGGGGAGGGAGGGAGGCGCGGCGCGCGGCTCGGGAGGGCCCAGACCGGCGCCTGCGGCCGCCCACGACAACCCGAGGCGCGTGCCGGAACCAGGGCCGCGGCCCAGGCCTGTGGCTGCGAAGGAAGAGAGCGGCCTGCGTCCCCCGAGGGGGCGGGGCCAATCCGGCAGGCCGCGCGGGAGTGGGCGGGGCCGCCGCGGAGGAATGGGCAGGGCCAATCCGTCTGGGCGCGCGGGTGTGGGTGGGCGGGGCCTCCGCGCCGGACCCGCCCCTTCGCTTCGCGAAGTTGGAGGGAAGCGCGCGGGCCCTTCGCGGGCGCCTGACCTATGGGGGTGGACGAACCCTTTGCTGAGGCCGGACAGCCTGTCCCGGGAGTGACAGGGGAGGCTTCCGAGGGACCATGTTTTCTCACGATCGAGAGGGGCCTGGTTATCTTCCCGCCTCGCCAATGACCGGACCGAACTGGCCGGGCTTCGAGCTCTCGGCCCTGGGCAGGCAGTGCCTGGCGCGGCGGGTCGCGTTAAGGCGGCGCGGGGAGCCTGTGGCCCGCAGGCCGCACTGGGGGAAACTTTCCTCGCAGCGAGCACGTGGGTTTCCACGGGGAGAAACATGCCAAGGAGCCACCTTTTCTTTCTGTCTCATGTCCTATTGGTTCCGTGTGGGCTTCCAGGGTGGCCGCCCGGCAAAGCTGGTGGTCCCTGGCAGGTCCAACGGTTCTGGGACCAGGCCGGTCTCCTTCGGGGCCTCCGAGGCGGGAGCCCCGACAGACCGGGGGCAAGTCGCTGGAGCATCTTCTTACCACCCGCCTCACCCCCACCGCGGCTGCCATGTTGCTGAAAATTGTCAATTAGAACGCCAATGCCAAAGAGTTATTAGGTTTAAAATGTTTAACATGTAGTACTCTAAAAGCCTTTGTGTTTCATTAAACATCGTTATTGTGGTCGTGTAGTACCCTAACTCAAAAAAAAAAAACAAAAAAAAAAACAAAGAATATGGTCCTTATGCGGGAGGGGTGATGGAGTTCAATAATTTACTCTGCAATTCTTAAAAATATTTAATGAATATTTTGTACTTGAAAAGAAGATACATATTTTTACCAAGCCAAGGAATAGCAGATTGGGGGATTTTTCAGTTCTCCAAAGCAAACCTTTGGGTTATATTTAGTACATAGGGTATCCCCAGATAAATGAACCATCACTTTGAATGATCATAAAGCCAGGGTTTATTAATATATAGATCATTTTAAAAATTTAGAAGAATTTACAGAAATGAATAATTTTTTTTGTTCGTGTCTGTTCTCAAACTGATGACCATTCTAGTTCAGGCACTGCTGATGACAGGAAGCAATAGAATCCCAAACATCAAGAATCATTTCGTTGGGTATCTGTGCACCTCAATTCATTAGCTGTTGACAGGTTTTGTACTGTAAACTTTATCTTTTATGTATCCCCATAAAAAAAAGTCCAGTGGATAAATTTTCTTTGTTCAAAGCTTAGTCTGACTTCACCCATTATTATTACAAATCAGTTAAACCTGAAGAGGGGAGAAAATTAAATGTATACACACTTTGTTTTTTTAAAAATTTATTTTTATTTTTTTATTCATTTTTTATTTTTATTTTTTACAGAGAGGAAGGGAGAGAGATAGAGAGCTAGAAACATCGATGAGAGAAAAACATCCACCAGCTGCCTTTTGCACACCCCCTACCAGGGATGTGCCCGCAACCAACCTACATGCCCCTGACTGGAATCGAACCCAGGACCTTTCAGTCCACAGACTGACACTCTACCACTGAGCCAAACCGGTTTCGGCTGTATAGACACTTTGAATAATTAGAAAGGCAGTGCTGGTGCTTCAACTGTATTTTCAACTTCCAGTGGCATTTTAGGATGAATTTCCTTTGTTCAAAGTTTAGTCTGGCTAAAAAGAAACATCCGTTGAGCTATCAGCAGTTAAAGTAGTGTGTATAATGTTTTGGGGACAGAAATGACCCTGTATTTTCGGTCTTACTAACTTGCCAAAGTCTTCAGGGTTAATTATATGGATAGATTTATATTGCTAGTTAGAAATCTAGATTTGTTTGTCCATATGGAGGTGTTCCAAAAAAGATTACAGCTAGAACATAGTTAGATCAAATATGAGAAGAGGTGTGTTTGTGGGAACGTGGGGAGAATGAGCAGCAGATTTTGGAAGAAAAAATTGGAAAGAGTCAAGTTGTGACCAAATGCCATTCCTGTTCTTGAAGGGGGACTGTATGGGTAGAGAGAGATCAAAGTAACCCTCAACTCCTATGGGCTTTCTTTGACATCACATGTTTTACCTTTCAAATTCATGTGAATTTATTATTCTATTCCATTATATAATGGTGTTTGATTTTAATGACCCAAGAAAAATACAAATTGTTTTTCTAAATCTTATTTAGTAGATAATGTGAATTGCATTTTGATTTCATCAAATTGGGACTAGGGCTGGAAATTCACAATCAGGCTATATCTCATTCCTATGTAATACCAAATTATACAAAACATGAATACAAAAATATTATTTTCTTGTCTTTAGAAGAGATGTAAGTATAATTGCTGGAAGAAGAAGATCCAAAATACTACCAGAGAAGTGTATTACAATAATATGGGCAATTATTGATAAAAACATTGATACCTATCTTCTTGTTAGAAGGTTAAGTCTGAATACTTATATAATAATATGGCAGTCTGAAACATCCTCAGTATCATTTGCCAGTCACTTTTGTTCTCAGATAGCTTTCTTCAATAATTGGTTTTTTCTTTAATTTTCATTACAGAGATTTGATTTTTATGTATGATACTGAAAAAAAATCCAATTTCATTTTTAAATAAATATTTAATGTCTGAGCATCATTTATTAAATAGTCCATTTTTTCCCTGCTGTATTTTGTGTAACTTTTTTCATATACTAAGTTTCCACAAATGCATGTTACTCTGTTCCTGGGTTTTATAGTTTATTCTATCGGTAAACTTTTCCTCTTTCTGCTAATATCACACTACCTTAATTATGTAACTTTATTATCTAACTTATAAAGCAAACCACCTCACCTTATTCTTCAAAAGTGTAATGTAGTTGATTTTTAAGTGTCAAGAATGATGACTGCCTCTTCTTTTTGCTCAGTGTTTTCTCACTTAAAGGACACTTGAGATTGGCCAACCACACTTATGTAATAGCAAAACCCATAGGTTGATCATGAACTAAGTACACAGGGTGAAGCAAAAGTACCTGCATTCTTTTCCATATAAACAACTAGAAACCTACTTTTTTCCTCATCCTGTAAATTGTGGGTAAAGTACTTATCAAACTGTTCTTTGCAATAAAATGATTTGATGCCCAGATGGACTCTTTTTGTCTTCCAGGCCATCATTTTGTGCACTAATCCAGAAAGAAATGGAAAGAACTTAAAGATCTGTATTTGCCAATGTGATAATTTTGGGTGTGTAAGTCTTTTATAGTTGCAGTAGAAAAAAACTAATTCTGGGGACATTCAATATTTTGATTAGCATAGGTGAATCCAAATGAAAATATAACACTATCTTCATGTTGGTGAATGAAGATAGGTGATTATTCTGTCCTTCTAGGCTCCTTTCAGCTATTTTAATTCCCTCAACAAATATTAACTGATTAATCATTAGAAGCCAGGCCTGTGACAAATTTAGTGGGCTACTTATTAATTTAGCTGAACATGTAATTATTGTGCTTCTGCTATATGCACTGATGTCCTGCAAGGTAAAATTAATATGTTTTGAAATGGACAAATAAGAAACCTAAACTTGTCCTAGCCAGTTTGGCTCAGTGGACAGTGTCTGCCTGTTGACTCAAGGGTCCCAGGTTCAATTCTGGTCAAGGGTATGTACCTTGGTTGTGGGTACATCCCCAGTAGGGGTGTGCAGGAGGTAGTTGATCTATGTTTCTCTCTCATCGATGTCTCTAACTCCCTCTCCCTTCCTCTCTGTACAAAAATCAATAAAACATATATTTTAAAAAAAGAAACCTAAACTCAAGGAAGTTAAAATGATTTGTAGTCTCTGAAGCAATGGTAGAGAATGCCTAATGCCATCTATTCACAATTAAAAAAAAAAAAAGTCTAAAGATTTTTAGTGATTCTCCAAGTTTAAGAAATAGTTTTAGGGCAAAAGCTAAAATTCTGGTTCTTTATTTTGAACCATGGGATAATGGCTGTACATTGACTAGCTATTTTGCCACTATTTTGAAACAGTGGTTGCCATATGGGTCTGAGAAACCTGGATGAATATAGGCATTTGAAAAATAGTATATAATAATTAAATAATTAAATCTAATAACAATAATGGATATCATTTTGATACTAGAAATAGAAGTTTGTAAATAAAGTTTGGGTATATATTCATAGAATGTATGCTATGAATATACTAGGAGCTCTTCATTTCTGGAAACATCTCATTGTATAACTATTTCAGAGTTCTGCAAAAGTTGTAAAAAGTCCTACCTGGTTTGGCTCAGTGGCTAGAATGTCAGCCCAGGGACTAAAGGGACCCAGGTTTGATTCTGGCCAAGGACACATGTCTGAGTTTAGAGCTGGAACCCCAAAAGGGTGTGCAGGAGAAGCCAATCAGTGATTCCCTCTCATCATTGATGTTTCTCTCTCTCTCTCCCCCTCTCCATTCCTCTCTGAAATAAATAAAAAAAAATATTTTTTTAAAAGTTGTATGAGATATATTTTCTATGTAAATTAATAAAAGTAAAACACTGAAAA